GGCTAGTAAGCCTTTATAGTGCCAGTATGGTGGCCATCTGTATTACTATAGAGATAGTAGTTTGTTGGAGCAAAGTGTTTCTAAATCTTTCTAGTTCTCTAAAGTGCAGACTTCCATAGCTAGTAGTGGTTTCCACCATTCTATTATTTAGGAGGCTAGCTATTGTTGGACTTTGTATAGTTCTTAGTAGGACTGGAAAAGGTTTAGGGTATCTAGGGCCTGTAGATCCTCCTTGGCCAATAATTCTGGTTCACCTAGACTTGTTAGACTTTTCATTTGACCAATTGTTAGTAGAACTATTCCTCTAATATAGTCAAGGATTTCAGTATAACTATTGTTAGTTACCTCAATCCATAGTAAAGTTCACAATTTTCTTCCTTGATTGGGCTATATTTTTCTAGTGGTTCTGGGGTTTTCTCAATTTGAGTCATTCCTTATATCTGAGTTTGATTTGGAGAAGGTGATAATAATAAGGACTAATATGGGAACTCTTTTCAGTGCTTCTAAGTTGCTACACTTGCTAATTTGTCTAGTATCTAGATTGGCAATTGTAAGAATGACATTAGAGAAGGAGTTTCTAGATAGTAGCAATGTTGTTCCTTTATTGATAAGCATAGTACATTTAGGAGAGTAATAAAAAAAGGTATTGGTTATAAATTGGAAAGGGAGGCTGTTTATTTAAAGAGGGGATTGACCTTTCTTTTATGCATTTTTAGGCCCTTATTAAGATGGTATTAGAACCACATTCTAACATATGCTTTATATGTGAGAAGATAGGCTAGTCAAGTGATTCATATATGAATCATAGTAGAACTCTTCACCATTGACATGCTAACACATAAACACTTAATCACCTACATATTCATATGCCTTAGCATAAACACTTACTCATGCTTCCATTCAATCATAGTCCCTAATTGGTTCCTGATTCCTGATTCCCCTTTAATGTGAATAGACAATTACTATATGTGGATATATTGCAGATCATGATCTACTGACTTTGATTGTTTACTTAATCACTTCTATACCTTAACACCTATTAGAGTAGACCTTAACACCTATTAGAGTAGATTAGCTTTAGGTGTACAGATCAGATCTTAATTCTGCCCTAAATAGCTTGTATATACTTATAGCTAAGATGAGCTTTTAAGAAGCTTAGCTCATTTACTTTGTATACTACTTGATCTCTGTACTATACCCAGTATCTAGCTACCTTCCTAGCCTGTACTTTGTGAACTCTGTAAAATCTAAGCTATCCCTATATTGTCTGACAAAGCACTGGACTTGTGTTTACTTTCTTATCATCCTCTAGTCTCTATAATATACAAAGGACTTATTACCTTCTAAGTTTTTAGTTGGGTACCACCCAGAGTTATCTGTTGGTCTAGAGAAGATAGTCCTGTACCTGCTAATTATTGAGATATCCTCAAGGATTATCTACTTTATCTCTTTGAAGACAAAGTAGACAGCGATTTTAAATTCCTCTTGTGAGCCTCAAAATAATCCATTGTCTTTTTAGGGTTTTATGATCAAAATAGCCTAGGAAACCCTTCTTAGTGCATTAGTACATATGATAAGCCTTTAGCCTAATAGGTAGGTTATGGTTTGTCTAGATATTGTTTATAGAATTCCTAGAGTGCCTTTTCAGCCATTTCTTTAAGGAGGGTATAGAGTTTCTAAGTGTTATCCAATTCTGGATATCCTTTTTATTTAATAAGATGGTTTAGTGTAGTTCTCTCCATGAACTTCTATCTCTTAGTACTTGGTAAGCATAGTGGCATAGAATTCTAGATGTATCCTCTATGCTTTGGATATCTCTAACCAATAGGCCAAGGGCCCAATTTTTTCCAGGATTTGAAAAGGATCATATTGTCTAGGTGCTAATTTGGCCTTTGGATAAGTTATATGGATATAGGTTTCTTCTAACTATACTTGGGTTCCTGCCTCCTACTATAGGAGTTTTGATTTAGGTCCTAGTCTTTGTTATATTATATAGCCATTTATAAGCTAGATGTAGCTTCTTCTTATATTAATTAGATCAACTACAGGTATTTTGCTACCATAGGAACCTTGGTCTCTAGAGCAGAGTCTACTAAGTATAGGGGATTGAACTTGTAGAGGACCTTAAAACAGGGATTACCTGGTAGCATAGTGTTTTTGAGTATTATAGGAAAATTCTATGAAGGGGATCAAATGTGCCCAATTGTCTTAGTAGTAATTGCAAAAGATATATAATAATTGTTTAATCTCCTGATTGACCTGTTCTATTTCTCTATTTATTTGGGGGTAATAAGCCATGCTAAGTGTAGAAGTGATTTCTAATTTCTTCTATAGTTCATATATGAATTTTACTGTGAACTGGAAGTCACAATCTGATACTACTTTAGTTGGTAGGACATACTATTTGAACATATTATCCTAAAAGAGGGTCATGGTTTTTTCCACTATTATTGTTTTCTTATATAGGGTAATGATGATCCCTTTGGACAGTCCTTGGTTAGCTACTATGTTAATTGAGTTATATCCTCTACTTTCAGACAGGTTGATTACAAAGTTGGTAGAGATAAAGTGCCAAGAAGTATTTGTAGTTTCCAATAGTTCAATAAGTAGGTGAATTTGACAAGATAAATTCTTTGTGGATTAGCATATTGAATAACCTTTCATATATTGATAAACAAATTTGTTCATGCTTGCCCACTAGTAGTGATATTGTACCAGTTCTAAGGTTTTGGCTTGGCTTAGGTATTCTACAGCTATAGTGTTATAGTATGTTTTAACAATTGCTCATTAGAGAAAATTATTCTTTGGGATACATAGATATTCATTCCATTGTATGATGCTATTTTTGTATATCCATTCCCCTAGTCTCTACACATGGCTTGTGGACCTTGCTTAAGTAATTTCTTGGAAGCTATGTCAGCCAGTAAATTATGTTCTAATTACAAGTGTTAAATAAGGGAAAGGAGGTCCAATAATATAATTTCCATTGCTTTGATGTGTCTGTCTTCTTCTGGTTCTACTAGTATTTTATCAGAATTGGAGAAAAGTCTGGACAGGAGTAGAGTCTATACTTAATTGTCAGATTCTACCCCCTTATTAAGGTCTGGATGCCTAGACAGAGAATCTGCATAATTTGTTATGCCTGACATAAACCCTAAAATAAACTCAAATCAGGATAGAAACAAATTTTAGTAAGCTTGTTGTTGAGACAAGTCTTGGGTGGTCTAAAAATAAAGCAGATTTTTATAGTCTATCTAGATCTCAAAGAGGTATTTAGATTCTTTAAGGTAGTATTTCTAGTAGTCTAAAGCTTTTATGATTATAAGTAATTCATAATCATGGATATTGTAATTTTGTTCTAAAAGAGTGAATGATCCAGAAAGATAAGGAACTAGGTACCACTTATTTTTAGGTCTTTCCTATAGAAAAACTACACTATAAGTAGTAAGAGAGGCATCTATCATAAGCTAGTAGGGTCACATCAGATCAGAATATATGAGGATAGGCTAACTAATAAAGGCTTTCTTTAGTCAGTTAAATGCTTGTTAGCAAATTGCTGTCTAGCCCTATTTTGTATTCTTCTTGGCCAGGTTATGGAGAGGTCATGTGATTAAGAAGAAATTGTCAATAAATCACTGATAAAAGTTCTAAGACCTAAGGAGAAGTAGATATTGAAGACTATGTAAGGAATTGGCCAATTCTAAATAGCATTGACCTTAGAATCCTCTATGGTAACATAATATTTTGAAATAGTATATCCAAGATAGTTTAGCTTTTTTTTATAGAATTCATATTTCTCAGGTTTAAGGTAGAGATTATTATTGTATAAGATTTGGAGGATCTAATTAGTAACAATGATGTGTTCTACTATGGTCTTTGAAAAGATTAGGATATTGTCTATGTATACCATGATTTTCTGAATAATAATGAGATTCTAAAAGATCATATTCATCATGGCCTAGAATATCACTAGGGAATTAGTAAGGCCAAAGAATATTACTATGGGTTCAAAAAGACCCAGAAGTGTTATAAAGGCAGCTTTCTACTTGTCTTCCTTTTTGATATAAATATTATTGTATTCCTATCATATATATAATCTTAGGAAAATAATTGCTCCTTTAATAAGATCTAAAAGTTCTTGGATCAGGAAAAGGGGACAAATATTTTGGATAGTGTGTTTGTTAAGATAATGATAATCCTATACTAGGTGGAGCTTTCCATTTTTTTTTCCTACAAAAAAAAAGGAAGCTACACTATAATATATTGACCTTTATATGGTTTCTAGTGTTCCTTGATAAATTTGCCTAGCTTGTCATGTTTTTCAGGGCTCAAGGGATAGATTTTGGAGGCTTGAGGTTTGAACAATGACTTCAGTTTGATAGCATGGTCCCAAAAGGTGTGTTTTAGGAGCCTTTGCAACTATTGTTTATAGAAAATATCAAGGTAGATATGGTGCTCTTTTAGGACACAATCCTTTAAGTTGGTTATGTTGATTTCTTCCTTTAGGTCCTCATCAAAACTGGCAAGACTAGAGGATTTAGGGGCTATCATTCTAATAACTAGTTTCTCCTTATAGGTTCTCATAAAGTGATTAGACTATATATGTGTCTTTTTAATGGCTTTTGATAGAGTAGCTTGCTCAACTGTTCTTCTTCAAGTATGTTAGCAGTCCTCCCTTTTAGCTACTAGTACCTTGAGCATTTATTTAGCATGCTATTGCTATTGTCACTCTTTATATTATTTTTTCCAATCTGGATAATTAATTTGAGTGAATAGCCAAGCTCTAAATTCACTCTCATATAATGTTTATGCTTTCTGTTTAGACAACTTTCATAGCAGTGCTACTGGCCTAGGGACAAGATGTGGTTTTTTACACATATTTTGTCACTGTGTAATCTAGTTAACTATTCCTTCCTAGTTGGTTCTTTCTATGCCTTGGTAAACCTATGGGATTGTTGGCAATCTTAGGGACACTAATCAAAGTGTATCTCATATCATCTCTACCAAATAAAGGGATTATGGTATTTTAACCAATTTTTTCCTAGAAAAATGTCATTCTTCCCTAGATTAGTAATGAAATGGTGGACACATTCAGTGTGTATTCTTCCCTATTAGTCTTTAACCATAAGGTTTGTATCTAGGCCAAAGTATATAAGGCCTACCTTATTAACCATATTGTCAATGTTCCAGACATGAATTGGATAGCTTAACAAATATGCTGGAAAGTTGTGCTTCCTTACCTATGATTTGTTGGCTAGGATCCCTTTGCAGGCCAAGTCAATAGTGGCTCTGGCTTCAGCACTTCTCTCCCAAGTTAATAGTTGCACATTAAGATGAATTGGTGTGATAATATACTGCTTATAGCACCAATATAGATACATAATAGTAGTTCATACCCAGGGTTCATTTTTCCTCTTTCTTCCACTGGTAAAAGAAAGGTTAGGTAAAACCCTATACTAAATCAATTAAGAGATCCTTTTTTTCCATATCCTCTAATTCTTCAAAGACTGCTCTAATATAAGCAGGATGGGTCTGTTGCTTTGTTGTCTGTTAGATAGTATGTAGCTCATTCTATTACATTAATTAGGTCTTTTCTTTTCTGAAAAAGGGTCTACATATTTTAGTAAATGACTAGGTTATGATATTTCATAGTGGTGGCTATTAGAACCCTTCTCCTCCAATCCTCAATATAATCTTGAATAATCCTCTATGCAGGATTCTTGAATGTCTTCCCCTTCTATATCAATAACATATGCTCTTCTATCTCCTTGACCCATTAATCTATATTTATCTCTTCAAGGTAGTTGAATGCCTCTGGATAAGCAAGATTGGCAGTCAGATGCCATATGCCCAGGTTTTCCACAATTAAAACAAGTATAGGGCTTGTTATTATAAATACACTTTTATTGACCTACATCTTGTTTCCAAGAGGCATTAATGTCTATGTCAACTACTTGGCTATTCATTTTTCATAGGGTATTAGTAGAGTTATAGCAGAGTGTGGATTGTAGATGAAAGCAATCTAAGAAATCACTTCTAAAAGAGGTAGAGTTAGTGTGCATTGCCTTTTAAGTATTTTAAGCTCTCATGTATCTGTCTACTTTGTAGGATTTCATTTTTTGACAGAGTTTTTTTATCATAGATTTTGTCTATGACCTTTGGGTCTAGTCCTCTTTGATAATAAGAAACTTGTTCCTTATTAGAAATATCAGTGTCAGCAGCTATAAGGACAAATTGATTTAAGTACTCATTTATAGCTATCTTTCCTTGGGAAAAGGCCATAAGAGCACTCAGGGCTTTGTCCTGCTTGTTTGACTCCTTGAACTGGAGTCTGAAGCTGTCTAGAAAATCCTTCCATATTTCTAAGTCTTTAGGACTCCCTACCTCTACTATCTTGGTTAGAAAGTTTTCTATTCATGCTTTAGTGGTTTTATGTCTTATACATAAGAGGACTAGAGAAACTTTGTCTGAACTGGTCTTGTACCATTCCAATTCTATTGCAAAGAGAAGGTATTAGAGAATAAATCTTTGCAATTTTGTCCCATCACCTATAAAATTGTCAGGGAGTTTGACTTTCCCTCTTTTAGTTTGTGCCAGTATAGTGGAAGTGGTTCCTGTTCCTAACATTATAGTGATGGTTTGGGTATTTTGAGTGTTGATTGGTATTTCAATATCCAAATGACCAGAGTTAGATATTTCTTTTTCTAGCTCTAATTCATTGGTTATTTTAGGTTCGGGATTTCTATAGTATGGTAGTAGATCCTAGGAATTGTTTATCTTGTTCTAAACAAACTCCGTTTCTATTCCATTATTATCCAAGAAATATTATCCATTCATAAAAGAGCAGTTTGGATAGTTTGGTAGTGCTTCCTGGCATATATTAGTATAGTACTAATAGCTTCTGGTCTATTAGATAGGGTGATTGTTTTGTTGGAATTGGTTATTGATATTTCTAGTGCCTAGTAGGTATGCAAGGCCTAGGTCTTGCTTAAGGGTGTGTAAAGTAATATTTTATAATAGGGGTCTACAATTCCCGCTAATAAAGGTTATGAGAGAGGATATGGCAACAAGCTAGTATTATGCAAGGTAGGGGCAAGAAAAGTCTATTCTAGTATTATGAACTGCTTGTTCAATAACTCCAAGAGTAGTGGATTCTTCTCTAAATTTCACAATGAACAGAGTAGAATAAAAGGTCCACTATATTACAAGGGAATACAAGGAATATAACAAAGTAAACAGTATAAAGACTATTTAGGTATAAAATAGACAGTATAAAGACTGCCTAAGAACAAAGAGAATAGACTAAAGTCCCTTAGCCTATTCTATGGGCCTTATATACTATGTTGGGATATGTTCTGGAATATTCTAATTATATCCCCTCAGTTATCCTATAAATACTATTCTCTGTTAGCATCAACTCTTGTGCTGCTTATTTGTATCTATCTAACCTAGTATATAATAGCAAGCATACCCATGTAGCCCTAAGCCTAATAGTCTCCTATTTACCCATAACCCTGTTATATCCCTCTATTAGTAATAGTGTGATCTATTAGTTATATTGGTCTTTAGAGGACAATACCAGATACCTTGTTGTATGCTCCATGTAGAGCTGCCTAGTATCTATCATGCTTTCGATTAGTTATAGATGTCCCCAAAGGCCCAATAGGTCAGGTTATAATAGGCTACCACTTAACTGGACTTGAGATTATAAAATAAAACTTAAGAAAGAAATAGATTACTTGCCCAAACCAAGATTATACAATCTTAGCCTAGTAGAGCAAGTAAAACTTAAGAAATTCATTAAAGATAATCTAGAGAAATAATTTATTTAGAAATCCAAATTATATATGGCATCACCCTTCTTCTTTATTAAAAAGAAGAATAACAAGTTATGACAAGTAATAAACTACCACAAGCTTAATAAAATTATAATCAAGAATAAGTACCTCTTGCCAATTATTTAGGAATTACTAGATTAGTTGACCAATATAATGTACTTTTTGCTTATGAATGTCAATACTAGATATAACAATGCACTCATAGAACCCAAGAGCAGAAAACTAGCAGCATTTATTATAAATCTAGGAATGTACAAACCCTTAGTTATATTTTTTAGACTAACCAACTTCCTGGCAACATTCCAAATAATGATAAATGCCTTGTTTAAGGATCTTATTTATATTAAAAAAATGACCATTTATATGGACAATATTCTAGTGTTCTCTAAGACCATGGAGAATTATTTCAAATAATATAATAGGTTTTACAGATTTTATAGGACAATACTCTATATCTACAACTACTAAAATACTACTTTTACAAGACAAAAAATCAACTATCTGGGATAGATTATATCCTATAGACACTTAGAAATAGACTTTATCAAAATGGCTAGCATTGTAGATTGGCCAACTTCTACTAAAGTCAAAGAAGTATAATTAGTTTTAGAATTTTATAACTTTTATTACAGATTTATCCAAGATTACTTAAAAATAGCAAAACTACTATTCAAGCTAATACAAAAGGAAAATAGCTGGGATTGGATACTAGCATAAAAAGAAGTATTTCAAATGCCCAAATAGATATTTACAGAATCTCTGGTACTTATTATACTGGATGCTAGAAACCCCTGTTACATTGAGTATAATGCCTCCAACTTTGCTATAGGAGTAGTATTATTATAGGTTGCATCTGATAGAAAATGGAACCCTTGTGCTTACATTTCCAAATTACTCTTACTGACTAAACACAACTATCTAATCTACAACAAAGAATTGCTAGTAGTTGTTTGAGCTTTGAAGCTTGGTGATACTACCTAGAGAATACTGACTATTTGGTTGATGTCTGGATATACTACAAGAACCTTGAATAGTTCTATTCAAGCTAAAAATAAACTATTAATAAGCTAAATAGTTACTCTATTTCTTATATTTTAACTATAAATTAATATAAAAGACAGGAGTTTCTAATAAATCTAATGGTCTATTATAGTGTCTAGACCATAAGAAGGGGGTAGAATTTGACAATTTAGAAGAAATACTTTTAGATTCTAAATCTTCTAATAAAATAGGAAAACCAACTCAAAGACCTTTTGTAGCTATCAATGTGATATATCCTAATTGAGTCTTCTATATTAGGACAACTAGATAAGGAGGCATTACTATAATCAATAACAACCTCAAGGCATACATTATTAAAAAAGCAAGAAAGATGAATAGTTACTAGAGACACTCACTAAGGTCAAAACATTAGAACCTTATAGTATGAAGAAAAGATTACAAGAATGGAATATTAACGAAAGACTTGTTCTACATAAAGGAAAAATATATGTTTCTCAAAATGAACAACTTTGTCAAAATATCATTGGACTAAATTATAACAATCTAGTAGTAGGATAGAGAGGACAGAGAGAAATACTAATTATAGTAGAATAAGAATTTACCTGGTCCAGAATCTCAAACATAGTTTATCAATATATAAAAGGCTATGCCACTTATTAATTTACCAAGAACAATACACATCCTACCATAGTACCCCTATAACCAATGGAAATTCCAAACTAACCTTTTGGAATAATTACTATAGACTTTATTACTAACCTATCTAAATTAAATAGGTACGACTCACTCCACATAGTAATAGATAGATTTATTAAAACAGTAGTAATCACACTATATAAGAAAACCATTAATTTAGATAGAATAGCTAAAATCCTACTTAAGAATGCCTAAAGACAATACAAGCTACCTGATAAAATTATATTAGATAAAGAAATTCAATTTGCTTTAAAAATAGTATAAGCTCTGCTCAATAAACTAGGAATTCAATTAGTATTAAGCACAGCTTATCACCCACAAATAGATAGTACTACTAAGTAAATGAATCAAGAATTAGAACAATATATAAGAGCATTTTGCAGCTCTTTATAAGATAATTGAGCAGGATTAATTATGTATATAGAATATGCCCATAGTATATATTAGTACTTAGTGATAAAAAAGACTCTATTTGAACTACTTTATAGATACCAACCTTGGGCCTACCCAAGTGTTATTGGAAATACCAATGTCCCCATTACCAATACTTACCTTAAAGCTTTACAATATATTAGGAAGGAAGCACAAGCCAGTCTTAAAATTATAGTAAAAGCTATGCAAATACAGCATGACTATTCTAGAATAGACCTACTGTCATTCAAAAAAGGAGATCAAGTATAGTTAGATAGAAAAAACACCTATACTAATTATCCCTCAAAGAAACCAAGACCCAAATAGTTTGATAGAAAAAACATCTATACTAATTATCCCTCAAAGAAACTAAGACCCAAATAGTTTGAACCATTTGGAATTATTGACACTATTGGAACAGTCAACTTCAAGTTGAAACTATCTAATACCTAGAAGTATATTCATAATGTCTTCCATGCTAGTCAACTCATGTCATACAAGGAAAACAAAGTCTATGGCCCCAACTATCCCAAACTAGCCCTAAACTAGATTAAAGAACAAGAAGAATTCAAAGTTGAAAAAGTTGTTAGAGCCTGGTGCTTTGGACAATGAAAGACCCTATAATACCTGATCAAATGAAAGGGCTATCCTGAATCAGACAACTTGTGGAAAGCCACTAACAATGTCAAGGACACTAAAAAAGCAATTGTGAACTTTCACTAAAGGCATGCTTAAGCAGTTAGAGAAATAGAAGCATCTATTTTCACTTTGACAATCAAAGTTGAATATAATAGGATTGCCAAAGAAGACAAAATTAGAAAGAAGCTCAAGAGGCACCCAATAGAAAGAAGGCTTCTCTTTATAGGATTATCAATTCCCTAGATCAAGAAAGTTATTAATAATAAGACTGTGCAGTTAAAAAAGCAACTCTTGATTTCAGAGTCAACAGTGCTATCTTCACAAATTAGTAGCCAAGATCTGTAGCTAAAGAAGCCCAATATAGACTTATCTCAATTAAAGCTGCAGCAAGAACAATTAGATAGCTCTAATTAGAGAATTTAAGCATATCAAGAGCTACAAAAGCAGACCAACTATAGATTGGCATAGCTAGGAAATTAGCTATAACCTTTATACTGTCCTAAGTAGCTATTTATACAATTATCACAACTTTCTGCTTCTCTACTATCTTTCTTGCCCTTGCTCTTTTGCTCAGTTTCTACCATTATTCTATCTTTATTGATCTCAACATCACATAAAAACAATAAAGTGTCTAGCATAGATTTTTTTAGTCCCCATAGTAAGATAGCAGTCAAGCTGGCAATATGCTGTGAGTTGCATATCCTGGATGTTCCAAGGAATCTACTCAAGGAATAAGAATATCACTCTTTCCTACTTAGTTTCACTTTTCTCACATTCCTATCTTTACTTCTAACACTATGTCTTACACTAACTCTTCCTAATCCTACTTAGACTCTAACTTGGACTTGAGCATTAATATCATCCCTCTTAATTCCTTTATCTCTACTAACCTTTAAAAACAATTCCTCATTGTTATCTCTTTTTCTAAACAAATTAATAGCCCTTATATCCCTGTCCCTGTCAAAGTCTTCTCTATACTCTCCTTAGCTCCTTGACAAATTGTCCCTCTTCACCCTCTATCCCTTTATGATCTCCACTACTATAATAGTAGTTACTTCTTAAAGAGCATATATTATTTTACCATCTCCCCTAACAAATCTCTAATTGTCCTCAACCAACCTAGACTAGCCAACCCATATACTTTTTTATTTTACAGTAGATGATCCTTATATAGATATATTAAGTCTTTGTAGGTCCTCTTATCCTCTACTAGTGCTAGTTCATAATGAATTTGGCAATCATAAGTTATTACTACCAAGGTCTTATCAATTTCCCAACCCTCTAAAACAATATAATTAACTTTTGACCAGGAGGCATATATAGTAGTAGAGCTAACCTCTTCATAAGACACTCAACTAATAAATAGACCTACACCTTAGTGTAGATTAGCTATATTGAGAATATGACACAATAGTTTAGAGTGCTACTAGAAAGAGGATGTTTAGAGATTAAAGAGTATGTGTCTAAGAGTCTGGTGTCCACTTAAGCCTTCTTACTCTATAGCCAAGAAGGTCATCCACTTGCCAAATACTAGGCAAATGGCACATATCTGGAAAACTATGTTAAGCCTTAGATTATAGCTAGTAATATAATGCTAAAAGGCAAAAGAGTCCATATTATAGAGTGCTAGTTGACTCTGAAGAAGAAGCTAGTATCCTAGATTCCCACTTCTCCCACAAAACTTATTGGCGATCTCAATGACACTATCGCCACCTTACCTTTTCCTACTTCCACTAAAAAACAAACTTATTTTAGCTTAGTGAAGCTAATATTGAGAGATTCCTATAACTAGTTAGCCCCTCCCATAATTTAGAGCAAGTTATTAGGGATTGCCAGGCTCTTCTTCCTTTACTAGTCCTGCCCCTGCCATTCCTTAATATGTCCTTGTCCCTTATCCTTATCAAAGATCTCCCTGTCAATCCTATCATTATTAACATGCCTACTATCTAATCTCCTTTGACTTCTATTATGACTAAAGAAGACTAGAATGTGGGAGCCTAAGTCTCCAAGGCCATCTAGCCCAATTATGTGCCAGTTTATTATCTTGCATCCACTGCTTCCAAAGACTGTTCCTGCTAGAAATGTGGATATGCTAGTTATCTTATCATAGGATGTCCAATCATGCATATTAGAGAAAGAACAAATATTACAGTGTGAGACTTTATTTAAGACTATAACACATATTATAAAAGGACTTATTAGCTTTATTTAGGAATCAATCAAGTAACCAAAGAGTATGGATAATACAAGCAAGTAGTGGAGCACATAATCAATGCTGCTAACTGGATAGGATACTCTGTTTATTCTATCTCTCTTGTTGATGATAAGCACACCCATAAGCTGTCAGCTATTACTGCCTCTTATGCCAAAAGATAGAGAGTATTTTAGAAGAAGGATAGTGTTAGACCTGTATTCTAATATATATCAAGCACATAATAAAGTAGACTAGTCAAGTAATTCAATTGTGATATAGACTCTGCCTTGTGCCTTATTCTATCAATATACTAATACATAAACACTTTCTAGTTATATACATATTATATACTTTGGCATGAATACTTACTTACAACTTCTAATAATCACTGATCCCTGATTGGGCCCCTGTTCCTAATCTTATTAATACAGACAGATATTTGCAATAATATACTATACTTAGTACTTTAATAATAAAATCAATTGTTATTAATTGCAAATCTAAATTATTTACTAATTTAGAGCTGTATATAGCTTACTCACTTGTTAAACTATAGCTAAGATTTAGAGATCTTACTATAAGTGGAGTTTGTATATATATGTTTAAATAAGTCAAAGAGTGGACAAGCTTGTTTAGCTTGTTTACTTATAATATACTTGATCTTTGTACTACACCTAGAATCTAGCTGCCTTCTTAGCTCATGTTTTGTAATTTCTATTAGATCTGAGACTTTCTTATATAGTCTAACAAAGCACTGTCCCTTCCTTACTTTATCTTTCTTCTAGATTTGTCTCACCTCCCCTATCATCCTCTACTTTGTTCTCCAGAATATATACTGAACTTACTATCTATGAAGTTCTTATTTGGACTCCTCCTTGAGTTATTTATTGGATAGAAGAGAAAGACCCTATACCTAATAATTATTGAGATACTCTTGAAGACTATTCTCTTCATCTCTTTAAAGATAAAGCAAATAGCAATCCTATTTTTCTCTTCTAAGCTTAAAGACAATCTATTGTCTTTATCTGTTAGAGTCTTATATTACAGAATCTTATAGAATTAGCCTAGGGAACCTACAAGTGTATAAAGTGTACATGATAGGTCTCTAACCTAATAGCAAGCATCTTTATAGCATAATCTTATAGTGAGCTTTATTGTGTATACCTATTAGATAGTACAAGTCTTATAATCTACTCTTTCTTATTTCTTATAGAGGTTGCCTTATTCCTATACTATACTATTTACTAAATATTTCTTTGTCTCTTGACTATAATGCAATAGAACCTTATGGTCTATGAGTATTTCTATATATAATTTTGTTTATCTCTTGATTTTATAGTCTTAGCACAATATTATTGCCACTTTATATTATAATTTTGTGCTTGCTTTACCTATCTTAATTTTACTATAAATATCTATCTATAACTCTATAGTATACTAGTTTTAAATAGCCCTCTGTTTAGAGCTTAGCTTGTAAGAATATCCCTCTTATATTGTTGGTTGTTGACATTGCTCTTATCTCACTTGACTTATTCTTGCTTCCTTTGTTGTCTCTATTATTAGGGCCTTTGTCACTATCCTTAAAGTCACCTTGGTCAATTATAACCTTGGTCTATGATATATTGCCTTATACTAATATTGTATAACCTTGGCTTGTCAAGAGCATTCTTAATATTACTCAAACATATTCTGCACAATCTCATATTACCTTGCTTAATATCTTAATATCTCATGGTACATATTTTGTGTCCTATCTTATAACTTATAAAGGTCCTTTAATATTGTAGTAAAGTTGGCTCTCTATCTATTCTATATTTGATCATATGTTTTGTAATGTGTTTTGCATACAAAGCTATTGCTAGCATATTATTTTAGAGCCCACTATAAGGGGTAGGTTTCCAAAATTCTACTAAGGGTCCTTTGATGATCTTTTTAACCCACTATCAAATATAACAAAATCCAAAGGCTCATTGCTAGCTTTAGTAATCTTGGACTTAATACCAATCTTAGCCTATTTACTAATACTAACATTATGCCTTACTATCTCTCTTATCACTACCTTCACAATTTACTAACCCTATTATTGCCCTTACCTCTACTAGATTCCTTATTCTTCTTAACCCCTCTATCATTACCAATTGGTTTGTTATATATTACCATCCCTACCACTGAATCTTGCCTAGTTTGAAACCTCTCTGCCATTCCTGATCTTATCTCTATATTACTCAGATTTTCTTTGCTTAGTCATACTCCTAAGAATTCTACTCTAACTTTTGCTTTGCCCACTTTTATCCTGCCCTTAACATTGTGCCTCTTCTTTCCAGAATCCATCACCATATTATTATACCCTATTAATATTATTGCTATGACTACCTTTTTAATGCTAGCTTGTATCAATAGGACCATATCCACTTTTGATTCTCACTAGCCTTGTAAACTCTAGCAATATTTTTCAAATTTTGATTTTTACTTTACTTAGTTAGTGGTAGTTGATACAATAGAACACAAGAAACATGCTTGCTACTTCCTCAATATTAATACTTGCAAGCTCTGGGAGACCTTAGATAAGTATATTAATACTATGATCCTCTATAAAGACTTTTGCCAAGCAGTATATTACCTCTATCTAAAATTAGAAAAAAAAAGTAATTAGTTATAGATATGAATAAGTTAGTTGGTAAAAGCAGCAAGATAGGGATTTTACCTCTAAGCAATCTTAGCAAGTACTATTGCTAGTTTCTTATAATCACTTTTTTTTTCCTTAGCAAGGATTATATCTTTATTCCCAAGTATGGCCACATCTTTATCTATAAGTTCTGATTTGAATTATAGGAATATATTTTACAATACCTCTAGCTTAATTTTCTAGACTATTTCCTTAATAATCTATATTGGTCACAAGATATTTATAATGCTACAAGATTTATCTTACACAATACCTTCTTGACCTTTTAACTTGCTTTATATAATAGCTCTCATATAACTTATAGAGCAAAGGCAAAACCCTAAACCAGGGCCAAGGACTTCTTTACTATGTTCAAATATAGAAGGGAGAATTATATTATTGATAGGCATGTTTGTACTATAAGAGATTCCAGATAGCAATCTCAAAGGTTATATCAACAAATGGCATTATTATAACCTAGGCTAGATTGCCACTAGCTTAACAAAGTTTATAGCCAATTCTTTGCTAGCATTCTTAGTTAGCATTGCCTTTCAACTTAACTCACCCTTGCTTTTCAACACAGCTACCATATACTAGCTAATGGACGTTAAGAGGATTCAAAGCCTTTAATACAAGATTTTTGCATTATACACCTGAGGAGGCAAGCCCAAGCCCAGATTAACTACAACATTTAAAAATACACTCCTAATATTGATAATTGCTATTTGATATCTTTTACTATGGCAATACCTTGACAAGTGTCTATTTGACCTAATTAAGCTATAATAAGAATAGCTATGCCAGTACCAGCCAAATTTCTAGTATATTTATTTGCCAACATTTCTTATACAACCTATATACCATCTTACAGTTACAATATCAAAGTACTATCCAATATTTCAATAGCAAAGAAGAATAGCCTAGCATACAAAACCATAATGCTTATCAACAATGAGAAAATCATATCCAAGATTTATAATTATATAATATTGACCAGATAATGCTTATTTAGTACAAACTTTTCTTGCTTAGACCAAAAGTATACTTGCAAGTTTGTAAGGTAACCTTGGCAAAAAAAACCAACCTTGGCAAGATACTATACAGGGCCTCTAATCAAGTTTGGACCCTATACTAGGATATAGAGCTCCCTTATATAATCAACAATCTTAACCCACTAATATTAATAGTTTTCTTCTTTGTATATATTATTCACCAATCAGAGACACCTTTGCTAGAATCTCTTATAGTGTCCAACTTTTATGAGCAGTATCTAAGCTCACTATCACCTAGTTAGGTTCCCCAACTGCTTATTATTACTGAAAAATATTCTACTTTAAGAGCAATTATTTCTCTCATTAATTACCAGCAATTTATTAAATACATTATTATCTTAGGCTTATAGGTTATAGCAATGTTGGATAGTATTTGCAATAAGCTTGCTATTATCTATGGCTTAGATATTGTTCTTGATCTACAATTAGCTAATAAAGAGATCAACAAATTCTTTAGTCTCATATGTAATGTTTTTTTCTTAATTAGCAATATCACTCTATATCTCTAAGGACATATTATTTGCAACTTTCTCCTTTGTTAATACTTTAATATTATTATAGAGGGCATTGTCAAGAACTTTGCCAATAAAGGCCAGATAATCATGATAAGTGACCCAAATACTAGTTCAAAGGTAACAATACCAACAGTTTAACAAGGCCTTCTAAGAATTTTCTACCACAATAACTTAGGTATTTAAAACTTGAGAAATTGATTACTAATTAAGAAGAGGTTACTTTGGTTATTGCTAAAGACCCATATATCCTAGATTCCTTTTATATCAGAGCTATTTCCACATTTTTGTTATATTCACCTTGTCTCTCTAATATTAGTCTTGCTTATCTCTTAGCTTATAATCCATGGCACAAAGCCCCCAAAAAATCTTTCCATCTCCCTTCTACAATCCTCTCCATGCTATGTCTCTTTATTTTCTCTTGCCCTTATCTTTATCTTACCCCTGTTTTACTCTCTGTCTCTTGATTTCTGCTTTACCTTGCTCAACATTGCTATCTAATCTCTTCAGCCCAGTTATAATTTGTTACCAAATAAAAATACAAGTATATTGCTTTATAAACTTATCTAGTACTTGCCAATCTCTCTAACAAATTTTGCATTATCTTTAATATTTAAGGCAATTCTCTTGTAGGTCTACTAACACTTATATCTAACCCTCTTTCATTCACACTAACTGGTCAATATACTACTGAGCAATGCAACCTTATTGACCAAGTTTATTCTTCCAACTTTCTTTGGCTAGTAGAGCATAAGCTTACATACTACTTTATATGCCTTTAAAACCTTGGATTTGCCTAGGATAACTCAGAACATGGACATTTTTTCAAAGATGTCTTTCCCCTAGTTAGCATGCCTATCATTAAGCATAAGCCATGACTCTAGTATAATATGCCAATACTGCCAGAACTCTATGACAAAGTCTGTTAATTAATTAAAACCAAGATTACTGCTGGCATTTATAAGCCCTCAAACTCCTTGTATCAATCTTGCTAGTTTATAGTTGTTAAGAAAACTAAAAGCACTACAACTCTTAATGTTGCCACTATTTAGCACTCAGGTATGCCTCTATATATTAATCAGATTACTGAGTAGTTTGCAAATTGCACTTGCAAAGGGATTCTTGATCTCTATATTAGGTATAATAAGTGAGGGCTTGATAAGAAATAATACAATTATACAACATCCTAGACCCCATTTAGCATATATTGCCTTATTATGCTACTAATAAGATAAATGAACTTGGTGCCAATTTTCCATAACAATGTTACTTATAATCTTATACTCTAAGATTTCAAACACTATGATTCCCTTCATCAACAATATTCTCATACAAAGCCTAGCCACATGATATAAAACATATCCTAACAATCTTGGCATTAGGCAATTTGTTTGGAAATACTTTCAAGGTACAAATTGGATTATCCAATAAATAAAGTACTATGGTGGCATTTTATTAGGTTATAAGGCAACACATTGTGTGCCCAAGATTATTGTCATAGGCTATTACTATATCTATAAAGGTCAACTTTTCAAGAAATCTTATATCAAAAAGATAGTTAATTAGGGACCTTGTTGTAACCTCTTAGATGTGCAAGCATTTCTTAGAATTGTTGGTATCATTTGTATCTTCATAAGTAACTTTGCATATTATACTCACTCCTTAATAATGCTTACTTGGAAAGAATTTTCATTTATTTTTGGACCTAAACAGATTATGACACAAAAAAATCTCAAATTGGTACTCCTTGGAAAATTTGGTAAACAACATAGTATCCAGATTTTCAAACAAACTGGATTAAGAAAATATATGCTTAGAAAAGTATGAGCTTATATAGCTATATGACAATGTTATTTATACATTTGTATATACTATTATACTATAGTCAATCTTAGATTGGCTAGCTAGGCTTAGGGCTAAGCAATTTTGACTTTGTAGATAGCAAGGCAGGTTTTCTTAGTTAACTAGGATAATTTTCTTTTACTAGTTTTTTTTAATTATGTTCTGACCACAGTCCCATTTAAGTTGTTACTAGATTTGATATCACCAACTTCTTTGATGAGATATAGTATTGTTTAGATAAAATACCTTAATGATATACTAAATTTATATAGCAAGTGTATAGTACCAAGCTTGGCCAGCATTATGCTAAAGATGCTGAAGATACATAAGCTGTATTTAAAAACTTTACCAAGAGTTTATTGACATACATAAGCAATGATAGATTGACATTGTGATAGAGGTCTTATACTTAGAACAAGTCTTTTTTGGAGAACTAATACTTACATACACTTTCTATGATCTATTTTAAATATATTAGTGTTGAAGTATAACCTTCTTTGTCCTTTCCTCTTCCTCATTTTGTATTTTGCTACTTATTGATTTCCTTATTTGTACTTTGGTACTGTAGACCTACTATTAAGCTTGCAATGCTTGGCATCCACTCTCTTAGTCATTTTACCTCTACCTTAAGTAATAGCTGAGGTGAGCTTCTTATTTACCTATGTTATTTTACTTATACTAAAAATTGTTCATAGCTCTTCTATTTTAGTCTTACCACCTCATAGGTACTATTTAATTCAGTCATTTTACCTCTACCTTGAGTGACAACTGAGCTCTTCTATTCTAGTCTTACTATTTCACAGATCTCACTCAACATTAGGTTATGGGCCCTGACTGTGCTATCTAAAAATGAGACTAGTAATCACACTGCCAAAACTTATAAGTTGCCACTCTAAGAACACTAAGCCAAGACCTGCTCAAGTTCCTAGAAATTTTCACACTAGCATAAATCCCCACATGTCAGCAGCACTACTATCATTCCTTGGAGTATATATCCTCCCAGAGGCAGAGAGGCTGACCATGGCTAATTGGGCCAACTAAATGCCCTATATTTATACTATATGCTAGGTGTGTGGTCTTAAACCATACTTCCTCAGCACTGTCCTCCTACTGCCTATGCTACTTGTGGGTACTATACCAATGATGAGCCCTATATTGCCTATAGCCATAGGGATGGCTGCAGTGACTGGCATGGTAAGAACTACAGTCACTCTGGCTATGAGCCCGGTGTCATCACCAGCATCAACCCCAATCCAAATACTACTGTATAGTAGTCTACCCTCTATACCACTGCTCTCTGTATTCTTTCTGATCTTTATTTTAGCTATGAGCTCTGTACTAATAACGTATGCAGCATTAGATAGGGGGTGGCAGGAATATGACATATTAGCATGCATGCATATCATATCAAATGTAGCAGACATACTGGGTTCTGGGCTAGATGTTTCCGGCACTACTGTAGCCATATGGTGCTCCTTGCACAATTGCTTTGAGCTCCATGACCCAATCATTGTGCAGGACATGTAAATGCACCTTGCATCAATGTGGTACTCTAATGGCATAGCTGTGTCTGATCACTTTAAAACTCTTTGGGTACTATGAGATACTGCCAATCAAGCTGGCACCAGAATCATAGAAGGGGAGTGCTATCAAACAGTATTAATGACATTTCCAGTTGATAGGGTCCTAGGCATTGTTGTAATAATATTACTTACCTGCCAAGACTCTTTCATCGTAGAATTGGTCTTATCCTTACAAGAAGCCCAGATCCATGCTAGTATGCTTTGGCATAGTACCATGCCAGATGTGGCCGTTGCATCTATGGCCCCTGGTAGCACAGCACTTGTAGTGACTAAATGGCTACACTGCTCCAATTATAGCAAACTAGGCTACCCAATCAAGAAATGCTGAGCTAATAGGGAATTAGCCAAGCACCAATGATCCAAATGGTTCAACAGGCGATAGAACCATAGGGGGACTGGGAGAAACAATGGGGCACACAATGTAGCTCTAGCAATTGGACTGAACATTGGCTTCATTGCCTGAGCAGACCCTAAGACTGTCATCCTAGGCACAGTACCAACATATAGCGACTCTAAAGTAATAAACCACTACTTTACTAACAGGCATGATTTTGTGGTTTACAAGGTGTTCCCAAAGCCAGAGATGGGTTGAGCAGCAAGTCCCTTAGGGTTCACAGTAGTGGGAAAGAAGATAGTGGTAAAGAATACCCTAGTATAGGGTAAGCGAGTTACATGCATGTTCTCCATGCTACATACATATAATATGGGACAGAATCTGCTGTCTACTTATCAGTTCAATAGGGAAGGGTTTTGTATCACTATAGAAGGGGGCTACACTATTATAAGCCTGACTGGTAGATGAATCCTTAAGAGTGATACTGCAAAATCAGGGCTTTACAGCATTTCTTTGTACTGGCCACTATCTAAAGCAATCATACATGCCTGCCTTGCCAGATCCTGCACTATAGATGAAGTTATTGTGCTATCTGCCTTGTAGAGCAAGGCTGCTGACTTACCAACTTAGTACCAATGACTCAGCCACATTGGCATGCAAGTAACAAAGCATGTGGCATACATCATTGATGGGATGAAATTGAAACCTGGAGCTATCAATGCTATTTGCAAGGATTGTATAGAAGAATGCCAATCACACTGGTCATGTAATAAGCAGGTACTGCATGAGACCTTAGTCAGGGAGCATGTGCATGGGGATCTAGTTGGCCCAATGCCCACTATGTTACTCAGGGGCAAACACTATGTGTTTGGGCTATGTGATGGCTTTTTTGGTTGGGGAGAATTCACCTTCTTGGTATCTAAAACTATTAAAAAACCTTAGTAGTGGCAAAATGCTTTGTGGCCTAGATCTGAATATAGACCAGGTGCCCAGTTTACCATATCTATACTGACAATAGGACAGAATTTGTAAATGAGTTGTGGAAGAACTAGTGTAATAAGGCAGGGATTATCTACGAGACTAGCACACTATACTCACTAGTATAAAATAGAATGTCGGAGTATGGCAATTGCATATGGTGGAGCATGCATGTTCCATGATATATAACAGGGCCCTTCCAACCTAGTTATGGGCCAAGGCCTTCATCTGGGAAATTACTTTCTTGTATTATGCTCTAATTAGTTCTATTTATGCATAATTAAGAATGATTAGGATTAGAGATTATTTGCTTACCCCCCCCCCTTAAACCTGTTCTAATTAGACATAATTTTCCTAAATTAGGAATTATTAGGATAGATTATAGCTTGAAATTTCGGAATAATAATAACAAATCATGCATTACAGTTGTCATAGCCTTCTTATAGAGTCATGTTAATTTAAACACTAGTTGAATACCTAAACACAGAATATACCTTATAATAAACTTGCCTTCTTCCAGAGTTGAACCAATAACCTTATGTATACAAGCACCTAGGACAGATGCTTTAAGCCACTAAGCCACAAGGTCTAATATATAAACTTGGTAATCTAAATAAGTAAACATAATATAGGCAACCTCAACATCTTAAATTTTATTCAACATTTATCTTTTCTCTCTCTTATAAATAAATAGGTCAATAAATACCCAAAAAGTCAGGTCTTTCAGCATTTAGTTTAAACACCAGCTAAGCAGATAATAAACCAATGGAAAATAAATAATACACTTTATATAGGATAAAAACAAATTATGGCACTTACACAATTTGGACTGAGAATGTGTAAAACTATAATTGAGTGTAATATTTAATGGGACTCTACTAGTATAGACAATGCTACCTGAATTTGCAAATTTGATCAAAAACATGATTATGAATAATCAAGATCCAATAAGAGAGAGGGGTTTTCCAAATAGCCACTAGTGAGGTAGAGGGTGGGGACAAGGGTATATGTATGGCATGCCTATATATAAATAAGCACAAGATTGTTAGAGATAATCTTAATATGCTTAGTACACATATTTTCTATATGGCAGGCAAATATATCATTCTGGCACCATATACCAACATAACTGTCTTTTCCATAGCCCAATAGCTAGAGGAAAACACTAAGTTTGAGCATCTTCTGTATAACAAGGCAATGAACAATATAGATAGTGCTAAAAATTGTAATATCAATAGTGATGATGATTATGTGCTGCACAAGACAGTATTGACCACTGTACTAATAGACAAGGTCTACAAGGCTGCATGTAGCATATCCCTAAGCCCAACCCACATGTTGTGTCTTATAATAACTAGTAGTAGGCATTGGCTAACAATGACAACTTTAATGATCTTGTGTGCAAGGCTAAGGTACTGAGGTCTTTATAGCCTCTTATGGCAGCTGCCAAGCTGCCAACAAAGTGGCTAGGGGCATCAATGCACATTTCTCTCTCTCTATGTCCCTTTTAAAGGCAGCTGGAAAGTCAGCAAAAGAGCTACAAGATAATGGTGCAGGCATATATAAAAGAGAATAATGTGCTAAAATAGGATAGAATGTGCCACATCTTTACCTTCTTACTGATAGAGCAGTAGTACTTACTATTTCCTACTGCTAATTAAAGACTTCTTGGTATAGAATTAGTGCTCATATCATGAAATTAGAAACTAATCTAATGCTCACAATGTGTTGCTTCTAATTAGGAAATTAGACACTTTTAGATGCTATTAACACTTTTAGATACTTTTAGACACTATTAGATATAATCCAGAGCTAATACAAAGGGGTGGTTTTCTAGATATTTGCTATCACCATCTATATTGCTAATATTGTTCCATCTTCCTATAACTCTACCTTGTCAGCTTGGAAAGTCATCTTCAAGCACCACCCCCATATTAAGCACCTCTGTGCCTATGGATCTATGGCTTATACGAAGGTACAAGATGAGTGATGCTCAAAACTAAATGGTAAAATGATGTATGTGGTCCTTGTTGGGTATCACAGCCATATATTCTACTAGCTGTATGAGTTATTTGGTGGCCATGTCTTCCTGCTACAAGATATTGTCTTTGACAAGGGTTCCAGACACTAGTTGTGCAAACTGGCTACCTGTATTATAGGAGAGAATTCATATCCCAATAAAGATAATATAAAGGAGGGCACGGAGCAAGCAAAAGGTGAAGGACAGGTAGGAGCTATTGACTTAGCAAGCACAAATGCCAAACCCAAATTAAGACCCACAAACCCAAATTAGGACCCACCAGTTATGGCACTAAAGACACTGCCATGCCCCAACATCCCTCTTCCTATAGTCCCTAATACCCTAAGATACCCCTTCTGCTTTCTATAACCATTGTATGCCCTCTGGGAGTCTCACAAATATGAGGCATATGAGTCCCAAGCCCACCTAGATGATGATAAATGGGCTGACAATGAGGCTGCTACTATATATATAGCTAATGACAATGCTGATGACCCCTTGCTTATAGACTCCAAGAGCTATGGCGACCCTCTTGCACTTGTTGCTGACTCTATGGACAGATCCTTACCAAAGATGCTTAAGGAAGCAATATGACAGCCTAAGCTCTGGCAGGAGGCTGTAGAGAGGGAACTTGTTAAAATGCAAGAATACAATGTTTGGGATATTGTCCCACCACCAAAGGAGGCAGAGCTAATAGACCACTGCTAGGTCTTTGCTAAGAAGTTCAATAGAGATAGCAGGGTAATTGGTTACAAAGCCTACCTTGTTGGGAAGGGGTACTCACAGAAATTTAGTATTAACTTCTTATGGACATCTGTGGCAGTCATTTGTCTGGAGACTGTTTGTACTGCACTTGTACTGACAGCTATCCTTAACCTAGAGCTCTAGCAGGTTGACTTTGAAAGTGCCTTTCTTAATGCACCTATCAACTCTGATATCTACATATGGAAACCAACTAGGTTTGAGGAGGCCAAGAAGGAGTTCTGGGTATGCTGTTTGAATAAAGCTATCTATGGCATGAAGTAGGGTAGAAATAATTGGTGGATAGAGCTAGATCGAGCATTACTAAGGCAAAGTGCACAAATGAGAAGCTTGCAGGGGCATACTAGGTCCTCTGAAGCTCCTATGAAGGTTTCCCCAAAAATTAGCATATATAAGAGCTGATTTTGGTCAGGTCCTTCCCTGAATTTAGCATATTTCTAGGTCAAAATCACACCATGTTTTCTAGTAGTTAGCATTTTTAAGGGCAGTTTGTGTCTGGTTAGGGAAACATTAGGATTTCTATAGCATTTACTAATTTGAAAATTTTGGTCAACTTGTCATAGAATATTCAAGAATCCTTTTTGTCTCTAATCCTATGCTTCCTTGGACATCTATATAATGGAAGCTCTCAACTTCTCAACTTCTCTTTTCTAAGCCTAGATCAGCATGTGTGGCAAATCCAAAATATACAAATCATTTCCCAAGACCCAAGAAAAGGCTTCACAAATACTTTATAACCTTGTACCCAATACATTATAGAGTATTGTGCCAGAAAAAAACTGGGTTTCTAAGTGCTTCACTCCTAATATGGGGGAAAAGTGCTAGACCTCCTTATGTGACCTACCTAGTCATGCTCCACCACTACTCCCAAGATTTGATTGATTGTGATCTCTATCTAAGTGAAAGTTCTAGAGATAGTAGAAGAGGGATAGGTAGAGCCATAGTAAAATAAAGTACTACAAAGAGGTAAGCACACAATGTACTAAAAGTATTAGCCCTAGCAGGCCTAAGGATATAACAGCACTTTGCCAATCATCCTAACCTGTAGTGCCCAGTTAAGCAGGTATTGGTTCAGAAACCTGGTTTTTTTCTGGCATGACACTCTAGAAAATTATACAAGACCTTGTAATTGGATAGTAGCAAGACTTAATATGTTTAACACTAATAGCAGGGTCAAGATAGAGAGCTCTTACTCATCCAAAGGTGAAGAAGGTTCTTCTAACCATGCCAATACCTATGGTTCCTAGTGGTCAGATTCTAGAGCCTTAGAATATACCTCAAGTATCTCATATACTCATTCTTTGTTGTTTGTGAGAAGAAATCAGTGCTACAGAGTAGTTTACACTATCTCAAAATAGCTGTGACAAAATGTGACAAAATGTGACTACCCTTCCTAGTTTTAGCATGCTTCACAAGCAAAATCAGGAAAATGTTAGCATTTTTCTGACCTGTTTAGGGGTATTTTGATGGGGACACCTTCATAGGAGCTTTGGAAGGCCTGGCATACTGTATTAAGGATATGGATGGTATAAATAGGGAGCCTAAGCTGATCCTGGGTATTAAAATTGAGAAAGACTATATGGCATGCACAATTTATATCTTACAGTGGGGCTTTCTCCTCCGAGTACTTGAGCATACTGGCATGGCTGACTATAGCATTGAGTCTACTCTACTCCCCTTAAAAAGAGCATACTATCTACTATTTGAGCCTATTGATGATACAAAGTGCCACAAGAGCCATAATAAGCTCTACTAGGAAATCCTAGGCACTATTAACTATCTTGCTGTCACTACTCAACCTAATATCTCTTTTGCCACCCAGGTGCTTAGCTCATTCATGCATGCTCTTGGTGCATGTTATTGGTGCACCCTCAAGCATCTTTGTTGTTATCTCAAAGGCATCATGGACTATGGAATCGCATATCATAGAAAGGGAGCAAGCCTATTTCCTATCAGCTACTTTGATGTGAACTATGTGATTGAATTGAACCACCACTCATTGTCAGGATAGGTGTTTTTCCTAGCCAGTAAACCCATTACTTAGAGCTCTAAGAAACAGCAGTCTGTCACAATCTCAACAACTAAGGTCAAATATGTTGCTGTATCTAGCACTATATAAATGGCAATCTGGCTCTGCATGCTCTTTTGCAAGCTGGAGGTTCTAATTGCAGGTCCTACCTTAATGTACAGTGACAACCTCAGTGCAAATATCTTGATGTGTGAATATGTTAATCACTTATGAGCAAAACACATTGATATTTACTACTACTTTATCTAGGAATGTGTAGAATGGGGGAAGCTTAAAATAGAGCATATTAGCTTAGCATATAACTTGGTAGACATACTTACAAAAGGGATCCCTTAGGATCACCACAAAGAACTAATGATCAGTTTTGGTATTATGAAGATCAAGGAAAAGTAGTGAAGTATGACCTCTTTTATTCTCTCCTCTTTCTTATTTGGTATTTTCCTACTTATTGATTTCCTTATTCATACTTTGGTACTGTGGACCTACCATTAAGTTTGCAATGATCAGCACTCACTCCCTCAGTTGTTTTACCTCTACCTTAAGTGACAACTAAGGTAAGCTTCTTGTTTACCTATATTATCTTACTTATACTAAAAGCCATTCATAACTCTTCTATTTTGGTCTTACTATCTCATAGATACTATTTAATTCAGCTATTTTACCTCTATCTCAAGTGACAGCTAAGCTCTTCTATTCCAGTCTTACTATTTCACAGATCTTGCTTAATATTAGTTAGAGGCAACTACTATAATCCACATTAATCTAGGCAGGCACAGTTATATACATAACATTAATATGTACCTTCATACTATTAATAGCTACTATATTAATTCCAATAATGGCAATATTAACAAGTTTAAGTATGCTTACTTTTAGATAGACATAATAGACATAGCTAATTTATCACTATCTCTATAGTAATAAATATAGATAAGCCAACTTGTATTTTACAATACTATATTGGCTTAATGAACATATATCTAGATGCACAGAATAACATCTTATAATATGCTTAAATTAAGATTTATATCCTTATTTAATTTGCCTCAACTATCTTGGCTTCTTTAAGCTAGGCTGCTATAATTAGATCTTTGCTAAAGATTTGAAGCTCTTAGTGGTAGTAAGACAATCTATTAACTATAATAGTCCTAGCCTAATACTAATGTAGTTATAATAGATTATAATACATACTTCATATTTAGGCTATCTTAATCTTGTTGAGCTATTAAATTACAATAATAGTAGAGTACTGCCCTATACCACATATACTAACTCTAATAGTAAGCCTTGTCTAGTTAATAAATAGCCTTTATAGTTGTCTAGACAATAAGATAGAAAAGAATATTACTAAATGCATTTTTTATTTTTCAAATAATATAAATGCCACTAATGCCATTCTGTACATGCTTAGGCTTGATGATAATATATTAAATAAGTTTGATAATAATAATAATAATAATAATAATAATAATAATAATAATAATAATAATAATAATATTATTATTATTATTATTATTATTATTATTATTATTATTATTATTATTATTATTATTATTATTATTATTATTAAGATAGGCTGCATACAAATGCAACTACATCACATGGAGTTACTTTTAACATGGCAATTAGTGACCATTGAGTGACAAAGAACATGTTAAGTAGGTAATCAATGATATTTGTTACTGATAAGTGAGTTGGGGGATAGGAGAGACAAAGAGCCTGCGGCAAGAGACACAACAACATTAGAAAGATATTACTTGATGTTGTCTAGCTGGTCTAAGATGGTGTCTGAAAGTGTGCAATGGCCATGGTAAATTTTTGCTGCCTAACTTGCCTGCTTGCCAGACAATCGTTTTCAATAAGCATCCATAAACCGATGTGCTCATATTGAGAATCTATTGGCATGGTAAGTTAGATATAAAGTTAGCCTTGGTGAGGACTCACCGTTGTATAGATTGAATTGAAACAGCAGCAAGAGCTTTCTTTACATTTTGTTCGAGGTCAGCCTCCTTTGGAGGGAGGGAAATCTCAGTATATATGCTTTGCATGCCCTCAACACTGCTCAATTGGACTGAGCTCGCAGTGAAATTTTGGAAGAAAAATAATTTGAAAACCATGAGCTTGACAATGAGTCTCTAATATAGACTCAACATTCTCAAAGTCAGGCTGACTGTAAAGCAGTCGACAATAGCAGCAGCAAGAAGTGTCATTCAGACACTTGAACCTAGGGCATTCTGCTCATAATTCTTAAACATCATAATACCAGTGCTCCTCCAAAATCCTTATCATGCCTTTGAAGACACCAGCCGCATGATCTGGATGCTTGCCATCAGAAAAATACAATGACTGGGGGTGCCTATTGAACATAGCGTCAACCATCCACACTTTCTCCTTCATAACCTTTCCATCCACACCATGAACCAGCTTGTTATTTTTGGCCATTCTGGTTGATGTGGCATTCATGCCACATGGGTGCCACCTTTGGGACTCATTGATTACTCGCCTCTACAGCTGGGAGCGGCCCTACAGCCGTTCCCAGAGCGGGTACATTGCTTTCTTTCTCCATTTGGACTGTCTCACTTTCTTTTCACCTTGTCTCACCTTGTTTCAGTTGTTTCACCGGGTTAGCCGGCTGAGGTGGTCCTGTGTGATGTCATTGACACTCCGGACTGAGCTCCAGGTGGAGCTTTTGACCGCTTTGTAAGATGTTTCACCTGCAATGACCCGTTGATGTCATACCTTCCTTTTTCGTTTCTTATTGTTCTGTGTAGCTCAAATACCCGTGGTCCGAGGGCGATTCTTTCCTCAGACTCTTACCCTCTGGACCACAGGTGCGCTCCCCTCTGTTCTTTGTATCTACTTAGACTCTTACCCTCTGGACCACAGTCCTGTCGTTAGAGAGCTTCATTTTGGCACTCTCTCTGTGCCAGTCACTTCGTTGTCACTGCGCTCAACAATAAGTTTCTTGTAATTTTAGCTCAAATATCCTCCCTTTTATGCTTTATAGATATATATTATAGCCTTTATAATATTTCAGCCTGATCTTATTCTAAAATATATTTTTGATTATATTATAATATAATTTAAGCATACTTTGCGTGGAAATTAAGTAGCACATTCCTATTTTATTTAAGATTTATCCATGGATCTTATACTGTATTTTGGGACAAGAAATTATTAGGTAATTAGTCTAGAATTACCAATCCTATTAAACTTTGCCTATAGTGTTTATGACTGTATTATCACTTATTATTAACTATGTCCTTCTAATAAAATCATTGTGCTAATTGTGTTAAAAACACCACTACTAGTATACCTTGTAATTATAGTCTTATAAATTTAAAATCTTGACTATGTACCAAAATATATATTTTCTTCTTATATGACTGAAATGCTCCTCAATATTATAATGCCTTATTTTCAGCCAACTTTATCTATCTGTTTCTTCTACTAGTTATTTATTTTATATGGTAATTTATATAGTGGTATTGGGCTATTTGGTCATGATAAATTTGTTTTTTCAAAGCTCAGTAATGGTATTGGTAGTGGAGGTGATTGCTCAGATCCATCATTATGGTTAGGCAATGGTGGTGTTGGTGTTTGTTTAGGTTTATGGGGGTTATTAAGAGTAGGAGTGCCTTATTCTTATATTATTAGGGGGTTTGTATTTATCTCCTATAGATTTCTATTATCTGAGTCATTTTAGCTTTCTTTTAAGAAGTTAGTCCTTAGATAATAATTACTATCTGTAGGATTCAAATTGGTTCTATGGGTTTATAGTGTCTTTTGGGACAATACTAAAAACAAAGACTGGTAGTCCTCTAATAACTCAAGGGGAAGTCTATGGTTTGAGTTAGTTACACATAGCTCATGAAGATTTCATGTTTTACTTCCTAACTGCTAAGCATCAGGGAAGTGTTGAATGCAGTGACAATGGAGCGACTGGCACAGAGAGAGTGCCCAAAAGAAGCTCTATAACGACAGGACTGTGGTCCAGAGGGTAAGAGTCTAAGTAGATACAAAGAACAGAGGGGAGCGCACCTGTGGTCCAGAGAGTAAAAGTCTGAGGAAAGAATCGCCCTCGGACCATGGGTATTTAAGCTACACAGAACAATAAGAAACGAAAAAGGAAGGTATGACATCAATGGGTCATTGCAGGTGAAACACCTTACAAAGCGGTCAAAAGCTCCACTTGGAGGTCGGTCCGGAGTGTCAATGACATCACACAGGACCGCCTCAGCCGGCTAACCCGGTGAAACAACTAAAACAAGGTGAGACAAGGTGAAAACAAGGTGAGACAGTCCAAATGGAGAAAGAAAGCAATATACCTGCTCTGGGAACGGCTGTAGGGCCACTCCCAGCTGTAGAGGCGAGTAATCAATGAGTCCCAAAGGTGGCACCCATGTGGCATCCATGCCACATCAACCAGAATGGCCAAAAACAACACACCCTCCTGATTGCACGCCTCTACAGCGTCCAAAACACCCTCCTAATGTGGCAGATCCTCTAGTCCCATCAGGCTGCAGCAAATCTTCACCTTCTCAGGTGGAACAGCCATCGTCAGGATGTCCGCAGTAGGAACGTAGGCTGGCGCAATCACACCAGCCTCTACCTAGTTCCTGAGCCAAAAGAAACGAAGATCGAGATGCTTCATCCGCCCATGGTGCTCTGGATTCTTGCTAACTGCAACGGCCGACTGGTTGTCGACGCGGAGAATCGATGCCTCAGACAGGGAGTAGCCAAGTTCAGTCAGCAAATTCCGCATCCAGATGATCTCCCGGCCCGCATCGACAGCAGCAATGAATTCTGCCTCTGTGGTCAACTGTGCAACGAGTCCCTGAAGCTTCGAGCTCCAGCTGATCGCTCTAGAGCCAATGCGCAACACATATCCACTCGTGGACCGTCCGTTGTCTGGGTTGCCTGCATGATCAGCATCACAGAACGAGGTAAAGAGCTCCTTGGAGTCGGTGGGACCATAGACGAGTCGATAATCCAGTGTTGTTTGTGGCCGTTGTCGTTGATGTGGGATCCATGACATATGGGTGCCACCTTTGGGACTCATTACTCGCATCTACAGCTGGGAGCGGCCCTACAGCCGTTCCCAGAGCAGGTATATCGCTTTCTTTCTCCTTTTGAACTGTCTCACCTTGTTTTCACCTTGTGCCACCTTGTTTCAGTTGTTTCACCGGGTTAGCCGGCTGAGGCGGTCCTGTGTGATGTCATTGACACTCCGGACCGACCTCCAGATGGAGCTTTTGACCGCGTTGTAAGATGTTTCACATGTAATGACCCGTTGATGTCATACCTTCCTTTTTCGTTTCTTATTGTTCTGTGTAGCTTAAATACCCGTGGTCCGAGGGCGATTCTTTCCTCAGACTCTTACTCTCTGGACCACAGGTGCGCTCCCCTCTGTTCTTTGTATCTACTTAGATTCTTACCCTCTGGACCACAGTCCTGTCGTTATAGAGCTTCTTTTTGGCACTCTCTCTGTGCCAGTCGCTTCTTTGTCACTGCGCTCAACAGCAACAAGAGGGACAACAACAGGAGCAAGAGGTGGAAGAGGTGCTGGGTCTGCCACAGGATGATCCTGATCGATGGGAGCGTCTTCGAGGTGACCAGCAGGAGGAGGAGCATCTGCTTCCCCCCCCAGAACTGGCACCGGATCAACATCTCCATCCCAAAGACTGAACAGAGACGGAGGAGGAGGGGTGGCAGACTGGGGGTTAGCATCAAAGTTGCGAGTGCCAGGAAAGAATCGCTCATCAAAGTCTGCCCTTTCCGAAATGATGACCTTCCGAGTCGCAGGATTGTAGAACTTCCACGCCTTGTAGCCCTCAGGATACCCAATAAACACGCACTTCTCCATATGCGATCCAAATCCATCCCTTTTGTCTCTCTGCACATGCACATAAGCCAAGCAGCTTCAGACCCGCAAGTGCGAAACGTCCGGCTTCTTCCCATGGACCATCTCAAATGGTGTCTTGCCCTTCAGGGTAGACGTCCAGAGTCGATTCCAGACGTGCACATAGGCGGCCAGAGCCTCGCCCCAGAAAACAAGCGGCAAATGCGATTCAGAGAGCATGGCAGTGAGGGCCTCCATGATAGTGCGATTGGCACGCTCTGCTACGCCGTTCTGCTGTGGCCGATTGCGCGCCGTGTGCCTCCTAGCGATCCCATGCTCCAAACAAAACAAGTCCCAGGCATTGGACATGTACTCTCCTCCCTTGTCATCCTGCAGAGCCAAAACGTGCTGTCCATCAGGTTCTCCACATAGGCCTTGTAGCGCTTGAAAGCCTCAAACGCGTCGCTCCTCAAGCGAAGGACATAGACCACCTTGAGCTTGGTGAACTCATCAATGAAGGTGATCCAGTAGCGCATTCCAGAGTGAGTGGCAACAGGGAGAGGACCATGGAGATCAGAGTGGACGAGTTCAAGCGGTTTGGAGGTCACAGAGCCAGTGGAGGGGAAGGGGTGAGCGTGCATCTTGCCAAAGAGACAGGGCTCGCACACAGGGTCAGGCTGCACGTCCGAATCGAGCTGTAGACCAGTAACGAGTTGTTCCTTGACCATCCTCTGCACTCCAGCATGGTGGTGGTAGCAGAGACGACGATGCCATAAGGACAAGTCAAGAGGGAGAGTAGAAGCGGCACTAGCAGACTGCAAAACAATGGTGGAGGTGGTGCCTTGAAGATATGCGTTGTTGGAACCATCAGGAACGATTGCCATGAACCACACTGCACCGTCCCGGGAGAAATGCATCGAAGATCCTTCTATTAGCATAGAGAAGTGCTTGTGCTGAGTCAAATACAGCACAGACAGGAGATTACAACCGAGATCAGGGACATGCAGGACGTTTGAGAACTCCACAGACTGCGCCCTCTTGCCTCTAACGACCGGATTGAACACCACAGTCCCAACACCAGCAGAATAGATGACAGATGAGTCTGCAAGACGAATGGGGACGACGAAGGGACGATAGTTGCGAAGCCAGTGGTGATGGGGCGTCATATGAGAGGTCGCACCTGTGTCCGCATTCCAATCGAGGTCAGTGACGAGTGAGGGGGCTGTGGACGAAGGGGATGGAGCAGGGGAACGAAAACTTGCATTGCCTGCAAACTGCATGGGACCAAAGGCTTCAGGGGCCTGAACCGAGTGGGCCTGCTGTGGCTTGGACTTCTTCAGGTCCTCATTGATCCTCTTGAAGCACCTGTCATCAGTGTGGCTAGTGGCACCGCAGAAGTCGCACTTGTACTGCTTCCTGGGTGGCCTGGAACGTCTGTAGGAGGTGGAGGAAGAGGAGGGGGATGAAGGAAAGGATGCCACAAGGGCCTGTGCAGAGTCTGTGGGATCAGAACGACGCGCACGATTCAAATCCTCGCGCCTGAACGCGTCCTCGAGCTTGGAGCAAGACAAGACGTCCATAAGACTGAGGGAGGAGCGGAAGGTGTCAAACTTGGAGGGGAGAGACCACAAGAGGGCCATGCAAGTGAGCTCCTCGTCCTGCTTCTTGAGATCGAAGCCAGAGTCGCGGAGGTTCTTCAAGACGCGCATAGACTCGTCGACACGATGAATGAGGGACTGGAGGGACTCATCATTGCGCTTCTTGATCGAAAAGAGGTCACCATCGCATTGAAACGCGATCCAGCAGACTTCTTGTTGAACTGCTCCTCCAGTGTGGTCCAAATAGCGATGGGGTCGTTCTCAATGCCATCCAAGACACCTCTGAACTGCTCCTCAACTGAAAGTAAGAGTGCACCAGCAGCCTTCTGAGCATTCCTCTTACACTCTGCCACCTCCTTTGGGTCAGCAGGCTTCTCCTTCGAGCCAACAGGGGCTGTCTCATCACCAGAGACTAGAAGCCACAGGCCTTTGAGACGAAGCCAGGCCTTGATCTCCTTGGACCAGGAAGGATAGTTGCAATTATTGAGAGGGGAGATGGAAGGGAGAGCGAATGAGGGGTCAGACATGGTGTAGGACGAGTGGCACCAGGAGGGAAAGATGTTGGAAGTGATGTGGGACGATGGGAAAGGCAGGGAAAGCAATGGGGAAGATGTGGCAGCAAAGAAGTGTGGCCAGAAAGGAGTGGCACAGCAGATGGGAGACGAGAAAGTGTGGATAAAACGATGTAGAGCAAAGTCGCTAGAGCGCAGGGCCCATAACCTGTTGAACGCAGTGACAACGAAGCGACTGGCACAGAGAGAGTGCCCAAAAGAAGCTCTATAACGACAGGACTGTGGTCCAGAGAGTAAGAGTCTGAGGAAAGAATCGCCCTCGGACCACGGGTATTTAAGCTACACCACGGGTATTTAAGCTACACAGAACAATAAGAAATGAAATAGGAAGGTATGACATCAACGGGTCATTACAGGTGAAACACCTTACGAAGCGGTCAAAAGCTCCACCTGTTCAAAAACTCCACCTGTAGGTCGGTCTGGAGCCTCAATGACATCACACAGGACCACCTGAGTCAGCCAACCCAGTAAAACAATACAAACAAAGCGAGAGAGTCCAAATGGAGAAGGAAAGCAATATACTCGCTCTAGGAGTGGCTGTAGGGCCGCTCCTAGCTGTAGAGGCGAGTAATCAATGAGTCCGAAAGGTGGCACGCATGCCACATGAACTAGAATGGCCACAAACAACACCCAGCACCCTTCCTGCTCTTAGAACACGCTCTAGGAATCGCTCTGCCACCCCTGAACCAGGTCCATCTACCACTCGACGCTCTACTCGCACTCGTCGCGCCCCTAGGGAATGGTGGGAAGGTTAGGACATCGGTTCTCGTTGAATTTTCAAGGTGAAGCACAACATGGATGGCTTTGTCGAACGCTACAAAGCTCGTCTCATCGCCAAGGGCTTCAGTCAGCACCCTGGGTTTGATTATTTCGAGATCCAGAGGGTAAGAGTCTGAGTAGATACAAAGAACAGAAGGGAGCGCACCTGTGGTCCAGAGAGTAAGGTATAACATCAATGGGTCATTTCAGGTGGTCCGCCTTATAAAGCAGTCAAAAGCTCTACTTGTAGGTCAGTCTGGAGCGTCCATGACATCACATGGGACCACCCTGACCCAGGTCGGCCTAGTGAAACCACTGAAAAGAAGTGAGACAAGGTGAAATGAAAGTGAGAGAGTCCAAAAGGAGAAAGAAGGCAGTATACCCACTCTGGGAGCGGCTATAGGACTGGTCCCAATGAGTCTGTAAGGTGGCATGCATGCCACATGCATGCCACATCAACCAGAACGGCCACAAACAACAGGTTTGCCTAGGTTTCTGTGAGAAGGTAGAGGGGATTCTGCATAGAGAGGGGCAGCTAATGCTCCAATATCCAGTTTTACCACAACAGTAACAGAGACTAGGTACTTGGGTAGTGCTTCTTTGTCATAGATCTTATCTATAGCCCACAGATCTAATCCTCATTAGAAATAAGGTACTTGTTTCTTATCGGTGTCGTGCAGTGAGACGGTTTGAAGTCGGAGGGCAGGAAATAGTCTAATTGACACGCCAACCAATTCCAAAGAATCGTCGCCTAGACTGACTCAGGGTTTTCTTCTTTCCCAGAGCAGCCTAGTTGTTCGTTGTTGAGGGTAATTTTTCTTGTTTATATATTGGTACCAGTTTATCTTACTTATGCAAAGCTGTGTGCCTATGTTAGGAGGTGTATGGATCCTAAGGGAGTGGTTACTAGTGTGCTGTGAAGTGTGTTGTTCCTATCAAGGTGCTGTGCGTTAGGATTGGTAGAGCAGCGTGAGAAATACTTTCCTGAATTCAGACTCTTTCCGTTTGAAAGAATCCAGAGGATGAGTGTGATGAAGAGACAAGACCTGGATATCAGACTAATAGGTGTTGGTTGAACTTGGTGTTTTCAGAGCTTCTTTACTGATGCAGGTTCAGACGTTTTCTGACCAGATCAGACTTAGAACTAATTCAGCATCCCGTTTTGGCTAACACAGCTTTAAACTTATCAGAAGGTACTTGGTGCTAACTTCAGAGACTTTAGTGATTAGTGAGGACTACTTTACAGGGCAAGAGCAACTTCAATAACAGGGGCAATAAACTGCATATATTTCAGGGCACATGCACTCCTCTTTTATGTGTTTCTGGAGAGGCTGTGCATGAGACCTGGATTTGGGTATTTACAGATGTATCTAGGTGCTAAAGATTCTAGAATGAAGTATCTGGTCTAAACTAGAACAGAGTAGGCTTTCCTAGATTCCTCTAGAGCATGGCCTGGAATTATTCCAGATTTTCTATTAGTCACCTGAGCAGCTCTAGGTTCTCTAGCCTCTCGATTCCTCATCTGCTCACTAAGCCATTACAAAGCCTCTCAGTGCATTAGAAAGCGCATAAGGTCCATGCAATTCTATGAGAGCCTGGATCAGTTTGGCTCTACTCTAGTCCCTTCTAGGCTTCATCCGGTCTGTTAAAATAGCACTAAGGCAGCTTTTTCAATAAATATAGACACTTTAAGTCCTTGATAAGTCGAGGTTTAATGAAAGACAGCTGCATATATTCACAAATATAGATCAAAATGTCCATCCACATCCTAAGCATGAAACTGGAGCCAAGGGAGAGTGTGATACTTGAAATGTAAAGACTGTATGAATTTTAGAGAAAGAAATAAACAAGAAACTGTCACGAACGGCTGTTCGAGATGAGGAGATCCTAGGCCACAAACAATACAAGAGAATTGGAGAGGATATTCGGGACTGATCAGACCAGTGTCTTGGAATCAGAGAAGACTGTGTGAACAGCAGTTCTTAGATTGGACAGAGGTGGATAGCCTAGGGCTTCCACACTGCGCCGCAGTATCTATAAATATGTACAAGTGAAAGCACGGACCAAGTATCAGTGAAACAGGTGTTGTTTTTGGCCGTTCTGGTTGATGTGGCATAGATGCCACATGGGTGCCCCCTTTGGGACTCATTGATTACTCGCCTCTACAGCTGGGAGCGGCCCTACAGCCGTTCCCAGAGCGGGTATATATTGCTTTCTTTCTCCATTTGGACTGTCTCACCTTGTTTTCACCTTGTCTCACCTTGTTTCAGTTGTTTCACCGGGTTAGCCGGCTGAGGCGGTCCGGTGTGATGTCATTGACACTCCGGACCGACCTCCAGGTGGAGCTTTTGACCGCTTTGTAAGATGTTTCACATGTAATGACCCGTTGATGTCATACCTTCCTATTTCGTTTCTTATTGTTCTGTGTAGCTTAAATACCCGTGGTCCGAGGGCGATTCTTTCCTCAGACTCTTACCCTCTGGACCACAGTCCTGTCGTTATAGAGCTTCTTTTTGGCACTCTCTCTGTGCCAGTCGCTTCATTGTCACTGCGATCAACAGGTTATGGGCCCTGCGCTCTAGCGACTTTGCTCTACATCGTTTTATCCACACTTTCTGGTCTCCCATCTGCTGTGCCACTCTTTTCTGGCCACACCCCATTGCTGCCACATCTTCCCCATTGCTTTCCCTGCCTTTCCCATCTTCACACATCGCTTCCAACACCTTTCCCTCCTTGTGCCACTCGTGCCACACCATGTCTGACCCCTCATTCGCTCTCCCTTCTGTCTCCCCTCTCAATAATCGCAACTATCCTTCCTGGTCCAAGGAGATCAAGGCCTGGCTTCATCTCAAAGGCCTGTGGCTTCTAGTCTCTGGTGATGAGACAGCCCCTGTTGGCACAAAGGAGAAGCCTGCTGAGGCAAGGGAGGTGGCAGAGTGGAAGAGGAATGCTCAGAAGGCTGCTGGTGCGCTCTTACTTTCAGTTGAGGAGCAGTTCAGAGGCGTCTTGGATGGCATTGAGGACGACCCCATTGCCATTTGGACCAAACTAGAGGAGCAGTTCAATAAGAAGTCTGCTGGATCGCGTTTCAACGCGATGGAGGACCTCTTTTCGATCAAGAAGCGCAACGATGAGTCCCTCCAGTCCCTCATTCATCGTGTCGACGAGTCTATGCGCGTCTTGAAGAACCTCCGCGACTCTGGCTTCGATCTCAAGAAGCAGGACGAGGAGCTCACTTGCATGGCCCTCTTGTGGTCTCTCCCCTCCAAGTTTGACACCTTCCGTCCTCCCTCAGTCTCATGGACGTCTTGTCTCGCTCCAAGCTCGAGGACGCGTTCAGGCGTGAGGATTTGAATCGTGCGCGTCGTTCTGATCCCACAGACTCTGCACAGGCCCTTGTGGCATCCTTTCCTTCGTCCTCCACCTCTTCCTCCACCTCCTACAGACGTTCTAGGCCACCCAGGAAGCAGTACAAGTGCGACTTCTGTGGTGCCACTGGCCATACTGATGACAGGTGCTTCAAGAGGATTAATGAGGAGCTGAAGAAGTCCAAGCCACAGCAGGCCCACTCGGTTCAGGCCCCTGAAGCCTCTGGTCCCATGCAGTTTGCAGGCAATGCAAGTTCTCGTTCCCCTGCTCCATCCCCTTCATCCACAGCCCCCTCACTCGTCACTGACCTCGATTGGAATGCGGACACAGGTGCGACCTCTCATATGACGCCCCATCGCCACTGGCTTCGCAACTATCGTCCCTTCGTCGTCCCCATTCGTCTTGCAGACTCATCTGTCATCTACTCTGCTGGTGTTGGGACTGTGGTGTTCAATCCGGTCGTTAGAGGCAAGAGGGCGCAGTCTGTGGAGTTCTCAAACGTCCTGCATGTCCCTGATCTCGGTTGTAATCTCCTGTCTGTGCTGTATTTGACTCAGCACAAGCACTTCTCTGTGCTAATAGAAGGATCTTCGATGCATTTCTCCCGGGATAGTGCAGTGTGGTTCATGGCAATCGTTCCTGATGGTTCCAACAACGCATATCTTCAAGGGACCACATCCACCGTTGTTTTGCAGTCTGCTGGTGCCGCTTCTACTCTCCCTCTTGACTTGTCCCTGTGGCATCGTCGTCTCTGCTACCACCACCATGCTGGAGTGCAGAAGATGGTGAAGGAACGTCTCGTTACTGGTCTATAGCTCGATTCGGACGTGCAGCCTGACCCTGTGTGCGATCCCTGTCTCTCTGGCAAGATGCACGCTCACCCCTTCCCCTCCACTGGCTCTGTGACCTCCAAACCGCTTGAACTCGTCCACTCTGATCTCCACGGTCCTCTCCCTGTTGCAACTCACTCTGGAATGCGCTACTGGATCACCTTCATTGATGAGTTCACCAAGCTCAAGGTGGTCTATGTCCTGCGCTTGAAGAGCGACGCGTTTGAGGCTTTCAAGCGCTACAAGGCCTATGTGGAGAACCTGACTGGACAGCGCATTTTGGCTTTGCAGGATGACAAGGGAGGAGAGTACATGTCCAATGCCTGGGACTTGTTTTGTTTGGAGCATGGGATCACTAGGAGGCACACAGCGCGCAATCGGCCACAGCAGAACGGCGTGGCAGAGCGTGCCAATCGCACTATCATGGAGGCCCTCACTGCCATGCTCTCTGAATCGCATTTGCCGCTTGTTTTCTGGGGCGAGGCTCTGGCCGCCTATGTGCACGTCTGGAATCGACTCTGGACGTCTACCCTGAAGGGCAAGACACCATTTGAGATGGTCCATGGGAAGAAGCCGGACGTTTCGCACTTGCGGGTCTGGGGCTGCCTGGCTTATGTGCATGTGCAGAGAGACAAAAGGGATGGATTTGGATCGCATATGGAGAAGTGCGTGTTTATTGGGTATCCTGATGGCTACAAGGCGTGGAAGTTCTACAATCCTGCGACTCGGAAGGTCATCATTTCGGAAAGGGCAGACTTTGATGAGCGATTCTTTCCTGGCACTCGCCACTTTGATGCTAACACCCAGTCTGCCACCCCTCCTCCTTCGTCTCTGTTCAGTCTTTGGGATGCAGATGTGGATCCGGTGCCGGTTCTGGGGGGGGAAGCAGATGCTCCTCCTCCTGCTGGTCATCTCGAAGATGCTCCCATCGATCAGGATCATCCTGTGGCAGACCCAGCACCTCCTCCACCTCTTGCTCCTGCCATTGTCCCTCCTGATGCTCCCCCTCCTGTCATTCCAGCGCCACCTCCTGCTCTCAGAACGCGCTCCAGGAATCGCTCTGCTACCCCTGAACCAGGCCCATCTGTTACTCGACGCTCCACTCGTACTCGTCGCGCTCCTGGGGAATGGTGGAAGGTTAGGACGCTGTCTGCAGACAATGATGCTCATTCGGACACTGCTGAGGACGTCCCTGATGCTTTTGGAGAGGCAGAGATGGAACCCATTGTTGAGGACGCATTTCTGGCTGAAGTCGAGCGTGCCCTGTTCACCTCTGGTGCTGAAAAGGCTGAGCCCTCGACGTATCGTCAGGCAATGAAGCGCCCTGATGCAGATCAGTGGCAGAAGGCGGCAGAGGAAGAGATGGAGGCTCATGCTCGGAATCGCACCTGGGACATTGTTCCACTCCCTGAGGGCTGCAAGGCAATTGGCTCTCGTTGGGTTTTCAAGGTGAAGCACAACACGGATGGCTCTGTCGAGCGCTACAAGGCTCGTCTCGTCGCCAAGGGCTTCAGTCAGCGCCCTGGGTTTGATTACTTCGAGACATTCGCCCCCACAGCCAAGTTTGCAGCCATTCGCGCCATCCTTGCTCTCTCTGCCCTCGAGGACTTTCACCTGCGCTCTGTCGACATCTCCCATGCGTTCATCAATGGCGATCTGGACACTGTGGTCTACATGGAGCAGCCTGAAGGATTTGAGCAGGGAGGACCTGAGATGGTGTGCCGCTTGATGAAGGGCTTGTATGGGCTGAAGCAGGCGAGTCGGCTGTGGTACAAGAAGCTCAAGGCGGTATTGGAGCGCATGGGATTCAAGGCGATCTACTCTGACAACAGCATCTATGTCTACACCAAGGATCAGGTCAAGGTCATTCTGCCTGTCTTTGTGGATGACTGCACTTTTGCATCGAATTCCTTGTCCCTGCTCGATGATCTTGTCGTTGAGCTCTCTAGGTCGTTCAAGCTTCGCGATTTGGGGCCCACTACCGCTCTTCTTGGGATAGAGATTGCCAGGGATCGCCCTAATCGTCGCCTGATGCTCTCCCAGCGCCAGTACATTCTAGACATGCTGGAGCGTTATGGACAGGCCGACTCGACCCCTGTGAAGACCCCCATGGTCCCTGGCACCAATCTCTCTGTCTCCATGGCTCCTGTATCGACTGAGGACAAGGAGTATATGAAGAAGGTTCCCTACATCTCTGCTGTCGGTTCCCTGCTGTTCCTTGCACTGGCCACTCGTCCTGACATCGCCCACACGGTCTCTGTCCTATGCCGTTTCAACTCGAATCCTGGGATTGCGCACTGGAAGGCTGTGAAGCATCTGTTTCGCTATCTGAGAGGCACCCTGGATTATCGACTTGTCTATGGTCCCACCGACTCCAAGGAGCTCTTTACCTCGTTCTGTGATGCTGATCATGCAGGCAACCCAGACAACGGACGGTCCACGAGTGGATATGTGTTGCGCATTGGCTCTGGAGCGATCAGCTGGAGCTCCAAGCTTCAGGGACTGGTTGCACAGTCAACCACAGAGGCGGAATTCATTGCTGCCGTTGATGCGGGCCGGGAGATCGTCTGGATGCGCAATTTGCTCACTGAACTTGGCTACTCCCTGTCTGAGGCATCGATTCTCCGTGTCGATAACCAGTCGGCTGTTGCAGTTAGCAAGAATCCAGAGCACCATGGGCGCATGAAGCATCTCGATCTTCGATTCTTTTGGCTCAGGGACCAGGTAGAGGCTGGTGTGATTGCGCCAGCCTACGTTCCTACTGCGGACAACGCTGCAGACATCCTGACGAAGGCTGTTCCACCTGAGAAGGTGAAGATTTGCTGCGGCCTGATGGGACTAGAGGATCTGCCGCATTAGGAGGGTGTTTTGGACGCTGTAGAGGTGTGCAATCAGGAGGGTGTGTTGTTTTTGGCCGTTCTGGTTGATGTGGCATAGATGCCACATGGGTGCCCCCTTTGGGACTCATTGATTACTCGCCTCTACAGCTGGGAGCGGCCCTACAGCCGTTCCCAGAGCAAGTATATATTGCTTTCTTTCTCCATTTGGACTGTCTCACCTTGTTTTCACCTTGTCTCACCTTGTTTCAGTTGTTTCACCGGGTTAGCCGGCTGAGGCGGTCCTGTGTGATGTCATTGACACTCCGGACCGAGCTCCAGGTGGAGCTTTTGACCGCTTTGTAAGATGTTTCACATGTAATGACCCGTTGATGTCATACCTTCCTATTTCGTTTCTTATTGTTCTGTGTAGCTTAAATACCCGTGGTCCGAGGGCGATTCTTTCCTCAGACTCTTACCCTCTGGACCACAGTCCTGTCGTTATAGAGCTTCTTTTTGGCACTCTCTCTGTGCCAGTCGCTTCATTGTCACTGCGCTCAACAACAGGAACACGAGGTAGAGTCGGGAGAAAGGTTCTATGTGTCCTTATCAAGATGGTGAGAAAAGTAGGTAACATAAGCAAGACATTTTGTAACATTACACCCCCCTCTAGGCCGTCAGTGTCAGAGATGGTAAGGAAGAGTCCAAGAAAAACATAAGCAATGCATACAGTTCAAAGCATGGAGTGCAAGAGACAAATAATACTTAGGGCACAAATTCTCGCTGCCCACTGTCGAGTCATGACGCGATAGCCCTTGAGTATGGACATCATGATACCCCACCTCGTTACCAACCACGCGGGGACTGCGTTCTAGAACCGAGTCCCTCATCTCATTGTGGCAATGGGTACCGGCCCAATGGAGTCAAACCGTTGTTTGCCCCAGCAGTTTTATGTGGTAGCGGGGAGAAATTTGTGTGAACTTATACACATCGTCCCATCCGCAATGTCTCGTGGGATAAGCCCCCGGCATTGGGCAAAGTGGTGCTCCATTTGAGGCCGAAGACGAGGCACTAGATACCACAGCCGTGGTAGGCATATGGTACTTAGTGGCGGGGTTGTCGTCGGCCGGATGAAAAGAGTCGCAAAGCTGCGTCGTTTGGTTTAGCCCCATGAGTCTCCTCTCGCCCGCATTGATGCGAGCGATGAGTGTTCCTTCCCTGATCTGCAGGGCTCTCTGTGCATGCCTAACGAAACTCCTCTCTTCCTCTAGGATTTCCAAAGCCCTTCGTACCTCTGGCCATGTGGGTCCAGACACAAACTCAGTGTTCAGTGTACCTTCAATAAGTCCCATCATGTAAGACACAGGGGTCATCAAGTACGTCTCTCTATCAGGAAATACGACTCCTTTGTTCCCTTCATGGATCAACGGGAAAGGAGACGGCGAGCGGGAGGAAGAGGTTGTTCGGGATGTTGTGATGTCTACAGTGGATAGGATGGGAGGACTAGGGGTGCGTGCGGTAGCTGCTTCTTCTGCCGCATTGGCGTCGACTCGGGCTTGGTATTTTCTTGCGATCTCTTCCTGCTCCCATGCCAACTCTCTCATACTCATCATGGGTCGGTCTGTGACAAATCCCGACTGTATGTATGTTTCTGCGGGAGTGAGGGATGACTCAGAAGAGGGGGAAGAGGGAGAGGTCTGTATGGATCGGTCGATGAGGGTGTTCTCAATGGAAGAAAGGTGAAGGGATCCGTTGGAGGACATGTTTGTCAGATGGAAGAATGTTGTGGGTGGGGAAGAATGCTTGGAGTGATGGTGGGATTACGAGGATTGAGTTCGAGTTTTTATATCCTTTGGGTTTTATTTGTTCTGTATTTGTGAGGGCGGTTCGTAATGGTAAGTCATGGTATCATGCTTCATATGCTTCCAAAAGTTCTTTGGCGTTCCCTAAGTTTGTCCTCGTGATCCATTCGTTTGTGGAGTCCGGATACCCTTTCCAGCGTATTAGGTATTGGTACCCGCGTCCTCTTCTCCTTTTGTCAAGAATTTCCTTAACTTCGTATTTCTCTTGTCCTTCTATTAGATCAGGTGATGGTTGCTCGAAGTTGGGGCCATGGGCAGCCATCTCTTGATAACGTATGATTGGAAAGGCGTGGAATACGGGGTGTATTCTCTACGTTGGCAGAAGCTTTAATTTGTACGTCACCGGTCCTAACCTTTTTTCTATTTCGAATGGTCCATGCAGTTTAGGGGCTAGCTTGTTTTTCGGGTGAGTAGTGTTTATGTTTTTTCCTGATAGCCAGACCTTCTGTCCTGCTTCTAATTTAACTTTGTTTTCAGCTGTCTTCCTTTTCATTAATTCTGCCGTAACTTCCAGGCTGGCCTTCGTCTCCTGTCGTAATTGCTTTAACCTTTCCAATCTCTGTTCAACGCCGGGAATGTCGGATCTTGGCATGATTTGGGGCACAAAGGTTGGATTGTAGCTGTACATGAGTTCAAACGGTGACTGGTGTGTTGCTGAATGTTCTCTAACGTTATGTGCAAATTCTGCATATGGCAACAGTTTGGGCCAATTTGTTTGCTCGTAATTGCAGAATGCTCGTAGGTATTGTTCTAGTTCTTGGTTTACTCTTTCCGTTTCTCCATCTGTTTCTGGGTGATATGCGGTTGATAGCACTGTCGTCACTCCTAACTTCTTCCATAGCTCTTTGGTGAACCTAGCCGCAAACTGTGGACCTCTGTCGGAGATGATCTTCCTTAGAAGTCTGTATCGTTTTCAGACGTTTTTCATATAGAGGTCGGTCGTTCCTTCGGCGTCTATAGTTTTGTTGCATGGGGTGTAGACAACGCCTTTGGTGCTTCTGTCTACTGTTACGTGGATGGCATTATATGGTCCGACTTGGGGAGGATCGGTAATGAAGTCCATCGTAACCGTTTGCCAGGGTCCTTCTGGTATTTCGTTTGGAATTAGTGGAGAGCGTGTGGGATGTGTGATGTTTTTTGTGTTTTGACATATTGCACATCCTGTTACATATTCCTTTATAAATGTGGACATTCCTGGCCACCAGAAATTGTCTGATATCAGGATGTAGGTCTTCCATCGTCCTGGGTGTCCCGTTGCAGGCGAATCATGGTACATTTTCGTGATTCGTCTTTTAAGTTTATCATCTGGAGGAACGTATATTCTTCCTTTGTGCTAGATGAGGTCGTCTTCAATTCCACTCTTGTAATCCTTTTGAGAGTGCTCTGGTCCCTGATGCTTTGATAAGCTCTATTGCTTCCGTTACTTCTTTGTCTTTAGCTGTGACTTCTTTTAACTTTTGTCTCAGCTGGCTGTCGAGCATTTCGACTGTACCTCATCCTGTTGCACTTTTGACGAACATTTGGGGCTGTAACAATACCCGGTCTTTATTGTCGGATTTTACCCCCTCTTTTAGATCTGGATGCCTGGACAGAGCATCGGGTCGATGGGTGACACCGGGTTTGTGCACAAGGGTGAAGTCGAAGCGAGAAAGGAAAAGTGACCAACATGCTTGTCAACAGGAGAGAGTTCCCGCGGTAGAGAAATATAGAAGGTTCTTATGATCAGACCAGATCTCAAACGGATTCCGTGCGCCTTCGAGGTATACCCGCCAGTGATCAAGGGTATGTATGACGGCAAGTAGTTCTTTGTCGAAGATGTCGTAATTTTATTCTGCCACGTTGAACGACTTGGACAGATAGGCAATAGGGTGCCATCTGTCGTTTGGGGTTTCTTGCGACAGGATCACTCCGGAGGCAAAGTTGGAAGCATCAGTTTCAAGTTGGAACGGGCGTTTGCCATTAGGGTCGATGAGGACTGGAGTAGAGGTGAAACAGTTTTTCAAGTTTTCGAAGGCAGTGTTCCACTCGTTGGTCCACGTGAACAGGACGTCTTTCTTTGTGAGGTCATTGAGAGGTCGGGCCATGGTAGCGAAGTCTTTGATGAACCGTCTGTAGAAGTTTTCAAAGCCAAGAAATGACTGTACTTCCTTTAGGTTCATCGGCATTGGCCAGGCGGCGATGCCTTCTACTTTGACCGGATCCATGGATATGGTATCCGCGGAGATGATGAATCCGAGGTATTCAACCATGTCCGTCTCGAAAGTACACTTGGAAGGTTTCAGGAATAAATCATTGTCCAGAAGTATTTGCATAACTTGGGTTGTCACTCGTTGGTGTTTTTCTATGGTCTTTGTAAATACCAAGATGTCATCCATGTAGACTGCTAGGACTTGCACAACGATGAGGTCGTAAAAAATAATGTTCATCATGGTTTGGAATGTAGCAGGTGAGTTGCAAAGACCAAAGAACATAACAAGGCATTCAAACAGGCCAAATTTGGTCATGAAAGCTGTCTTCCATTTGTCTCCTTCTACTACGTTGATGTTGTTGTATCCCTATTTGACGTCAAACTTAGAAAAGATCCTCGCTTTCGATTTCGCGATGGTCCTTATTATATCATCAATCAGGGGTAATGGGTATTTGTTTTTTATCATCTATTCATTCAATCTTCGGTAATCTTGAACCGGTCGTAAATCTCCTTTTTTCTTTTTCACGAAGAAGAAGGGTGACGCTTGTGGAGATTTGGATATTCTGATGGTCCCCCACTTCAAATATTCTTGAAGCATTTTGTGTAGCTTGTCTTCTTCTTCTTCGGTCAAGGGGTAGAGTTTGCATCCCATTGGTTCCCATCCTGGCTTCATATTGATCTTGTGGTCCCATTGTAAATGTTCTGGAAGTTGTTGCGAAGCTTCCTGGCTAAAGATTTTGGCAAATCGTTTAAGGACATACGCCGGCACTATTTTCTCAATGGGTCGTTCCGTCTTTGTCTTGTTCGCTTTTTCTGCCAATTGTTGTGACTTGTTTCCGATGGAACCGATGTGAAGTGCCTCAAGAAGGTGCGCCCCAAGCAGGTCTTGGTAATACCATTCTTCGTAGAATTCTGAAAAGAAGGTGTCAAGAGTTTTGTTGTCTTCCAGGTCGTTTTCCATTTTGGAATACCCGACTGCTCTGCTTCTTCTTTTCTGCGTAGTTGCTAGTGCTTGTATAGTGAATTTAGGTCGGCTGACTAGACACGTGGTAGCGTACGTTGAAAACGTGAGACTATTCTTTACCCAATTAATTTGTGGGTTATGCTCGTGTAGCCAGTCCGTTCCGAGAATTATATTTTCTCCTCCTAGGTTAGCAGATAGTAATTCACATCATTCGTCATGGTAATCGCCTTCTTCATTTTTCATTCTCATAAGCAGGCAGGCTTTGTCAGTGATTTTTCCTCCTTCATTAGCTGTTCCGTCCACATTAAACACAGGAATAGGTTTGTCAATTTTTTGCATCGGTATTTTCTTGTCTAAGCAGAATTGTTTGTCGATGAGAAGCCCTTCTGCTCCTGAGTCAATTAATACCTTGGCTTTGGTGGTTCCTCCTTTGTGTTTCAATTGCATGTTTATTCTCATAGACGATTTCTGATTGGATTTGGTGAGCCGTACAATTGTTTTTACAAGGGTTTCTGGAGTGGGTCTACGGTACACCGGAGCCATAGGCCTATTTAAAAATCCAATTCCTTTTGCCTGCTTCCTTCACTCAATTCCTGAAGGAGCGCTTCTTGTTCATCCCATCTCAGCTTGCCTATGAACCTCTTGATTTCTTCTCGGCTAATCTTAGGCTCCTCCTGATGTATAGCTTCATCCGGTCCGGATGCGTAGGCTTGCCGCGCTGCGAGCCTGGCTTGGAATGGGTTAGTCGTCACTACACTTCCACCCTGGATCGTAGCGCTTCTTGTATCACTGCTCTGAGCTTTTGCCGAGAATGCTCGGCCATAGCTCCCTCCTCCTGCTGCCATCCTTCCACTGGCCTGAGCCGGGCGGTACCCCATCTTTCCACCACTCTGTTGAACATGTCCAATTGACCCTTCATGTATCCTAGACGAACCCCTAGCAGGGCATTGGTTCGCCATATGTCCTTTCTGACGGCAATAAAAACACCCACCCTCCATTCGTAACTTGTTTTGTTCCTCGTCGGTTAAAGCTGTTCAGACTGAGTCGACGGCCATCGGGACGACAGAGTTATTTATGGAAGAGGGAGCATTTGACGAGTTGTAGCAAAAGGGGTTGTTCTGTTGAACCAGAATAGAGGGTACAGAGCTTTTTATGCTCTATAATTCTCTCCATTGGTTATCAAATCTGCGGGTGTACTTTACCCAATTGTCCATGGTGGTCGGCATTTCTGGGAGCCGGTAAATCTGTTTAAGGATTTCCGGGTGTATGGCTCGGTGGAAGTAGTCGACAGTGGATTCTAGATCAAATCCGCTTTCTCCGACTGTTATGAGGTAGTCCGTGACAAATTCGTCTACGGATTGTTTTCCCATTCTTATGGTGAACAGCTTCTGCCTCGCCTTTTGTTCGAGGCTTTCGTCTCTGAATGATTCGGCTAATTCTTTTAAAAAAGCTTTGAACGTTCCCCATGTCAATTTGGTCTCCGTTGCTTTGTATTCTCGGAGTTCTCTATCAAAGTAATATTTCTGGGCAAAGAGCGATGCCGTCCCTTCCCTCATGTACGACAAGACCATTAATGTTTTGTTCATGTTAGTGTCATATTTGGTTGGGTTGGCCAGAATATACATGTGGCACTCGTAAATCCATTCTCAGTACTTTGACCTCATTCCATCGAAGTCTTTTGGCTTGTTCCCTTTGTCTGACATCTCGTCTTCGTCATCGGTTGTTTCTGTGCTAGGTAAGGGGTTTGGTTGTAGATTCAGGTTTGGGTTCGGTTGACTCGGTCCTGCTACAGGTTTCGGGTCTTCTTCGTCAACTGGGGTTAATACTCCCGCGGGGATTGGTATTTCTTCAATGTCTCCTTTAGGGATATCGACTGGTGGTAGGATGGGTTTCATTCTGGTTGGGGTAGTGACTGTTCTGAGGGGCACTTTCCTGTCTTCCCAGGGTACTAGCGGAGCATCAACTGTTTTTCCGCTATCCTGTCCTCCTACGTAAACCCAATTTCCCTTGGAGGTCCTTCTGATAGGTTGTCCGAAATGGACGTATGTGTTTGAGTGCTGCAAGTAGTCGGTTCCGTGTCGAACTTGCCCTATGTGTCTTCCTAAACTTTGGAAAGTCGTCTTGTTAGATCAAAGAGCCCGCGCTAGTCTCGACCTGATAAAGGTTTGAGGGTCAAGGCAACAGCAGCTCTTCCTAGCCGGGTATAGTAATTTCTACTTCTGGTATAGTACCGTACGTAACATCGAGTGCAATTGTTTCGGTCGTACCTCTACTGGGTTGATTACCAGATAGAAGTATTCTACAATCTGAAACGACCCACACTAAAGTGGAATCGTCCAATCGTTTGCTCGAAATGTATAGTAACTATTTATGGTCGATGGTCACTTGTCTTTTGGGACTGCCTAGCGCCGTATATAACTAGCCAGTGTTCTGCTGAAAGGAAAAGGTGGAGTAGGATTGTATGAAGAGAGGCTATCCAGATGTCACAAACGGCTGTTCGAGACGAGGAGATCCTAGGCCACAAACAATACAAGAGGATTGGAGAGGATATTCGGGACTGATCAGACCAGTGTCTTGGAATTAGAGAAGACTATGTGAACAGCAGTTCTTAGATTGGACAGAGGTGGATAGCCTAGGGCTTCCACACTACGCCACAGTATTTATAAATATGTACAAGTGAAAGCACGGACCAAGTATCAGTGAAATAGGAACACGGGGTAAAGTCGGGAGAAAGGTTCCATGTGTCCTTATCAAGATGGTGAGAAAAGTAGGTAACATAAGCAAGACATTTCGTAACAGAAACACTGGACTAAATGAGTAAGAACTTAATGAATCATGAATGGGTAAAGTGTTCATGGCCTAGCAAATCGACGAAAGATCATACCTCCCACTCCTGCTAATGCTCACCTCGCAATCTCCAAGACATTGCCATCAGATGCGGGAACACGTTTGCGGTCAGAGCTGAAGAGAGCTCAAATGTACTCACTGAACGTGTGATACATCGCATAGCCAAGTGGGGGAGGGGAGTTGACACAGAAAGTAGATGTCACCACTATGAACTGCTGCTCGTTGCCTGCTCCACCAAAGACGGCAATACAATCATCTTGCCAGACCATTTCAGAAAGAATGATAGTCGTAAACTCATAGTCGCCATCTGACTTTCTTTCAATCACCTCCACTGAAACCCCATCTTCCAACCAAATCCCTTCTTTCCTAGGAAGGACACAGACTTCCATTGATACTCCTCTGGCCGAAACAGGTGGCAGTCAAATTCCATCTTCGGCAGGAAAGATTAACATCATGGATGGCTTATTCAAAGGTGATGGAGCTAGAAGAGTATTGGAGGTGACATTGATGCAGTATGTGGGTTCATAGGGGATGGTTATAAAAGAGTGAGGTGATGGTAAGATAGAGGATATATTAAGCAAGTCAAGTCGTGGACCCAATGGGACAATTAGTGGATAGAAGTCTGGTGGTGGCTGTCAAAGCTCTGTGTGGCGATGAAGAAGGAACAATGATCGAGAGAATATGCCCCAAAGTGATAAGCATGCAGAGGTGTTGTTGGATATGACGTGAAGGAGTGATCCGCAGATGTGATTACCAGCAGTTCTTGAATCATCTTGTTTCTCAATTTCCCATTCTTTTCTAATGTTCTTTGCCTTGGCCTAGACTTGCATAGTTATTTCTTTCTATAGAACATTCTTTGAAATTATCCTGCCAAGGCACAAACTTGTTTGCGTTGTGACATCGGTAATATTGGCATTAGTAGCAATGAGAAGGAATTGGTTAGAGTACTCACTTATAGTTATCTTTTCTTAGGAGAATGCTATAAGGGCACTCCATACTTTATCTATTTTGTTGGACTCCTTAAATTGCAGTCTGAATGTAGCCAAGAAGTCTAACAAAACTCCTAAGTCCTTGGGAGTTTCAGCACCTATTATTTTGGCTAAGTAGTTTTTGTCCCAAGCTCTTGCCATACTGTGCCTTATACATGAGAGTACAAGGGATACTTGTCTGAATTGGTCTTGTACCTATCTAATTTTGCTACAAAAAAAGGCATTAAAGTATAAACTTCTGAGATTCTGTTTGGTCACCTAAGTAGTTTTTGGAGAGTTTGACTTTTCCTCTCCTAGGTTGTGTAGGAGCAGAAGGGGTGGTGCCTGATCCTTATTCTGACATATTGGCAACAATATGTGGGTTTTGGGTATTGATTAGTATTTGATTATATAATAAGTTGGAGTCTAAATTAGAAGTGACATCTTCTTGCTCTAAGTCATCTGGAATTACTGGTTCCAAATCTTTACACTAGGGTACCGTGTCCCAGTGGTTCTCTGTTTTATTTTGAAGATACTCTTCCTCTCTTCTGTTAGGAAACATAAAGTAGTATTACCCATTTTCATATGAGCAGTTGTCATAATTTAGTAAGGCATCTGTATTGGTGTCTTGGTAGAACCCATAAGCATCTTTTTGTTAAATGGGGTGATTATTGCGACAGAGTTATCCATTGACTTATATAGCACTAGGGGGATAATTTTGGCCTAGGTTTTGCTTTAGAGTGTAAAAGATAACTCTTGCTTAATGGGGGAGTCTACAATTCTGGACAAGCAAAGTTGATAATTTTAGTCAACTAATTTTCCCACTCTTCAGAAGCACCAGAACTGATATGCATTCAGTAAACAAGGATTTTGAGCTCCTTACAAGCAAAATCCTATAGGCCAATCTCATGTAAATTACATTTTATTGATTTTGACCCTCAAAAAATTGGCCAATCCCCAAATTAAATCGTAGGGCCTTAGAAATAGCATTAATTGACTTTATTTTTTTTATCTGAGTTCAATGATAGTCTTAAATAGTCCTAAAAAAATTCACCAAGGCTGTAATGACATACTAAGCTTCTAACTTATACAGCATTCAAAGCATCCCCAAGAGTGCCCTCTAAGAAAGAAACATATATTGAATATTCAGTAATCTTCGCAAAAAATCAATCCACTTGAGAAACTTATCTAAATTTGAGTTAGACACTAATGAAGACATGGGTGATATCTTGAAATGATATCCTTATGCAGGTTTGAAGCCATCACTGCTAGATGGTGCTGTGTCAGAGGATAAAATACAGACAGAGAAGAACTGTCAAAGTATAGGATGGAACAGATAAAAGATATAATGATGGAGATGCTAGAGGATGTTAATCTTGATGATCTATGAGACAGAGACTGGCTCTTATCTATAAAAAAACCTGGTAAGCTCTTAAAAAAGTACATTATGGTCAATACTAGATGGACCATAAACAGTAGGCCCACATAAATTATACTCATATGGTCCTGTTATTGACAACAAATCAGCATGCATACAGCAATGTCTGGAGTGGAAGTAAGCATGAAAGGGCCAGACAAAGCTTGATAGTTATTTCTCAGTAAGCAAGATGACAACCAAGAATGGTAAGGCAAAGGGATTGTAGCAGACTCTTACAAAACATAGCTTTGATGTCTATATAATGAAGGCCAAGCATTCTCCAATTTGTCTTTTTGAGAATGACACTTGTTGTATGGCCTGACTCCTAAGCAAGCAGGATGATTTTTTTTTCAAGAATCCCTTCTTAAGCAGAAATTGAAAGCTTGAGGTCATATTTGCATCTTTCTTTTGAACCTATTGAGATGATCAGTTTCTTTAGTCTTTTCTTTTATGGTATGCTTATATTATTCAGTACTAGGACTGGTACAAGCATCAGTACCATGAAATTTACAAAGTCAAATTTGAGGATACAGAGCAAGGGGCATATCAATGCCTCAATGAGTATTCTGTCAAGGTGATATGCTAATTTTTTAATCATTCATGGTGGTTTATGGATGCATATTGTAAGGGGCTTATAGAAAAAGTGGCAAAGTAGGCTGTGTGCAAACAGACACAGAAGGGTTAGGCAGTACACAATAATGTCTGTTGATGCAATACTAGCCTGAGATTGACTCTGATTGACTCTGATGCCATTTTAGGCCTAATTACATTTTGTTTTTTTTTATCTAAACAATTAGCCATCCTTATTTTACTATAGAAACTTCCATAAAGGGCATTTTTTAACTTCTTTTGCTTCCCTGAGTCTGAATCTAAACTCAGTTTGTCCCAAAAAATTCTGTCCAAAGAGTTAGCAAAATTGTTAACTTTGCTTGTTTAGCACTGTATAGCCCTATTGAGAAAGGTTATAAGAGAGTGTATGACAGCAAGCTAAAGTTCATGCAAGGTAGGAGCAAGAAGAGTCTATTCTAGTATTATGAGCTACTTGTTTCATAACCCTAAGAGTAAGAGGTTCTTTTCTAGGTTACACAATAAGGAAGAGTGAAACAATAATATTAACTGTACAAAATTTATAGGAGAAGATAATATTTGATAGACTGTGAGTAGGGAACACTACAGTGAATAAAGGTACTATAGTAGGAAGACTACAGTGAACAAAGAAAATAGACTGAAAATCCTTAGCCTATTCTATAGGCCTTTTATACTACTTTGGAAAGATATGAGAATACTGAACTATCCTACAGAATTCCCTAAGTCACTGCTCTTTCCTAGTGGCTACTTTTGTGCTTTTCCTATTATCTTCTTTCAACTAGGAAAATAATGGTTTATGTTTCTTTATAAGTATGTGCTTATAAGCCTATTATTGGTCATCTATGTTATCAATCATGATACTCAACTAGTGATGGCAATATCCACTAGAAGTTAATGACCAAGGATATTACCTCATACCAAGATATATATGCTGTGGTAAGCACTGCCTAGTAGTTGTGATAATTGTTAATAGCAATAGACTTAACTATGGAGGTTCCAATAGACTATAATCATAACTCTTAATGTGAATTGGATTTTTTCTCTATATAGAACAAGTCTTTCTTTATTATTCCATTATTGTAATCCTTTCTTCATACTGTGTAGACCTAGTGTTTTGACTTTGGTTAGTGTTTCTAGTAACTATTTGTCTTGTTTTCTTCAATAATATGTTTCTTGAGGTCTTTGTCAATTACAGTGATGCTTTCTTGTTTGGTTGCCCTAATATAAAAGATTTGGTGGAAATCTAGAATATCTTCTATGGTTATTGTATTGATTTTTGTAAAAGGTTTTGAGACTGTTTCTTTTGTTTAACTAAAAAGTTTGGGTTCTAAGAGTGTTTTGCCTAAACTGTCAAATTCCACCCTCTCTTTATGGTCTGGATACTATAACAGACTATTGGATTTATTGATGCCTCCTATCTTATGTGTTAATTTATAGTTAAAATATGAGAGGAAAAGTGACCATCAAGCTTGCTGTTATTTGTGGCCGATCTAGTTAATGTGGCATGCATTCCATATATATGCCACCTTATAGACTCATTGATAACTCGCCTCTACAACTAAGAGTGGCCCTACAGCCCCTCCCAAAGTGGGTATATTATGTTCTTTCTTTTTCTAGACTGTCTTACTTTGTTTTACCTTGTCTCACTTTGTTTCAGTTATTTTACTGGGTTAGCTAACTCAGGTGGTCTTATGTGATGTCATTGACACTCTGGACTAACCTACAGATGGAGCTTTTGACCACTTTGTAAGGTGGACCATCTTTAATGACTTGTTGATGTTATACTTCCCTATTTTGTTTCTTATTGTTCTTTATAGCTTAAATACCTGTGGTCCGAGGGCAATTCTTTCCTCAGACTCTTACCCTCTGGACTACAGGTATGCTCCCTTCTCTTCTTTGTATTCTCTTAGACTCTTACTCTCTGGACCACAGTCATATCATTATAGACTCCTTTTGGCACTTTTTCTGTGCCAGTTACTTTATTGTCACTATACTCAACACCAGCATAATAGGTACCAGAGATTTTATAAATCTCTTTTTAAGTATCTGGAATTTTTTGCATGCTAGTATTTAATTTTAGCTATGTTTTTTTTGTATTAACTTAAATAGCAGTTTGGCTATTTTTGAGTAATCCTTGATAAATTTACAATAGAAATTATAGAATTCTAAAAATGATTGTATTTCTTTGACCTTGGTAGGGGTTGGCCAGTCTATAATACTAGTGACCTTAATAGGGTTTATTTTAAGGTATTTGTGGGATATAATATATCTGTGGTAATTGATCTTTTTTTTGTGGAAATAGCATTTGAATAGCTATAGGTATAGATTATTATTCTGTAAGATCTGTAAAACCTATTATATTGTTTTGATATATTCTTACATAGTTTTGGAGAATACCAGAATATTATCTATATAAATAGCCACTTTCCCTATATAGATAAGATCCTTGAAAAAAGCATTTATTATGGTTTGAAAAGTTGCTGGCAAGTTAGTTAGTCTAAAAAACATAATCAAGGGTTTGTATATCCCCAAATTGATGATAAAGGCAGCTAGCTTTCTGCTCTTTTTATATATAAGCATATTGTTATATCCTATATTGACATCCATAAGTGAAAATAGTATTGTATCTATTAGGAGGTCCAAGAGTTCTTGAATAATTGGTAGAGGGTATTTTTTTTTTACTACTATTTTATTAAGCTTATAGTAATCTATTACTGGCTATAATTTTTTATTTTTTCATTATAACAAAGAAGAAAGGCAATACCATATGTGATTTGGATTTTTGGATAAATCCTTTCTTTAGGTTTTTATCAATAAACTTTTTCAGTTCCACTTGCTCTGCTAGACTAAAGATGTATAGTTTGGGCTTGAGTAAGTGATCTATTCTATCTTCAAGTTTAATTTTGTGATCCCAGAGTTGACTAGGTGGTAGTTATCGTTTTGGTCATCCTTTGAAAACCTTTCTAGTATTCTTTTGGTACTAATTCTTCAAAGGGGAATTTGAGTTTCCCTTTTGCTATTTCTTCTACCAATCTATGTGAGTTGATGTATTTGGTTTGTTTTCTAGTTGGTGCCTTGTTAGGTTTTCTCTTAGAAGCTAGTATTTTAGCTTGAAGAGGTTTTATAGTTTTGGCACAGTATATATTGAAGTCTTTTTCTGTGTCATTATATAGTTCCAGGGCTTGTAAGGTCCTTGTGTTGAGGCATCTAATAAGGTATACTCTATCTTTTTTCAGATCTGTAGAGAGGAGTACTGTTTTTTGGTCACCACCCTCTAAAACATCTCCTTTAGCCCATATTAGAGCTATATAATATTTGGCTTAGGCCTTCAGGCATCTGGCATTCAACCTTCAAGTTGTGAACTCTGGACATTTAGGTATTATCTATGGAGATAGTACTGTAGTATTTCCTAGCCTGGCTGTGCTTTTCCTGGCTTTTATATTGGAATTGAGTAGTTGCTCTTTCATGATACTATTACCATATGCCATATATCAATAGTTGAATGTCCTGATTTTCTTGTAGCCCTTTTAGCTTTTACTGACCCTCCTTTGATTTGATAGGAGGATAGGCATTAGGTAAAGTATAGCCTGTAAATATGCCAATTAACTTCTGGGTTGTGTTCTAACAACCAGTTAGTTTCTAGAATAACATCTTTTTTTCTTATTTTAGCTATATAGAATCTTGCTGATTCTATATGTATTTTCCCTTGTTTATCTAGCTTTTTTATTCTTGCCAATGAGTATTGTTTCAATTTAGAGTGATAGTGCACTATATATTTTTATTTATAAGAGATACAATATATCTGAATGTCCATGCTCTTGGTCAGCATCTTTACTGGCTAGAAAAGCATACTGATTTCTTACAAGAATCCTTCTCTCTATATCCACTATTAATAGAAGAGTCTTTAAAAATTCTTTGAGTTACTAAAGGCTCAAACTTCATCTATTTTTTCTATGCTGAGGCCCATCATCATTTGTTGGATATGGGTAACCCTGTTCTTTCCTTTTTTAGCATATTCATTTTCTTCTTCTTCTTTATTTTCCAAGTTGCACACTATACAGTATTTTAGTTGAAAGTGAGATTAGAATACTTACTTTGGACAAAAGGGACAATTATATGCTATGTGCCTAGGCTTCTTACAATAGAAGTACTTGTCTTCTTTGGCAAGCTAATTTCTCTCTTTAGATGTAAGTTTCTTAAACTAAGTGTGAATTGTGTTAGCTTCCATTTCTACAGCATCTACATCCATAGAAATATATTGTGGTTTCCTTAAATGATGCTGGGGTGTTTGTTCTGCAAAATAGCTGCTTAAAGTGAAGACCTGGTATTTGCCTTGTCTAAGCTAGTATGCTTAGGTCCTTTCCATACACATTGTTTTGTGTTGTTTGGCCTTTGTGACTAATTTGTCCTATATAGCTCCACTGGCAGGATCTTTGTAAACTCTTTTTGCCAGTTTCCAATTTAATTCTCTTAAAAATGTATTTTCTTGGTTTCTAGGTCCACTTTTGCAAGTGCCATGACTTGTTCAAAGAGCTGGAGGTAGGCATTGAAAGATTCTTTTTCTTGGTTTAGCCTGGCTAGCTTGTCTTTTGCATTTACCATTTTATTGAATTCTTCAAAATCCATAGAGATGAAATCCAAGACTAGATTAATATGGCCTGCAAAATAGATAGATGGCTTAGAGCCAGAAGTGCTCAAAAGGCCATCTTTGCCAACTCTACCTCTTTTCAAAGTGAATCCCTGAATTGTTTTCACATTCAACCTGCCTTCTGCTACAACTCCACAACTGCCTCTCGCAGAATGAACAACCAAGTTATTGACATAGATATTGATGCCACGAGGAAGCGAAATGCAAAGAGTCAGAAAAGGAAATTTGATAGCAAGTGACCTACATGTTTTAACTGCAGAAGACCAGGACACTACAGTGCTGACTGCCGATCACCACGCAGAGATGTTCCACCAATTCAAGGAAACTCAAAGGGATGTTATGGGTAAAGCAGGGAGAAACTGTGCAGTTGACATTGAAGGAGAAGACGACACACTTACTTTGGGAGACTAAGCGGGAGTATATTGAGGAGTGGAGACGAAGGATGCTCATTGCAAGGACCAGCGGGTATTACAACCTGGTCCTTTGATGGAACATCCGCACCCTACCCCATCTAGACAACCCTTGACAAACTATCAGCAATGCGTCATATTGCCTGACGGATGATGAGAGGACAGAAGCATCAGTCATATTGCTCAAGTTAGAGCAGTACTCGGAGAACTAGGGGTGGACAAGCAGAGAGAAATTGTTTTGGGGTTCGTGGAGCGTTTTTCTTGACCTCTCCTTTATCAGCGAAGGAGAGAGGTCAAGCAAGGCCCAAGTTTGACACAGACAAGTGTATTCATATTGGAGGAATGAATGACCATATCATCACTCCCATCTGCTTGAACGTGACAGTATCAAACTGGACCCATTATGCTGGAGCAAAGGCAACCATTGACTCGGCATGTGAAGGGATTATAGTGAACAAAGTATGGGTAAAGAAACACCACTTTCCCACTTACTCACTCAATCGCCCAATCCGCGTCCACAATGTCAATGATACAATTAACAAGGCAGGTCTCATCCGGTTAGCACTGGATGTAAGCCTCAAAATTTGGAATATCCATGGACGAATGTACATGGAATGCGTTTAAATGTTCATTTCTAATTTGGGGAAAGATGACATTATTTAAAGGAACAGATTGGCTGAAATACCGCAATCCCTCCATCAAGTGGAGACAACATGAAGTACACTTTGATTGGTATCCCCAGAAGTGCCAGCAACCACACAGGTTTACTAGGACAAGGGAAGAACCACCAAACAGTGGTCGGCTAACACACAAGGAACTGCATCATAAACCGTGGATTAATGAGCAAGAAAAACAATGCCTTGAACACCTCCAAAGAATATCAGAGGATATTGGACTCCGCGACCATAGCAGGATGTTTGGTGTCTAACTACAAGCCTATCTTAAAAGGAAATGGCTCCTATAGGACATAAGAAAATATGCAGAAGAGAAACAATGTGTTCAAACAAATTTTGAACCATCTCTTTTACCAAACAGGCAAGAACTTAACATCCCAGACAAACCCTCAGGAAAAATTGCCACAGAAGAACTGGTTATCCGGAAATTGGCCCCGGAACCATCAGGATTTGCCAGCTTCAATCAAGACCTGGAAGATGAAATCATTATCACCAACTTGAAAGAAAGCGTCCCCAAAGCACATCATAAATACCTGGACATCTTCAGTGAACGAAAATTGCAGTGACTCCTGGAACACACTTACACACTTACTGGGACCACGCTATTGATCTAAAACCCACGTTCAAGCTCCAGAAGCCCAAGATATATACCTTGAGCCCCGAGAAGCACGATGAACTAGGAAAGTTCATCAAGGAACACCTTACAAGGGGAACCATTCGCCAGTCTACATCACCTATAGCTGCCCCATTTTTCTTTATAGGAAAGAAAGACGGAAAACCACAGCCAGTATAGGACTACCACCATCTAAATGCGCACACCATTCTGAACGTCTGCCCCCTGCCATTAATCCAAGAATTACTGGACATAATAAAAGGGGCCACAATTTCTAGCAAACTGGATGTGCAATGGGGATACAACAATATACGCTTCAAAGAAGGAGACAAGTGGAAGGCTGCATTCATCACCCCCTAGGTTCGTACAAACTCACAGTGATGTTTTTTGGCTTGACTAACTCTCCTGCCACCTTCCAAGCCATGATGAACATGATTTTCTGAGAACTCATCACGGCCTGAAAGATAACAGTATATATGGATGACATCCTCATCTTTTCCAAATCTATGACGGAACATATCCACATCCTAAATCAAGTTTTCCAAATTCTACGTGACAATGACCTCTATCTAAAACTAGAAAAGTGTGATTTCTATAAAGAGAAACTCAACTACCTGGGGTACACGATCTCAAAAGATCACATCGCAATGGAAGATTCCAAAGTGGATGCAATAAAAGACTGGCAGGTCCCATGCACAGTTTGAGACGTTTGCTTTTTCTTAGGTTTAGGAAATTTTTATAGGTGCTTCATCAACAAGTTCTCATTCATCACGCACCCCTTACATGACCTTACCAAGAAAGACAAAAAATGAAACTGGACTCAAAAATGCCAAGACGCTTTCGAACGCTTGTGGAAAGCTTTCATTAGCCAACCTGTTCTAAATTACCTGGATCCTATGCACCCATACAGACTTTTAATAAACGCATCATTGATTGCCTATGGAGCCACCCTCCTATAAGAAGGCAAAGACAGTGATTGGCACCCAGTGGAATTCTTCTTTGGATTATTCTCCCTTGAAGAATAAAACTATGATGTCCATGACCACGAACTTTTGGCCATTGTAAAAGCCTTGGAATACTGGAACCATTACCTTGAAGGAGCACAACATCCCTTCGAGATCTGGACAGACCATAAAAACCTAGAACACTTCCAAACAGTGTGTGATCTATCTTGAAGACACACCTGTTGGAGCCTTTATTTGAGCAGATTCAACTTCACACTCAGCTATAAAGCGGGAGCAACCAATCATTCCGATGCTCTGTCCAGGCATCCAAACCTAAGTAAGGGGGTGGAATCTGACAATAAAGCTCAAATCCTACTTCCAGCCAAACTTTTCAATAAGGCAAGCAAAACCAAAGCAAAACAAGACCAAACAGTGCACATAAAATCCACGGAAATCATATCCTCAGACCTTATTTCCCTCATCCGACACTTGCATTCAGAACATGATGCTTTGATGGGCATAGCCCTTGCAAAATTACTATGAGAAGGCCCATAGGCAATAAAGGGAGACCTAGGTGAAACGGCTACATATGTGTCCCCAAAGATGACACTATCCAAAGGCTCATTGTCAAGACACACCACGACATACCAGCCGTAAGACATCCAGGCAGAGCCAAAACCTTAGAAATGGTACAATGACACTACTGGTGGCAGAACATGACCAAATTTGTCCATGATTATGTGGACGGATGTGCTATATGCCAATCCATGAAGAATTTGACACATAGGACATGACCACCCATTCACCCCTTAGAAAGCACCAATGTTCCCTAAAGGTTCATCTCGACAGACTTCGTCACCAATCTGCCCAAGAGCAAGGGGTTCAACTCAATAAATGTGGTGGTGGATCAAGGATTATCAAAAGGCATAGTCATCACTCCATGCAAGAAAAGCATCATGGCGGAAGAAATAACCACACTCTTCTAGAATAACATTTTCAACCAACATGGATTACCAACCAAAATAGTGTCCGATTGCGGCCCACAATTCGCAGCCAAGTTCACATGAGAACTATGGAAATGGCTAGGTATCACTGCCGCTCTTAGCACAGCATACTATCCCTAAACAGATGGAGAAACAGAACAAGTTAACCAAGAGATTGAACAATTCCTGAGAATGTTCTATAGTTACCACCAAGACAACTGGGTGGACCTTCTGCCGTTTGCCAAATTCTCGCACAATGCACAAAAACACTCTGCCACTGGAAAGTTACCGTTCAAAGTACTCTATGGTTTCAATCACCCATATTCAGCAAACACAGTGCTAGAGACAAAGGTATCCATGGTAGCTAAATGCATATGGACAATCATAGAAGTCCAAGAAAAAGCTGCAGCCAGCCTGAAAATGGCAAGTCAATATGCCAAAGACTAGGATCTCAATAAGAAACTTCCCCAATGGGAAGAAGGAGACCAAGTATGGCTCGAAGGAACCCATATCCAAATGACACATCCCAAATTTAAACTTGCCCCTAGGAGATATGGACCTTTCAAAATCCTAGCAAAAGTGGGACCCCTGGCATATAAACTGCAAATTCCTAAACAATGGAAAATCCATCCCGTTTTCTATGCCACTATGCTTACCAAATATAGGGAAATGGAAGCATATGGAGAAAACTTCATGAGACCACCGCCAGAGGTGTTAAATGACGAAGAGCATTATGAAGTAGAGATGATCTTGGACTTAAAACGACAAGGACAGAGAACTAAGTATTTGGTCAAGTAAGTAGGATATCTAGAGGCCGATAACACCTAGGAACCCTACACCCTCCTAAAAGGGACAGTGGAAGAAGCCCTAAGGGAGTTTCATGACTATTACCCCAATAAACCTCGTCCTATATCACTCTAATAAAAAGGGTATAAAAAGGGCAACAAGAGTGCCCCATACCAGACATCCCCACACTCCACACTCCTGGCACTCAGCATACCAATGCTCCTCCACAATGACAACACAGCCTCATCTCCCTCAAGAAACTCCTCCCCCAATATCATCCTTATGGTTGCCAATCTAGACATCAAACATGTCAACAGAGGAACAAGCCCAACACCACCAGAGTCCAACACCACCATCACTATCCTCACCCAAAGTCTCAACAACTTCTCAGACAACGATGCCAAGGACTATGCCAAGTTCAAGGAAAGGGAGTGGACTCATACTAATAAACAACCATCTAGGAGGAGTTCCCAAGATGCACCATGGGATGAGGGTACTTATGACAAAAACAATGGCGGTCCTAGCGGACCTACAACTGAAGTTCCACCTTCTATTGGAGTTACGACAACTCCTGGAACTGGAAGTCCCTTGGGACTACATGCGAGAGGTGGAGGTCAACAACCAGGCAATGGGGCGACTGACCCAGTTCCAGTTCTACCAGGAATTACAAAACTGACAGTACCGGTTAGTGGACAAGTTCCCAGCACCATGGGAAGAATTACCCATCGTCCAAATCCTCACTTTGGAGAACTGGAACAATATATGGACACTCTCTTACAGCAGAACATCATCTCTGCAAACAACCAGGAAATGAAAACAACAATGTACCACGACAGTTGGCTAGCGCAAGCCTACAGATCAGAACACTTGCCCTCCAAACCAACCCTAACACAGCATCTGGGTATGAGGACAATGATGGACGACCACGAGCCCTCCTCATCTACCTGGATGAGTTCACCCAATATGTCAACCAAGAGCTCCTTCTAGCTCTCCTCTTCTTAGGGGAGTTGGGAGATATCCAAGCGGTCAGAACCAACCCTTTCTGTGTCATCACCTGGAATGTACCCCCATGCATTGGAAAACGTCCCGCAGCTATACCAAATCCAAGAGGGGTTCCACATAGTTGTGGAACGCCCTCCTCTGTGACAACAAGAGGTTTGTATGTCAGATGGCAATCCCACGACCATCTCCCCTCACAGGATACGAGATTTTCCCCTATCCCATGGAAATACCAACGAGGAGAAACCGCCCATCTATCGAAGAACCCAAGGAAGAAGAAACCAAGGAACCCAGGCAACCCTCCAATGCGGAATGCATACTAGCAGGGGTGTTCAACACCAGTCTGGAATGCCTCCTACTAATCATCGACTTTGTACAGACAAGGGACAGAATAGCCAAAGTAGCCGCAGAACTTGCCATACTGATTCAGAGGCTCGAAGAAATTGCCTCTCGACTCAATCCAAGCTCGATGCCTAGGATGCTCTAGACAACCTGGGAAATTATAATGAGACAGACCCTTATTATTGACCCGACAAAGGAGGCAACAGGTATCAAGGGTATGATTATTAATGGACATTAATAAGGCACGAAAGGGGGTAAGGAAGTTGAGGAACTCCTTACCCAGGACAAACAAAGGTCCAAAACAACCTAAAACTAATTTGTCTGCAACAACATAAAACTAGGTTCGTCCCTCATGACATTAAACTGTATGCCCTCATCTGAAAGCGATATTAAACTACCTCATGTCCGGAATGATGTCTAAACTATCAGACCTGCATGTCTTAAAACTATGAAAAGACAAGAAGGCAGGGGAAGTACCTAACCACAAGCCCATGTTCTTGGGATGGTAGAACGTGGCACACTGGTGGGCATAGTTCATGCATGACATACGCATGGATTTTTCATATCTTCACTGTCAAGGAGTAATTTGACAGATGCACTAAGTGTCCCATTTGGATCCTCAGTTTTACAGGGTCTTTTCTGCATTAGGGAACCCTCCACATGACTACTCTCATATTAGGTGTCAACAAGCCGGCTCTTCGTCTTGGTACAACGAAGACACTTTTACATAACTGGTACAAGTCCAAAGCCAAGATGAATAATTATGATGCATAACTTGGTTAAGTGAACCCTCACAGTCAAGATCTGACTGGTGTTTGGACGCCCCACTTTAGATCTCCAGTTTTACAAGATCGTTTCAGCATTAAGGGATCCTAACTGCTAACGTATGAGATAGTAGAGTCTGGGCTACCTCTACTGAAACATGCTTTCCCCAAGGAAATGCGAGGCCACAAAACCACATCCGGAACGATGTAAAACTACCAAAGGCTTGGTCCGCAATGACTATAAACTACTAGGGTCCGCAATGACGCCAAACCAGTCTTTGTCCAAAACAACGGAAAACTACCCTCGTCCGAGATGATATTAAACTACCATTGACCCATGGAGTGTGGTTGTATTCTGGTGAAGCGCGGGTTTTCAGGAGGACCCGCATCGCAGAACCCTGCCTATAAGTAGTTAAAGCGCTGCGATGTTCACTCGCTTTTTGATAAAAGAACATTAGGTCATCTTGGTTCAAATCCAAGTAAGGGGTCTGGGGATGTAGAAGAGCACGCATCTCTTCATGGCACACCCAGTCTAGTCCTAGAGTCGAAGTACAAGGAATTCCGCTCCAAGACCTAGTCAAGAGGCAACTAGGATATGTGCCTCAAGTCAAGAATCTAGTTGGACGGGCTAGATCACATGACTCCCCTTGGCTCATATCACGGAAGTATGACAGGAGCTGGCCACTCATTTGGGGAAGTCTATTCTGCCAACACGAGCATCTGAAATAATGTTAAATTACTGTCCCCTTGTTCTAGGGATCGTGTTGGAGCTGGAATTACCCAGCGATAATAATGTCTAAAATGACGTTAAACTAGGCATTATTTTGCCATAATATTTGTGGCAAAACACATCCGCAATGATGGTAAACTATTGTCCCTTTCAGTATAGGGATCATGTGGTAACATCTTAATCACAGAGATGTCACTATGTCCGAAATGACATTCAACTACCATCCTTTCAAGAATAAGGATTGTGTGGTGGATATCTCAATTCAGGTATTACCACGTCCGCAATGATAATAAACTACATGCTCTTTACTGGACAGGAGTTGTAGTTGATGACCCGCACATAACCAATGAATGTTCCAGCATGCAGAAACATCTTTTCTTACAGATCATTCCATGTTGATGATGAAGAAGGTCCGAAACGACCTTAAAATATAAACTATTGGGCAGTGCTGGGCACCCTAATGGGTCCGCAATGACCTTAAACTATGGACGTCTGCCACAACGTTAAACTAGCAAACATTCGGAATGACGTTTAAACTACTATTGTAAATATATATCTCGCGAACCCAATGGAGTAGGGATATCATATAGGAGAGAGACCATAGGAGGAGGAGATGAGGAGAGCATGAGCACAAGGAGAGACGAGGAGGATGGAGAATCCTGACCTGCTTAGTCAGCAAGGCCACCTATAAATACGAGCAGTGACTCAGTAGAGGAATCATAATCATTGCTGCGACCGAGGCAGAGCAGAGTTCCCCACTCCATCTTGGTGATGAAAGCACGATTCACAACTACACGATAACTGATACACTATCCCTGTAACCGCCGATACTAACCCAGCTTATAAAACAGCCTGTTACCACGCTGGCCACAACAAACCCCAAAAACAGCAGCCTGAACCAACCGTCGAACACCACACCTCTGCAAATCAGAGACTCCCGAGGGAGATTTCTACAGTGATCCCAACCAGCCGCTCAGCCACCACATTCTACATCACTACTCTTGACACTACCATCAACACCGTCCACCTCCATATCCCTCGACTCAGCATCGCTCGAATTTACCAGCACCTCTGGCAATAACTCCCCCGACCTTCACAATTCCAATCCCACCACACACCGCACCTCAGCCGCTACCACTCCTCACAGTCACTGCACCGACAGCCACCATATCCACTGCCCCAGTTCCTCACAACCCCGCGCACAGAACAGCCATGACAGAAAAAGTCAAACCGTTTTCCGGTAACCTAGGAGTCACAGAGAGCCCCCACAATTTCCTTCGCACATTTCAACGTATCTACTTTGACACCGATGAAACTCTCGCCATCAATAGGTTCCCATTCTATGTCAAGTCAGGACACGACACAGATGAATGGTTTAATAACCTGACAACAGCGCAAACAGCCAATTGGACAGTGTTCAAAGTGGCCTTCTTGCAAAGATGGCCGAAGTTAGAACGCGTCACGAAACAACAAGGAGAGTATGAGGATGAAATCTTGAAATTGAGGTTTTGAGAGGACAAGCTTGGCAAGAAAATTGACGACGGTGGAATTGAAGTCTGGACACACGTAAAATGGGCAAATAATACCCTACAGCTCGTCACGAAGGCTGGCCTCACCACATCTTTCTCGTACATCCAACCTGTTTGCTGCCACCTTCCTGATGTCCTAAAGTCCGAAATTGGGTTCACCCACACAGACTGGATGGCTTTCACAAAAGCCATATGTAGCGTCAATGTGGAAGCCATATTCGATCACATTGAATGAAGGGAGACAAAAGCAAAGGATGAAGCGTGCATGTGCGCCATGATGCAAATTGCCGCTGATACCCGCACCACCAGATTGCAGCCCATCCTCTTCTCCAACCTTCCCATTCCACCAACGTTCCCACCACCCAGTATTGCACCCAGACTCACATGCAACCATGCATGCCTGGTGGGTACCCCAACGCCTTCACCAAAGATGGCCACATAGGCATCTTTGTGTCATCTAACAAGGGACAATGGCTACAGGAGAGGCAACCCCTCTCTAGGGACAAACACCACAACCTCAGCCGCCTGCTCGATTTATTGCCGCACCACCCACTGACTGCCAATGGCAATGAACTATACAAGCACCAAATCAGCGATTGGATGGCGTTACATGGATATACGCACGTCCATCTGCCACAAACCCCTACCTAATGTGACCAGGAACAGCCGGCCTGTGCTCAGGAGAGTGCTTCCACTGCGGAACACATGGTCACCGCAGTTTCATGTGCCCTCACCTATCTGGGATGCAAGTACCCCGTAACAAAGTCATCTGGCGAGCCCTATGCAGCTGCAAGCTCGGTACTACACGAGCACCCATTACCAACCATCTCCTGCCCACCGCCGTCAACCTGGTTTACATAACCGATGAATTGGGACAGGTCCACCTAGGTGGCTACAAAGACGAAGTGCACAATGAGGATGAACAGGGAAATGGGGAGGGGTTGTCAGCATAAGGAGCTAGCAGACGACCCCAAAACCTTTCATCCATATACAGAGTGGGCAAGCCCTCAGACGCACCGCCACCGCGCCGGGGGATGGGATAATAAAGCATGCACAGTTTCTATCTCGCATCACGTCTGCTGTCCTAGTAGTACAACAAATTAATGTGATTAACCTGTATTCTATGCGACCTCCCAACCATCAACAAACGTACCGCCCATTCATATAAGAAATGTCCCTTGTAGACTCCAACCACCCCACATGTATATTCTGCACCCTGATCGATGATGGCACTCTCGCCAATGCCATGAGCGAAAAACTCTACCACCACATCAAGGACAATATCCATGGCTGGCGACCCTCCAAGCATCATCTACGCATGGCAAATGGCACCATTGTACCCTCTCTTGCCACATAGTACGGAACAGTTCGTTTCAGCACCTTACAACACTTTGCCTCCTTTGAGGTATTCCACAATGATGGAGACTGGGAGTTCTTATTTGGCAAACCTCTGCTTTGCACGTTCAGCGCGGTGCACGATTATATAGATGACACCATCCACCTCCAGAAAGCCTCTGCAACCCTCATCTTGCCCAATCTCTTACATAAAGACATGAAGCAACAACAGGTCACGGAACGGCCAACTGTGGAGAGACACGCAAATGCAATGGGGGATGGGAAATCCCCCTTGAGGGGAGTTTTCCCTGTTATTTACCCTCAAATAGAAAACACTACTCATACTGAATGCTCCGTCCTATCTTTACTTGCCCAAACAACATACACAAAACATGTTCAACACATGCGCCGCTCAGTGTCCACGCACCGAACATGACAACAAATTCACACCAAACACCACATGATCTGGCCGACGAAAAGCAGCATTCGGATCATCACTAAAACGCAACCTCATAGCCGCTCAAACCACAAAAAAGCCCTGTGCGTAACCTTAACGGGGGACATTTGTGCATCCCCCGCAAGGGAAGTACCAATGCCCACATCCTTGTCCAAGCTGCTGGCTGGCGTTGACCCAGTCTACTCCTTAGAGATTCCCACTCCCGAAATATCAGGGAAGGATCCACAGGATGTCTTCGTCGACACCGGCCATATTGCCACAGCCAATATATTTACATGCACAATGGAGCCACGAAACCCTGCATGAGTAGCTGTCCTATTGGACCAAATTCACGTCAGACCAGATTTAACACTGGATGAACAGCTGGCTGTTTGACAACTGGTCATCAAATTTGCGGACTGCTTTGACTTATCAATAGCCAAGGTCATACTAGTGGACAATGCCATCCACCGCCTGAATATCCCCGCTGATGCTACCTTCAGCTGCAAAGTACGACAGCGGCCATTAATACCACCCCAACGACCTTGGTTCCACAAAAAACTTAATGAAATGCTAGCAGCTGGAATCATTGCCCCATGCCACCCTAGCAAAGTCAAAGCCGTCTCCCTAACCATACTAGCCCAAAAAGCCCATGAAACCAGTGGCCTCACCCTAGACGAGATATGACAGTTGGTCAACGACCAACTTATTGCATCTAGAAACCTAGCTGAATCCACCATCTCCAATGACAGACCATGCTTGAAACCCAACAACACACTCAAATAGAAATGGCGAATCTGCCAGAATTTTGCCGAGGTTAACAACTTCACACAAGTTGTACCTATGCCTCAAGGTGATATATGTGCCAAACAACAGTGCCTCAGCGGACACCGTTGGCTTTCAGTGTTCGACTTTGCTTCAGGATTTTATGCCTGCATGGTTGCTGAGGAGTCTAGGCCATATACAGCTTTTTACGTGGAAGGCCGGGGGCACTTCTGGTACTGCAAAATGCCCTTTGGTCTCACAGGCACCCCATTCACGTTTGCTCACATGACAGCTATGCACTTATATGACCTTTTAACAGCCGAAATCATGGAACGTTTTGTCGATGACGGTGGAACAGTTGCCAACAAATTTCACATCATGATGGCAAATCTTCGCAGCATTTTCCAGTGTGTCCATGAATGGAAACTCTCCCTATCTGCCAGCAAAACCCTGCTTTTCCAGTCCAAAGCTATTTTCGCTGGCAATGGTAGGACAGAAAGGTGTCACACCCGACTTGTCTAAACTAGCAGCCATTGCTGAATGGCCTCAACCACATGACACACTGGCGCTCAGCCGATTCCTTGGACTAACTGGACACTTCCGTGACCTTGTGCAGAATTATGCATGTCTCAAGGGACCACTGCACGACCTGCTTAAAGCCGTGCCCCTGTCACCATACTATACAAAACCCACATACTGACACGCTATGCAGAAACACACATTCGGTAACACCTGGGAGTGGAAACACACATTGGCCCTACTAAACCTGAAAACAGCCCTGACATCCAAACCTGTACTGCGCAAACTGGTGTTCGATGGAACTCCCTTCATCATAACCACTGATGGCTGCCAACAAGGCTTTGGTGCCGTGTTGACACAGGAATTCACAACGGAACTGGCTGGCAGAAAAATTGTCAAAAAACACTACCCCATTGTGTTTGCATCCAAATGCACCTCTCATTCAGAAGAAACTACAAGCTGTTCCTACTTGAATTTGCCGCACTAAAATTTGGTCTTGACAAGTTCTCCAACCTCATATGGGGCTTCCCTATTGAAATTGAAACCGATTGTCGAGCCCTCTGAGACGTCTTATCCAATGACAAACTCAACTCCACACATGCTTGCTGACGAGACGGCATCCTGGCCCACCACATTGTCGATGTCTGCCACATTGCTGGCAAAATAAATGTTGTCACAGATGACATCAGCCGCATGTATGAAGGTCTACCAAAGCGGCCCGGTGACGGCAGCGCTTGGACCATTTGTGAAGACTGGGAGGCTGAAGGTGGCCTTGCAAATGATATCTTCATTGTATCCGATACCATCGCTACGCTTCACAACTGCTTCACAGACGAACCCATATTCCTTGAAGTAATTGATGCTTTACTGGACATCGACCTTCTTGCAGACAACAGAGTCTGATGCCGTGCACAACACCGCACCACAGAGTACTTTGTAAAGGATGAGCGCTTATGGCAACTATGCCAGAATGGTGGAACAAGAGCGCGAGCACACATCGAGTGTGTTCCCTGTTCCAAGGCACATACACTGGCCACAAAGGAGCACAGCAACGGTGGCCATTGGGGACGTGACGCAGTGAAGTTGGCGCTCACTGACTGCATATACAGCCCAAAGCTGGATGAAACCATCATCAATGCCATTCACAAATGCCTGCAGTGCAAGAATTTTGGCGCCACCCACCTTAATGCACTGCTCCAGCCCATCACCAGATGACACCCGTTCAAATTGCTTGTTGGTGACTATCTCTTGTTACCTGATGGAAAAGGTGGCTATCACACTGTTGGACTCTACCTAGACACATACTCGCAACATGTTTGGGGGTTCAAGTACAAAACCGCAGGCAGCGCCAAAACCACAGTGGGTGCCCTCGCAGACATCTTCTGTGGGTTTGTAGCCCCCAAAACATTTATGTCAGATGGCAGCCGTCACTTTGACAACCACGAAGTATGTGAGCTGTGCACAGCCTGGGGAGTCACCACCCATGTCGTTGCTGCCTAATCACCTTGGGTAAACAGGCTTGTCGAGGGCACAAACAAACTTTGACTCCATGTTCTCAAGTGCCTCTGCGCACCAGGTCTAAGTGAAGACAAACATGAGGCTGTTGATGCAGACAAACTTCTATGAAAATGGCCCGACCACTTGGATAAGGCTATCCACTGCCTAAATTACTATCTTCTAGCTGCCTTCCATTTCTCCCCAAAAGAACTACTCTTGGGCCTGGTTGTCAACATGGCATACACACCGCTCGCAGACAGTACTAGTGTGCTGCACGCAGCTGATGTTGCTATCCAAGTCTCATATGTAGTCCAATAAAATCTTGATGGCTACACAGCCACCATCAACCATGCCCTAAAACACAAACATGCATTCGACCAATATGTTCCCCAGCCGTGCTAGGGAACATATCTTTACCAGTGGCAATCTGGTACAGGTACAAAACAGCGCGCTTGAACTCACATTATGCACATCCAAGAAAATATTACCATAATGGTCGGAACCCCACCGTATCATCAAACGGCTTGTCAACTCCTACCAGCTTGCCACCCTCGAAGGCACAGCCATCAATGGTCTATTTAGCGCCCGCTGCCTTCGACTCTTCACACCCAAACCCGGCTCTCGCTTAGCACAGGACCAGGCAATCCTTCTATCACATTCAACCGACGCTGATGCTAGACCACCTGCTACAGGGGACACCGGAACTACCCTTCATGCATCTGTACCCAATCTGCACATCATTACCACAGCCACCTTTCTTCACTACGTGGACCCGTTAGCAGATGACAGCATCACTGGTTCGGAAGCCCAATAAGGCTTAGCCTCCGGAAACCCTGTACTAGCCCATACAGCCGGAGCATTTAACTGCCACATCTGACCATCACACAAAGCCACCTCAAAAACAACCCACACATCTGTCTTTACTAAAACCTGCCCCACCTCGCCTTGCAAGATATCCTGCCCACATTGCACACTAACCATCATCCCCTGCTGTACTTTCACATCGCCCTCCAATGCATGAATCATCAACCAACATGCACGACCTTCCTTTGTCATGCCTAAAGGGCGAGCCTGGAGTATGTATAGCCGACACTCTATCACAGGCATCACCTATCATCCCATCAGTCATCAAGTTAGCAACAACACTGGCACACTCACTGGGCGTAGTGTCATTACCAAGGAGGAATATTGCATGTTGGAAAAGGAACACAGATAAGCATGTTGGATGCTGGCAGGCTTTCCTTCTTTATATTCCATGCTGTGATGGATAATGTTGACTTCTATTATCCCATACCCACAATCAAATGGTCACTCTCACACTCGCTTAAAGTATTTCTTAACCTCGTACCTTTATGTATGCATCCAGACCACCTAGGCTCGCAACCAGGCCTCATGCATAAATTCATATGGTACATAGTTCCTAGGCTTACAGTATATGCACACACCGCGGACGGTGTGCATTTTTGGAAGGGGCACATAGAGTAGGGATATTATATAGGAGAGAGAACATAGGAGGAAGAGATGAGGAAAGCATGAGCACGAGGAGAGACGAGGAGGACGGAGGATCCCAGCCTGCGTAGTCAGCGAGGCCACCTGTAGATACGATCAGCGACTCAGTAGAGGAATCATAATCATTGCTACAACCGAGGCAGAGCAGAGTTCCCCACTCTACCGATAAATACATCAGCTGTGGTCTTGATGTCTATTTGTGCATGCTAATGGGCAGTCTTGGAGAAGGAGTCAGACTTCTCCTTGCTCCTTGCTGCGCCCTTCTAGTCTAATTCTCTTCACATCCTTGCCTCAAACCCAACACTACACGTGGTATTCCCCACCTTTAGGCCCATGTTTGTGACAAACAAACTCTGGACGCCAATACTACCTCACCAGAGATGAGCCCACTGTATGGGGGCAATACTGCTTGGGATTGGCTAGAACCTCAACTGGAGATAAGCTCACCATATGGGAGCAATACTGCTTGGGACGACATGCTGGTAGTTTGGAGAAGTAAGCCTAAGCCTTCGTAATGCAATCAACCTACTTGTCTGTGGGCACCACTTGTTGTCAGGAAGAAATACCAGTCATGAGGATAGACAACTATCCTGGAAACACTGAGGTTTGGCCCTCAGAGAAGAAAGAAGAAGAAATTGATGACACAAATTAGAACCCACACACTAGAGTTCCTACCCATCCACACCACCACTCAGATTCATATGCCTTTCTTGATGCTATTCTAGAGTGGCTGGAGTAAGACCATGAGGCAGGGACCCATGGCGAAATAATCCAATGGGTGAAGAAAGAACATCCTACAAGGTAGAGGTTTGGTACCCTCATGCACTGACAAACAAACAGCTCAATGGAGATGGAAAACTCCTAGAGGATCAAATGACATAAGTCAGTCTTCCTCCCAGAAAATGCAGTCATATTCTGGAAGTCACATCCAGTCGACACATTGTTGGATCAAGAATGCAATTGTATATGGAGTAGTGACGAAACACAAGGCCTTGTCCTACCAAGCATTGTCCTACCAGGTGAATAAGACGTAGAAAGGGGGTGTTGTTATAACCATGACTTATTGGGCCTTTATGGCAGTCTACACCAATAGGGTCATCACAACTACCAGGTGGCCTCACACCCCAAGGTATACACGAAGGTGCAGATATTATCTTTGGTCATCTATTCCCAATGGATCATTCATCGCTGGTCGAGTATCACAGGCCTATTACAGTGGGCATCCTTTCCCACCTTACAAACTACTCACACACGGGCATGGAACTCCTTGACCTCTTGATTGGAAAGAGGCAAACAGAGAAGCAAGAGTAGTCATTCTGAGAGGGAAACAACTTAGAGAATACCTATGGGTACATATACGGGATTCTCATGCCCTTTCCTAAAGTAGTATATAAGGCCCATAGAATAGACTAAGGATCTTTCGTTCTGTTGCAGTCCTCACACTGCAACCTTTGTTCCACTACAGTCTCCACACTGTAGTCTTCTTCCCCTCTGTAACCTCACTTACAGAGCTGCAATACTACCTGGCTCCTGTGCTGCACATACAATTGAGACCACTGTTCTACCCTTCCTTAATAAGCAACCTAGGGAAGAACCTACTACTCTTGGGGTTATCAAACGAGCAGTTCATAACAACAGGCTTATAGAATTGCTCATAATAATGAACAGCAGGAACATGTTGAGTATTGGAGATGAATATGGGTCTTTTAAAAACACAGGGACTAGATAGTGCATTTATTTTACTCTTTTATGCCAATTTCCTTTTGCTAATGTCTCATTAGCTATGGACTTAGGAGGAAGGAGATCCTCTATTGGAGCATAATTGCATTATTCAACCTCACTTACAATCAAACAAAATAGACAATTCCTGCCTTTGATTTTATGAACCACATACTCATTCTGGAGGCAGCAACCTTGCTTATCTAGAAAGACCTCAAATGCTCACAAGAGCATGCTATTAAGGTGAAGAACATGAGCTCCTCTTATAGAATGGCTGCTCATCCATCTAATGACAATCATGACTGTTGCAATCTACAGAGCCTTATATGCAATATCAAAGTTTTCCCCAGGGTTACAGATAATATCTTGTAGGGAATAGGAGAGGAATAGTCCCAGTGATGCTAATGGACATATTCTCTGAGCCAGAGTTGGATAGTTCTAGATGGTAACTCATATGTATTCACAATATGACTATGTATTTATGCATCTATGCCCCTTATCCCTCTATGATACATTTTTCTGTTAATCTTTAATACATTTTAGACACAATCTTATCTACTTTATATTGAAACACAATTCCAATGGTTTTTGTGACATATTCACAGTATAGTCGGAACAAGGGACACTATGCAAGTAAGTATGAATAGGGGATCTTATAACATATGACACCACAAAAATAAAGACTATTAATAATTATAGAGTTCTGTTGTCTAATCATCTCATCTAAGAAGAAATTATAGTGGTCCTTATGCATCTTGTATATAATAGAATAAAAGCCTCTAAACCACATATTCATCAAATCTGCTATGGATGAGTTAAACCACTACTTACTACCTACCATCAACTCCTCAAAGAGGGCTGGGTTACAATATTGACCACGAAAATCATCCAACTCTTTATGCTTTGACTTATGTGAAAGATATTAATAGGAAGAGCACATGATTCAAAATGTCAATCCTGAAGCCTTGTGATATGCTGCTTGAGATGTCAATTGTTGTTATAAAAGATGACATTTGGAAGAGATTGTATGGTTGGGAATAGTATGCAGAGTAATAACTATCCAACAATTAGCACATAGCAAAAAAAATTAAGAAAGATACTCACATAAACACCATTTACTACCTCTAAGCCATAAAATATCACTTATCTGAGAACAACTTTATATGTCACAATACAGAGCTGCTCACTATGGGTTCTCAAATGCCCAAATCAGGCATATAGTCAAACATTGCCTATCTCAGACTTCTCTGTACAAACAGTCAACCCTTTCATCTCAATGGCATCATCACTGGCCATGGCAGTTAAGCACTATTGAGTCCTCAATAACTATGGCCTTCCAATGTTCAAGGTGTTTTCATAGCTGGAATATGGCAGAATGTTCCTTAATGCCACATTTCTCAAATGCATGATAATCTGGCAGGTTATAGGTCTGGAACCCATGCTCAGCCAGTCTGTTGCAAGTTGTGATACAATATATATCCTCTTCCTAGAAGTGCTCAGCATAATACTTTGCTTGTTGAGTTGGAAGAGGTTGTTGGCAGTTGTGGTAAGCACAGCATGGAGGTCCCACTATTATGCCATCACAAACAATGGCACAAAGATCATCTACACACAAGACAAGGGTTAAATTAAAAAAAATTAATATAGTAAGATCTAAATATGCAAATACTGTCACTTCTCTCCCTAGTGGCACAACACTGCTCATATGTGTAGTTCCATAGCTTCTGTCCTAGACAAACCATTGAAATATTCTGGGCTTTGAGGGCTTTATAAAGACAATCTAGGTGAGAGCTATTGCTAAGGACAAGAACCTCAGACTTGTTGTGGCTGTTGCAGATGAGGCTATAAAGGAAAAAAAGCATCCCAGATAAGTTCACTGGTAAGCACAAGGCTGACTGGCCATAAAAGATTTTGAGAAATGCCATGCTCTAGTTTATAGATGTGGGCATTATTTGTAGCAGAAACCCTAAAACCACAGTCAGTGTAAGTGTGCATCATCAGAAAGAGGAAGGGCTTACCAGGCATAGACCATCACATTTACAAAGCACTCACACAATATTGTCTCAATGTATAAGTGCGTTGTGACATGAATAGCATATAGAAGCTCAAGGCAGTAGGTGCATGTTCTATTGTGAATATAGTAGTTGTGGTAATATCAAGTGCTGCATCCTATAAACACAAGTTTAGGATGTTATATTAGATGGATACAAGACAAATTACTATAGCATTTCACAGAGTAGGACCAGACAGGAAGATAGCATTTCACAGAGTAGGACCAGACAGGAAGAGTACTATAATCCTGCATGAAAAGCACAGCATGATATCCCTGCAAATCAAGTAATACCTGAGATTGTGGCCCATTGCATTTTACTAAGCAATATGGATCCAAATACTTCTATATTGGAGGGTACAAATCATGGAAACCTATAGAAAGTGAGTATAGAAATAAAAAAGATAAAAAAGCAAGCAAAGGAACATTGATAAGCATGCCACCTCTCTTAGTACCAAGACCCTGTTTTCACAGTTTTACAAGCACTAGCATGCTGACCTCAGGGAGTACCCCAGACACCACTGGGTGGCCCTACAGCCTAGAGTGATTACCTCTAATATCCACTATGACCTTAGCATTACAGTCTTAGGTTGATGTGGTCTTTTCTTATGCCCCATAGTCATTACCTCACATTATCTTGCTCATCCCCAAGCATATCACATGATGACCTTAAGCCTGCTGCACCCATAGAGACCTCACCAATCCCTCACTATATGCCTCACAAGCATTAACCACAAGGACAGTACCATAAGCAGCTCCATAGTGCAATATCACAGCAAGCTTTATCATATGTGCTTATTGGATAATATAGATTCTGTGATCCATTTCCCCTCTACCCTCCTAGAGTCCACCTCAACCATGGCATAACAGAACCTTGCAGTCTATAAGCACCTCTATGCATAGTTTTTCTTTATCTTTCTATGTTATGGTGATACACTAGAGGTGGCTCTAAGTGCCAAGCACAATACCAAAACAACCTCTAATATAGAGGGTGCTAGAGCTAATATCTAATACACAAGGAATTGTTAGTTAGAACTTGAGAAAGTGAGGGCACATTGAAGAGTAATAAGGAGGGTGAGATTAAAGCACCTAAATGGTTCTGAGACTGCACCAAACACTGACCGAATGTTTGGTCAGATGGGTTGGGTTGGGGAATCGATTGGTAATAAGGGAATAGTGTCACAATTGACTACTATATGCTTCAAGAATCACATAGGACTCTGACAATATATGAAGATGGAAGAGGGGTACAAGTGAGGGGACAAGTACAAATGTGAATGAGGCCAAACAACAAGGATGACAAGTTTTCAGAAGTCGGCAAAGACAATTTCAATGTTTGAGACAAGTGTGAGTGAGCTCTGAACTATGGAGTGTGAAAGCTAGTTTATTCTAGAGTTGTGTATAGTTTTTTATAGTAAACAGAGCCCCTAAGTAAGATATTGAACGAGGAATGAGAATAAATGTCAAATGGGCGCCAAGCCTTAGTGAACAGAGAAGATAAGAAGGTAGGTGAGATGTCCATATAAGTTCCAAAGGTGATCAGGTACATGTTAATCAGTAATGGTGAAATTCTGACCTTTTGGTATCTATTGCCTAAGCATAGGTAGTAGGAATAGGCATTGGAGAACCAATGAAAATAAAGAAAAAGTAATGTACAACCAGGGTGGCCAAGTAATAGTGCAAGATCATGTTTGAACAACCATACAGAAGTTAGGAAGATAAGTGATAAGGACCGGCTGACTCATAGAGCACATTCATTTGGAAAAACACCCCCTTGTATTAGCTCCGGATTATATCTAATAGTGTCTAAAAGTATCTAAAAGTGTTAATAGTATCTAAAAGTGTCTAATTTCCTAATTGGGAGCAACATACTGTGAGCATTGTATTCGTTTCTAATTTCATGATATTAGCACTAATTCCATACTAAGAAGTCTTTGATTATCAGTAGGAAATAGTAAGTACTACTGCTCTATCAGTGATAAGGTAAAGATGTGGCACATTCTATACTATTTTAGCATATTACTCTCCTTCATATATGCCTGCACTATTATCTTGTAGCTCTTTTGCTAACTTTCTAGCTACTTTTAAAAGGGACATAAAAAGAGAGAAATGTGCATTGATGCCCCTAGACACTTTGTTGGCAGCTTGGCAGCTGCCACAAGAGGCTATAAAGACTTTGGTACCTTGGCCTTGCACACAAGATCATTAAAGTTGTCATTGTTAGCCAATGCCTGCTACTAGTCATTATAGGTAACAACATATGGGTTGGGCTTAGGAATATGCTACATGCAGCCTTGTGGACCTTGTTTATTAGTACAGTGGTCAGTGCTATCTTGTGCAGCACACAATCATCATCACTATTGATATTACAATTTTTAGCACTATCTATATTGTTTATTGCCTTGTTATACAGAAGATGCTCAAACTTGGTGTTTTCCTCTAGCTATTAGGCTGTGGAAAAGACAGTCATATTGGTATGTGGTGCCAGAATGATATATTTGCCTGCCATATAGGAAATATATGCATTAAGCATATTAAGATCACCTCCAACAATCTTGTGCTTATTTATATATAGGCATGCCATACATATACTCTTGTCCCCACCCTCTACCTCACTAGTGGCTATTTGGAAAACCCCTCTCTCTTATTGGATCTTGATTATTCATAATCATGTTTTTGATCAAATTTGCAAATTCAGGTAGCATTGTCTATACTAGTAGAGTCCCATTAAATATTACACTCAATTATAGTTTTACACATTCTCAGTCCAAATTGTGTAAGTGCCATAATTTGTTTTTATCCTATATAAAGTGTATTATTTATTTTCCATTGGTTTATTATCTGCTTAGCTGGTGTTTAAACTAAATGCTGAAAGACCTGACTTTTTGGGTATTTATTGACCTGTTTATTTATTAGATAGAGGAAAGATAAATGTTGAATAAAATTTGAGATATTGAGGTTGCCTATATTATATCTACTTATTTAGATTACCGATTTCATATATTAGACCTTGTGGCTTAGTGGCTAGAGCATCTGTCCCGGGTGCTTGCATACATGAGGTTGTTGGTTTAACTTTGGCAAAAGGCAAGTTTGTTATAAGGTATATTTTGTGTTTAGGTATTGAACTAGTGCTCTAATAGACATGACTCTATAAGAAGGCTATGAAAACTGTGATGCTTGATTTATTATAATTTTTCCGAAATTTCAAGTTATAATCAATCCTAATAATTCCTAATTTAGGAAAATTATGTCTAATTAGAACAGGTTTAGGGGGGGTATAAGCTAAAAATGTCTAATCCTAATCTTTCATAATTATGCATAAATAGAACTAATTAGAGCTTAATACAAGAGAGTGGTTTTCTAAATGTTGGCTGATATGGACTACTGGCCACCTATTGTAACACTCCTATATGGTTATGGTAAGTACATGAAGTGTAGGCAAACTGATCCAAGTGCTGCCAAATGTCCTTTGGTGGCTTGTGGTCAGTTAGGTAGGGACCAACTGTGTTTGGTGTGAGTTGGCATCTTCAGTACTTATATAGTGCTGTTTGGTATCTCCTTAAAGCTTTCCAAATACCTCTTTTGGACCCTAGTGTGGGTACATGCTCATCAACAGTCCTAGCATGATATTGATTTACTTTACCTTATGAGCTTGTATTTACTATACTCACTTTGACTGAGCAGATTTTGCGAGGCGGCTTGTGTGGGCTAGTGCTCCATCTTTGACAATAAGCATGAGATGTATCTGCTGCTACTCCATCCTGTTGAAAAAAATTTTAGAGGCCCTTCAAGAACCTGTGCAACATACTCTTTTGCACCCAAGCCTCCACCTTGTCTTCAGCCCTTCTCACTCATAGTTGCAGGTGGGAATTCCAGCTTGATCAGTGGACCTTTCACACTATGTGCAATACACCCCTATACCATGATGGATTTGCAACCACTCTTAAAGGTTGGCTGTATGTTCTTAGGAAGAAATTCTTCACCTGGTAATCTCGTCACTCTTCTGTGCCCTGGCCTCTCTCCTAACTCCAACTTTGCCTCATCAGTCTAGATAACCTCATTCCAATCCCTTGTCATATTCTCCTTTGCCCAAATGAGATATTTCCGGATAGCTGCTGGTGATAGAAAGGGCTTGCGACATGCAACTCGGTGGTGATAGCTAGCAGAAGTTGCTATGGTGCAAACTTGTCGGGATGTTACATGTTCAACATGCTTGGAAATGATGGGATAAGGGTCCAGACGGCGTGTACGGATCTCATGAAGGACCCTGTGCTGTGTGCGGCCATCAATGATATGTCGAGGGAGACTATGTTGGGTATGGAATTGGTTCTTGCGAGTGACAGTATAATAGCATGCCCTGACAGAAGCACCAGTTAAGGAAGCAATTTTTCGATATGAGTGTCCAAGATCATGCAAAGCAAGGATTCAACCTCTTTTTGAGGGTGTAAACTCAGTGGTTCCAGCAGGAGGCATGAATTTCTTAAGACTACTAAGGCTTAGCAACTTATATAGAAGCTTCACGTGATGGTGTTCAAACACTTTTTGTGGGCACAAGTACAGTCTTAATAACTACAATGACTACTAAGGCATTTAATAAAGTTATATGGCATTTTTTGCATTTTATTGTGTGCGACAAAAGTCCTATGACATAAAAGTTAAAGATTATCCAGAGTTTTATCCTAGGATTTACTATAGGCCAAACTTAGAGAAAATATTTAAGCTTAAGCTTAATATTATGTTACAGTTTTATCCTAGAATAAAACTTTAGATAAACTTTAAATTTTTATTTAGGTAATTTCCTCAGACAAACCCAAATAAAAACTTATTATTATCTAGGGGTTTATCCACAGTTTATCCTGGGAAAGACCCTATGGTGCACATAGTAATACTAACCATTGTTCCAGACTCTTTCTTGACAGAACCCATTGTGCCATGCTATGACATATGCTAGCCAATGTTATTGGATTGTACATGCCTGGGAATCAAGAGGCACTAGTTTTTAGATGATATAATGAAGACTATATTTGGATGGCCAAGCATTGACACAACAAAGACCCTTCAGAACTGGCATGACTTGGTCCTTGCACATAATGCTTCAGATCATCTTTATATAATACCAGTGTGTATTCTTTCTAATGACACTATTACCAAATTCATATTTCTTTGGAAACCACTCTCATCTATCTTAATAGAGACTTACCTAACTCTAGACTAGTTGCTCTGGCCAAAATATGGTCCTAAGATTTCTCCTCTTTTTCTTGGATTAAATAACCAGCACTGTGCCAATCTGATCTATTGTGAAGGCCCTGCTGCCAGCCCCTCTCTTAGTCCATGACCCTTCTAAGACCCTAGCAGCTTCATTACTGATACATGTGTTATTGCCAACAAAGTGCCTGAAAATAGAATCAAGTACTGTGGTCTCACATCAGGCCATATCAAACTCACATAAAAGAGCTAAGCATTTCCCTTCTATTGCTTTTAGCAGTGTCTAGCAACTACATATCCAAGTATAGATTGTGGACACTATACACTATACATTGTATTATTGTTACTATTGCTCACAAGAGTATAGACTACTAGCTAGTACTCCAGACACAATCCTTCTTTTTTTGTATATGGCATCCTCATTTAGGCCCCCACTTCTCTCAACCTCAGCCCTACATCACTCTTATATACTATAGGGACAGATTCCAATAATACCACTATTATCCTAGCATCCTTCAGTTTCATAAATGGCTCTAAATCCATTCTCAACACCTTTACAAGATATAATAGAGCCTTCTGTCACTAATTTTAATTCACAGCATTGTTCTAAGGCAAAAAAAAAATACATAGATTGTTTACTAAGACTCATATACATACAAAAAAATAATTGCTAAGAAATATAGTGAATGTTGAGGTAAGAGCAAGCTAGATAGGGACAAAATCACAGAAATTTTGCTAGGTTAACTGACTGAAATAGTGGGCTCTGCCAAACTATACTAAGTGAGCCTAGGCAGCATAGAGCTAGCTTAGCTTGCCTAGCTATAATAAATAACTTTAATGAAAATGTATTATAGCCTTTCAATGCCCACGTACCTTATTCTGCTTAATAAGCATAAGGCTACATTATAGGTATAACAATATCCAAAACCTGTTATGGCCTAATCAGCAATAGTAGAAGAGTATAGGATAGTATACAACACTTAGAGGGCTTAGATGGGGAATGGAAATAATAGGATAATATCATAATATTATAAGCTTAAAAAAAGATAAATAAGAGGATAGGGAGTAGCAAAAAAAGAGGAGTTTGGAACTGCTATAAGTAGATAAGACAGTTGAGTACTTATAGTCAACTAGTAGATATGTGATAGCTAATAATAATCTAGGTGTCAAGGGTAAGTGTCAAAGTGAGTATAGGAGTGGAGTGGTAAGTATAAATGTGAGTATGTGCAAGTATTAGGGAAAAGCTCTATATTAAGTTAACTATAGTTAAGCATAAATATAGCTATATTCTTGCCAATTACCATTTAAAAATTTTAGCTTACCACTCTCTAATCCTAAAATTATAAAGTCCCATTAGAGCTAATTAGAGCTAATTTATCATATGGATTTTTGGAAAAATATTAACCAACCTACTCCTATGGTTTCTCTACTATTACTATACATTTAATTATAGAGTATGTATAGAGCTTACTAATCAAACTGAAGCCATGTTTTGTAATAAACTTGCCTATTACCAGAGTTGAACCCATAACCTTATATCTACACTCTTCAGACTAGTGCTCTAAACCACTAAGCTACAAGGTCTAAATTTTTTTACCCGGTAACCTAAATATGACAGTATAAATAAGGCAATCTCAATATTTCTGATTTTCTGACATATTTATCTTTTATCTATTCTATATATAAAAGAGTTAGTAAATACCCAAAAAATCAGGGCTTTTGATATTTGGATTTAGATACCAGATAATGATATAGTAAACTAATAGAAAATAAATAACACACTAAAAATAAAATTATAGCACTTATACAATTAGGATTTAGGAAGTGTAAAATTGTAATTAGATTGTAGATTTCAATAGGACTGTAATAGTATAGACAATATCACCTTAACTACAAATTTAATTATAAAGTTAATTATGGATAATATATTCTAATTAGCTTAGATTAGCATTTTAAATAATTAGATCTAATTAAGAGAAGAGGTTTTTCTAAATAAGAGTATGGCTGTGGGTAAGAGACATATGCCATTTCTAGAAAAGGATAAAAAGATACATAAATGGCATTAAGGTGCCATGTAGTAAGTCTCAGGCTTATACTCTTATCTACCCAAAAAAAGATAGTGGGGCTCTGAGAAAATAAGATATAGCAAGAAAGAAACCAAATAGAAAAATATAGTAAAAGATCTGGAAATATGAGCAAGGGTCAAGTATTCAGCCAATATAGAGAAATGATAATGAGGCCAGTGCAAGTCACATAGGATAGTAGATTGGAGACCATAGGTGGGTAGTTAGAAGAAGGGTAGGATAGGCATAGTAGCATTTGCATGATAGCCGAAGAGGGGCTGGGCAGTTATAACATAGGTGGTGTAATATTGGTAGCTAATCAAAGGGGTTGTTGTACAAGCCAAGTGTCCAAAATAGCATAGTCCTTGAGCTTGTGCCATGGCAGCCATCTTATATTGTCTACTAAATAAGGTATTATGCTCTATGGCCCTAGTAATGCTTGTTGATGATGGCCCCTACCTCAAATTCCTCAATGCCATTTATGGTAATAATCAGACCTGGGCAGAGAATGTAATAGGAGAGGAAGCATGCATGGTTGCTATCATGAAAAGGATAGAGGAGGCTGGAATGGAATATAGAGAAGGTGTTATTAGTATCAGGAAGGTCTAGTATATAGCATGACTCCTCTAAATATGCCTAAATGATAATATAGGGACCATCAAACTATGACATGAATTTCATGATACACTTGGTATTGTGTAAGTGAAAATCTCGACAGCAATGTAATATAGAGAATAACACCCAGTCCCTGACTTGGTAAGAAGGTCTAGGCTGCCAGTAACAGTTGGCATATTTAGCCTAGGAAATCTTTATAGCAAGCAATGCATTAGCAATAGCAAGCACATTTATGTAGATATGCCAAATCAGCCACTGTATGGCATAAGAGAAAAGGGGTTGACAAGGGATAGTGGTAAAAGAGAAAGAAGGTATCAGATGGGAAGAGTGGCCCATTTACAGCTAAAAAGGAGAAAAGCCAGTCAATGTATTTACAAAGTTTATGAGATGAAAATATATGACTAGCAGTGCCTTTAACTAGCCAGTCTGATTATAGTCTACATGAAGCTAAAGACATTGATTAATAGTCTTATTAATGTGTTTGGAAGTGCTATTAGTCTGTAGATAAAAAGTAGAGGTTATTTTCAACTTGATGCTGGCAAGGCAGATGAAGAAAGACTAGAAGCATAAGACAAAGAGCTTGTTATAGTTGGACATAATCTCTAATAAAAGGCCATTCTTGTAATACCAGGTGTCAAAGAATATCTGAGCAAACTCTTTAGCCATAATGTTTGACTATGTGGGAACAATATGGATGTTAGAACTGGAATGGCAAGTTATTGTCACTATTCAGTCAAAATAAGAGTTGGGGGGTAGCAGACTAATGAAGTCTATTGCCATGCTATCACTATAGCACTCAGAGATGGGTAGAGAGTATAGGGGTCCAAAAGGGCATAGGAAAACACTTTTTTTTCATTGGCGGCAAGCACAAGAGGGTAGAAAACCCTATTTTAGGTTAGTACATCTGGAAACCCCTCCCTTATATTAGATCCAAATAATACCTAATTATTGATAATGCTTATTCAAGATAATTAGGATATATTATGAATAATTATCCATAATCATCTTTATAATCAAATCTAAGATAAACATCATGTTAATTATGATTCTAGAGTTTACTCAGAATCTACAACTCAAATACAATAATACAGACTCTAAATCTGAATTATATGAGTGCTAGAATATTTTTTTACCCTATATAGAGTGTATTCTTTATTTTTATTTATTATATCATATCATTATTTGGTACATAAATTGAGATCACAAAAGCCCTGATTTTTTGAATATTTTTTGATCAAAAATAGATTAAAAATGAGTGAGTAATAAGATTAGAAATATTGAGATTGCCTAAATTATGTCAACATATTTAAATTACCAAGATATTAGTTTAGACCTTATGGCTGAGTGGCTTAGAGCATCTATTTAGAGTATATGTAGTTATGAGATTGTAGGTTTAATTCTGGCCAAGGGCAAGTTCTTTATAAGATAAGACTTTAGCTCTAGATATTCAAGTAGTGGCCTCTATAAATATCTCTAGGTTATAGATTATAGTGATTGCAAGAAATAATGACATTACAATAGATTCCATTTTTCCAAAAATCTATTCAACTAATTAGCTACAAAATAAAGAGGGGATAAGTAAAAAAAATGCTAATGCTATTTTAATAAAATTTCATAAAATTATCAATAATTAGAGCTTAATACAAGAGGGGCATTTCCAGATGACTAAGCATACTAGGCCAAAAGTAAGAATCATGAAGAATAGTGTATAATTTGTCAGCCCTAAAGTAGCCAAGGGAATTATGTGCCAATAAAAAAAGAGTCTCACTAAAGGATGCATTATACAGAATCACAAGACAACCAGACAAGTAAAGGAGGCTGTCAACTAACAAGGTACCCTTAATGCTTGTGAGGTTGCAAGTAAGTTTTTTTATAAAGGAATTGGCCTTGTAGCCTGCACAGACAGTGTTTAGGAATTTGGGGTTAGCAGACACAGATAACACTGAGGCAACGATGGGAATAGGGGGAGGTAGAAGTAGGTAAGATAACATGCAATAAGGCATCAGCCACACAGTTATCAGTGCTAAGGAGATACTTAATGCAAAAGTTATAGTTGGCAAGGAACTCTTGTCAGTAGGCTTGTTACTAGGGGAACCCCTTTTATTGAGCAAAATTCTTGAGAGTACTATGATTGCTATATACAATAAATGGCATACTAAGCAGGTCATAGCACCATTTGTTAAGCATGCACATGATGGCAAGCAGCTTTTTTTATGGACAGGGTAATTATTCTCTATAAGCCAATCTCTTGTAAATTATATTTTAGTAATTTTGACCCTCAAAAATTGGCCAACCCCCAAATTAAATAATGGTGCCTTAGAAATAGTATTAATTGACTCTGTTTATTTATCTAAGTTCAATGACAGCCTTAATCAGTCTCAAAAAAAATTACTAAGGCTATAATGGCAGTATATCTCCAAACTATGATATACTAAGCTTTTAGCTTATGCAAGATTTAAAGCATCCCTAAGGGCATTCTCTAAGAAAGAAATATGCATCAAATGTTCAGCATCTTGGGAAAAAATCAATTCACTTGAGAAACTTACCTGAATTTGAGTTAGAGACTGAAAAAAACATAGGTAATATTATGAGATAGAATCCTCATACAGGTTTAAAGCCATCATAATTAGATAGTGCTGCATCAGAGCAGAAATTGAAAGCTCAAGGTCACATTTCTATCTTTCCCTCAAAGTTCCATTATGAGCTTAATCCCATTGAGATGGTTAGTTTCTTCAGTCTTTTCTTTTATAGTATGCTTATATTATTCAGTACTTGGGCTAGTGCAAGCATTAGTACTATGAAATTTATAAAGTCAAATTCAAGAATACAAAGAAAGTGGCATAGCAATGCCTTGACAAGTGTCTTATTAAGATGACCCACCAACTTTTAATTTATGGCAGTATATAGATACACATTATAAGGGGTTTATAGAAAAAGCAATGAAGTAGGCTATATACAAACAGAAGTTATATAAAAGAGTTGGGTAGTACACAATAATATCTATTGATACAATACTAACCTAAAATTCACTCAGATTTACTCTAATGCCATTTTAGGCTTAATTACATTTTGTTTTTTTTTTCACCCAAAAAATGAGCCACTCCTATTTTACTATGGCAACTTCTATAAAGGGCATTTTCAACTCCTTTTGCTTCTCTAAGTCTGAATCCAAACTTAGTTTGTCCTAAAAATTTTACCTGGGGAGTTAGCAAAATTGTCAACTTTGCTTATTTGGCACTGTACTACTACAGTCCCATTGGAATCTATAACCCAATTACAATTTTACATATTCTAGATCTAAATTGTGTAAGTACTATAATCTTATTTTTACTGTATTCTTTATTTTCTATTGGTTTACTATATTATTGTCTAGTGCCCAAATTCAAATATCAAAAGCCCTGATTTTTAGGGTATTTATTGGCTTCTTATTATATAGAATAGATAAAAGATAAATGTGTAAAAAAATTAAAAATGTTGAGATTACCTTATTTATATTAACATATTTAGGTTACCAGGTAAACAACTTAGATCTTGTGGCTCAGTGGTTTAGAGTACTGGTCTAGAGTATATAGATATAAGATTGTTGGTTCAATTCTGGTGATAGGCAAGTTTACTATAAGATGTGACTTTAGTTTGATTAGTGAGCTCTATACATACTCTACGATTAAAGGTATAGTAGTAGTAGAGAAACCATAGGAGTGGGTTGGTTGATATTTTTCCAAAAATCCATATGATAAATTAGCTTTAATGAGCCCTAATTAGACTTTATAATTTTAGGATTAGAGGGGAGGTAAGTTAAAAATTTTAAATAGTAATTGGCAAGAATCTAGCTATATTTATCCTTAACTATGGCTAATTTGATATAGAGCCTTTCCCTAATGCTAAATAATAGAACAGCACCTATGCTAATATTACTAGCATCACAAGTAACAAAAATCATGTTCTTACTAGGTATAATATGGTCGATTGTCATCAGACAATCCCAACCAGTGACTAGCATTTTTATCCCATCAAAAGCTCTCTAGTGTACCCTGGTCTAGCTAGGCCACATACTCTTAGTCACCTTTGTCATCAGTAGAGTGAGCATAGAGGTAAGCTCTACAAGATATAGCAAGAATTAGGATAGGTAGCAAATAAGGCCAAGAAATATGCAAACATTAGTCATGCAGTGTAGAATAGGCCATTCCAGAATGCAGGCCACCTTGGAGGTATTAGTACAGATACCATTAGCTGAGATGTAATATTCCAAGAAGTACACTAAGTTGCAAAACAAGCTAGTCTTTTTTAGAGAACAGTAGAAGTTAGCAGCATGTAGGGCTTCTAATACCTTAGTGATGCTAGCAATGTCCTCTAGTATGGATTGTGACAAGATAATTATGCTATCATAAACACAGCAAATATCACTAATAAGGTGGTAGAGAGTTAAGCACATTTAGCATTAATGTATAGTAGGTATATTGTGGCCACCCATGGGCATCATGGTCTATTTATATATCCCAAACAGGGTTGTGACTACTATTAAGTGGATATCATTGGAATAGACACACACTTGAAAAAAGAAATTAGTTATATCTATTTTACCCCATATTTTACCCTTCACACAGTTAGCAAGAATGTCATTGACATATAGCAGGGGATAATTATCCAGGATTATGTTCACATTGATTTTCCTAGGATTGTTTACCTAATAGGGGAGAACCATGGAATCAGCCTTGGGTACAATAAAAGATAGGGACACAAAAGTACTAGAAGACAGAAGCATGTGTCTGGTAGTGAGATGCTAGGAGAGCAATATATGCCATATGCTATAATATTTTTGCAGGCAGTTGTAAGAATAGGTAGCAATCTTTTTGTTTATGTCCTTAAGACAAATATAATAATAGACACCCACAGGGATATTGTCCACCAGCAGGATATTAGAAGGGAAGCAATCAATAAAACACTCATAAAGTGCTTTGTCTAGCTTAGACAGCTAGTCTATATAAGCAAGAGAGGAAATGTATTTTAGAACAGCCACTTTCTCAAAGGGAGACAGCTAGACACTTGTATGTGCCACTATAGTTGTTACGAAATGTCTTGCTTATGCCTACTTACTTTTTCCCACTGTCTCGACAAGGACACATAGGACCTTTCTCCCGACTCTACCTCGTGTCCCCGCTCCACCAATACTTGGTCCGTGCTCTCGCTTGTACATATTTATAGATACTGTGGCGCAGTGTGGAAGCCTTAGGCTATCCATTTCTGTCCAATCTAAGAACTGCTGTTCACACAGTCTTCTCTGATTCCAAGACACCAGTCTGATCAGCCCCAATCATCCTCTCAAACCTCCTTGTATTGTTTGTGGCCTAGGATCTCCTCGTCTCGAACAGCCGTTCGTGACATCTGGATAGCCTCTCTTCACAATCCTACTCCACATCCTATCCTTTTCCTTTACAGCAGAACACCGGCTAGTTACATACGGCGCTAAGCAGTCCCAAAAGACAAGCAACCGTCGACCGTAATAGTTACTATACACTTCGAGCGAACGATTGGACGATTCCACTTTAGTGTGGGTCGTTTCAGGTTGTAGAATACTTATATCTGGTAATCAACCCAGTGGAGGTACGACCGAAACAATTGCACTCAATGTTACGTACGGTACTATACCAGAAGCAGAAAATACAATACCCAGCCAGGAAGAGCTGCTGTTGCCTTGACCCTCGAACCCTGATCAGGTCGAGACTAGCACGGGCTCTTTTGATTAAATCAAGACGACTTCCAAAAGCTTAGGAAGAAACGTAGGGCGAGTTCCACACGGAACTGACTACTTACAGCACTCGGACACATTCATCCACTTTGGACAACCTATTAGAAGAACTTCCAAGGGAAATTGGATTTATATAGGAGGACAGGACAGCAGAAAAACAGTTGACGCTCTGTTAGTATCCTGGGAAGACAGGAAGGCACCCTTCAGAACAGTCACCACCCTTACCCAAACAAAACCCATCCTACCACTGATCGACATCCCCAAAAGAGATATCGAAGAAACACCGATTCCCGCGGGAGTACTAACCCCAGTTGACGAAGAAGACCCGGAGCCTGTAGCAGGTCCAAGCCAACCAAATCCGAATCCGAACCCACAGCCAAACCCCGCACCTAGTACAGAAGTAACCAACGACGAAGACGAAATGTCAGACAAAGGAAACAAACCGAAGGACTTCGATGGAACGAGGTCAAAATATCAAGAATGGATTTATGGATGCCATATGTACATTTTGGCCAATCCAACTAAATATGACACCGATATAAACAAGACACTACTGGTCTTGTCATACATGAGGGAAGGAACGGCATCACTGTTCGCCCAGAAATACTATTTCGACAGAGAACTCCGAGAATACAAAGCAACGGAGACCAAAGTTACATGGGGAATGTTCAAGGCATTTCTAACGGAGCTAGCCGCAGCATTTAAGGACAAAAGCCTCGAACAGAAGGCAAGGCAGAAGCTATTCACCATGAAAATGGTAAAATGCTCAGCAGATGACTTCGTCATGGACTACCTCATGACAGCTAGAGAAAGCGGATTCGATTTAGAATCCACCATCAACTATTTCCGCCGAGCCATACACCCAGAAATTCTCAAACAGATCTACCAGCTGCCAGAAATGCTGACCACCATGGACAATTGGGTAAAATATACCCACAGATTTGACAACCAATGGAGAGAGCTGCAGAGCATAAAAAGCTCCGTACCCGCCACCCTAATTCGACAGAACAACCCCTTCCGCTACAACTCATTGAACGCCCCTTCCTCCATGAATAATTCTGTCGTCCCGATGGCCATCGACTCAGTCCACATGGCCTTGACTGACGAAGAACGAAACAAGTTGCGAATGGAGGGTGGGTGCTTTTACTGTCGTCAGAAAGGACATATGGCGAACCAATGCCCTGCTAGGGGTTCATCTAGGATACATGAAGGGTCAGCTGGACATGTTCAACAGAGTAGTGGAAAGATGGGGAACCGCCTGGCTCAGGCCGGTGGAAAAATGGCAACAGGAGGAGGAGGCTATGGCCGAGTGTTCTTGGCAAGAGCTCAGAGCAGTAATGAGAGAAGCGCTACAATCCAGGGTGGAAGCATGGCAACGACTAATCCGTTCCGAGCCAGGCTCGCAGCGCGGCAAGCCTACACACCTGGACTGGATGAAACTGTACGTCAGGAGGAGCCTGAGGTTAGCCGAGAAGAAGTCCAGAAGTTCATAGGGAAGTTAAGATGGGACAAGCAAGAAGTGCTTCTTCAGGAATTGAGCGAAGGAAGCAAGTGAAAGGAATTGAATTTTTGAATAGGCCTACGACCCCGGTGTACCGTGGACCCACCCCAGAACCCCTTGCAAAAACAATTGTATGACTTACTAAATCCAATCAAAAATCGTCTATGAAAATAAATGTGCAATTGAAACACAAAGGGGGAACCACCGAAGCTAGGGTATTGATCGACTCAGGAGCAGAAGAACTTCTCATCGACAAACAATTTTGTTTAGACAAGAAAATACCAGTGCAAAAAATTAACAAACCCATCCCTGTATTTAATGTGGACGGAACGGCCAACAAAGGAGGAAAAATCACTGACAAAGCTTGTCTGCTCATGAGAATGACAAACGAAGAAGGAGACTGCCACGATAAACAATGCGAGTTGCTATCCACTAACCTAGGAGGAGAAAATATAATCCTAGGAACGGACTGGCTACACGAACACAACCCACAGATCAATTGGGTAAAAAATAGTCTCACATTTTCGACTTGCGCCACCACGTGTCTAGTCAGCCGACCTAAATTCACCATACGAGCGCAAATGCTTCCACAACAAAGGAATGGCAGAACAGTCGGGTATTCCAAAATAGAGGATGACCCGGAAGACGAAGAAACCGATTAAACCTTCTTCTCCAAATTCTATGAAGAATGGTACCACCAAGACCCGCTCGAAATGCACCCACTTGAAGCAATTCACATTGGGTCCATCGGAAACAAGTCACAACAACTGGCAGAAATGGCGAACAGAAAAAAGACAGAACGACCCATTGAGGAAATAGTTCCGGCATACATCCTTAAATAATTTGCCAAAATCTTCAGCCAAGAGCTTCACAACGGCTCCCGGAACACTCACAATGGGACCATAAGATCGATATGAAACCAGGATGGGAACCAACGGGATGTAAGCTATATCCCCTGACAGAAGAAGAAGAAGACAAGCTGCACGAAATGCTTCAAGAACACTTGAAGCGGGGAACCATCAGAATATCTAAATCCCCACAAGCGTCACCCTTCTTCTTCGTGAAAAAGAAAGAAGGAGACTTACGACCGGTTCAGGACTATCGGAGACTAAACGAGTGGACGATAAAGAACAAATACCCGCTACCCCTAATTAATGACATTATAAGAACCATTGCGAAATCAAAGGCAAGGATCTTCTCCAAACTCGACCTCAAATGGGGCTATCACAACGTCCGCGTAGCAGAAGGAGATGAATGGAAGACGGCCTTCATGACCAAATTTGGCCTGTTCGAATGCCTTGTCATGTTCTTTGGTCTTTGCAACTCATCCGCCACGTTCCAAACCATGATGAACATAATCTTTCACGACCTAATCGTCGTGCAAGTTCTTGCGGTTTACATGGATGATATCTTGGTATTTACAAAGACCATAGAAGAACATCGGCGAGTAACAACCCAAGTCATGCAAATACTTCTAGACAATGACCTGTTCCTGAAACCCTCCAAATGTACCTTCGAAACGGACACAGTTGAATATCTCGGATTCATCATCTCCGCCGATAACATATCCATGAATCCGGTCAAAGTCGAAGGGATCACAGCCTGGCCGACGCTGAAGAACCTGAAGGAAGTACAGTCATTCCTCGGCTTTGGAGACTTCTACAGAAGGTTCATCGAAGACTTTGCTACAACGGCCCGACCTCTCAACGACCTGACAAAGAAGGACATACCATTCATATGGACCGACGAGCGGAACACCGCCTTCGAAAACTTAAAAAACTGCTTCATTTCAACCCCCGTCCTCATTTATCCCAATGGCAACCACCCTTTCCGACTCGAAACCGGTGCATCGGACTTCGCCTCTGGAGCCATCTTATCACAAGAAACCCCCAACAATGGCTGGCACCCTATTGCTTACCTGTCCAAATCCTTTAATGTGGTGGAATGGAATTACGACATCTTCAATAAAGAACTACTTGCCGTCATCCATGCCCTCGACCACTGGCATGTATACCTGGAAGGTGCGAGACACCTGTTCGAAATCTGGTTCGACCACAAGAACCTTCTATACTTCTCCACCGCAAGAACTCTCTCCCATCGGCAGGCATGTTGGTCACTCTTCCTTTCTCACTTCGACTTCACACTCGTACACAAACCCAGTATCACCCATCAGCCCGATGCTCTGTCCAGGCGTCCAGACCTAAAAGAGGGGGTAAAATCAGATAACAAAAACCAGGTGTTGCTACAACCCCAAATGTTCATCAAAAGTGCAACAGGACGAGGTACAGTCGAAATGCTTAACAAACAGCTAAGACAAAAGTTAAAAGAAGTCACAGCTAAAGACAAAGAAGTAACGGAAGCAATGGAGCTTATCAAAGCATCAGGGCCCAGAGCACTTTCAAAAAGACTATAAGAATGGAATTATGAAGACAACCTCATCTGGCACAAAGGAAGAATATACGTCCCACCAAATGACGAACTCAAAAGAAGGATCACAAAAATATACCACGACTCACCCACAACTGGACACCCAAGACGATGGAAAACCTATGTCCTGATATCAGACAACTTCTGGTGGCCAGGAATGTCCACATTCATAAAAGAATACATAACGGGATGTGCGATATGTCAAAATACAAAAAACATCAGACATCCCACATGTACTCCACTAATTCCAAACGAAATACCAGAAGGACCCTGGCAAACGGTCACAATGGACTTCATTACGGATCTTCCCCAAGTTGGACTGTACAACGCCATCCACGTAACAGTAGACAGAAGCACCAAGGGCGTCGTCTACACCCCATGCAACAAAACCATAGATGCTGAAGGAACCGCCGATCTCTACATGAAAAATGTCTGGAAACGATATGGACTTCCAGGGAAAATCGTCTCAGACAGAGGTCCACAATTCGCTGTTAGGTTCACAAAGGAACTATGGAAAAAACTGGGAGTAACGACAGCTCTATCAACTGCATATCATCCAGAAATAGATGAAGAAACAGAGAGAGTAAACCAAGAACTGGAACAATACCTGCAGGCATTCTGCAACTATGAACAAACAAATTGGCCTGAGCTACTGCCATATGCAGAATTTGCACACAACATTAAGGAACACTCAGCCACACACCAGTCACCGTTCAAACTCATGTACGGCTACAATCCAACCTTTGTACCCCAGATCGCACCAAGATCCGACATCCCTGGCGTAGAACAAAGGCTGGAAAGGTTAGAACAATTACGAGAAGAAACAAAGGCCAGCCTGGAAGTTGTGGCAGAATTAATGAAGAGGAAAACAGCTGAAAATAAAGTCAAACTAGAAGCAGGACAGAAGGTCTGGCTATCAGGAAAAAATATAAGCACCACTCACCCTAAGGACAAACTAGCTCCTAAGCTACATGAACCATTCAAAATAGAAAACAGACTAGGACCAGTAATGTACAAGCTAAAACTTCCGCCAACGTGGAAAATACACCTCATATTCCATGCCTCATTAATTACACCTTATCAAGAAATGGCTGCCCATGGCCCCAACTTCACACAACCACCGCCTGACCTTATAGAAGGACAGGAAGGATACAAAGTTGAGGAAATTCTTGACAAAAGAAGACGAGGACGCGGATACCAGTACCTAATACGCTGGAAAGGGTACCCGGACTCCGCAAACGAATGGATCACAAGGGCAAACCTAGGGAATGCCAAAAAACTTTTGGAAGCATATGACAGACGACATCACGACTTGCCACTATGAGCAGCCCTCATAAACACTGAACAAATAAAACCCAAGGCACATAAAAGCTCAAACTCAATCATTCTTTTCACTCCCACAATCCCATCTTCTCCACGGTGCTTTTCGCTATCCTACACATGTCTTCTAATGGACACCTCTCCATCACTTATGATGATGTCACTTATGAAGGTAGCACCCTCATCGAAGAAACAACACAGACACCCCTACCGACTCTCCTCCCCTAACCTCCGAACCATATATACCAGAAGAACGATCCGTCCCCTGGGACTCCAACGAGGACGCAGGATTTGACGAATACCTCGAGAGATTAGACGACAGGGACAGGAGAGAGGAAGAAATGATTAGGATACTTACAGAGGACTTTGACAGAGCACTGCTCACACCCTCGCCTTCTCACTCCCCCTCCCCACCGCCTCTGATTCAAGAAAAAAACAATGGGATTGTCTTCCCCAACAGAGAGCCATACCTGACCGCCCCCGTCACATACCTCATGGGACTCATCGAAGGCTCACCAAGCACGGAGTTCGTATCAAGGTCTATGTGACCAGACATACAGAGAGGATTAGAGATCTTACAGGAAGAAAGGGCTTTCATACAACACGCACAAAGGGCTTTGCAAATACGAGAAGGGACCCTCATCGCCCGCATCAATGCGGGCGAGAGACGACTTATCGGACTTGACCACATCCAACCCCTCCATGACACATTTCACCCCGCTGATAACCCCACTCCTGCCAATGAGTACTACATGCCGTCCACGGCTATGGTATCTCGTGCCTCGTCTTCGGCTTCAAATGGAAGTCCGCTTCGCCCGATGCCAGGGACTTATCCCACAGGCCGCTGATGCGCTTGCGATGGCTCTGCATGCGAAAACACAACACAAAACACACCACTAAACACAGGGTAGGCGGGGAGCTGACTTCACTACAAATATCGAGGGACCCTTTGTAAGTTGCGAGACGGGGCGTGATATACGTACTACGAGATATCGAGTTTATCTGGAGAGGTGATGCAAGGTCACGCGACAATACTCTCGTGTGAGATGGGGGACCGTGGGTTAAGGCGCGAGTGACCGAGTCAACTTGTGGGCAGCGACGAAGGCCCTGACAATAGCGGCGATGAAGGCAACGAGTGCCAAATTGAGCGAGTACGATGTTGGTGCGATGCGATATGAGCTGTTACGACTGCTCGTCGGTAACCCCAAGAGTAGGAGGTTCTTCCCTAGGTCACTCGTGGAGGATGTGTGGAACGGTGGTCTCGACTGTACGTGTAGCACAGGAGCCTGGAGTGTATTGCAGAGTAGCAATAGAAAGTACTGTAGGAAGACAGTACTGAACGAAGGTTCCTGTATGTGGAGATACAGGGGAACGAAGTACTGTGGTAGGAAGACCACAGTGAACGAAGAGAATAGACTGAAGATCGTCAGCCTATTCTATGGGCCTTTTATACTACTTTAGGAAGTAGGGCGTGAGAATACCGAATATGTATCTGTAGGTATTCTCTAAGTCGTCTCTCTCAATAACGACTACTCTTGTGCTTCTCCGTTGGTCTCCTTCCGGCCAGGAGAGACTAGGAGGTTCATGCCCTGCGTGTGAGTAATTTATAAGGCGGCGTTCCATGCCCGCTAATACAATAGGCCCGTGATACTCGACCAACGATAAGGTGATCCGTTGGGAGTGGATGACCAAGGTTATTATCTGTACCTTGTCTGTACGCCTCAACCTGTGAGGCCGCGTGATATTTGTGATGATCGTATCGGTATAGACCGCCGTGTAGGCCCGATAGAACGTGATCATAACAATACCCCCTTTCTACGTCCTATTCGCCTGGTAGGACAGCGCGGTGCGCTTCATCGCCACTCCATATACGATTTGCTTTCTTGATTCAACGATGGTCTTCGGATGCGACTTCCGAGACATGACTTCGTTTTCTGGGAGGAAGACCGACTTACGTCGTTTGATCCTCTAGGAGTTGTCCATCTCCGTTGAGCTGTTTGTTTGTCGAGTCGTGAGGGTATCCAAGCCTCCGCTCTCTAGGATGTTCTTCCTTCACCCGTGGGATTGATTTTGCCGCTTGTCGCGGTCTTACTTCCAGCCCTCTTCTGGAACAGTATCAAGAAAGGCGTATGAATGCGAGTGGTGTGTGGATGAATAGAAACTCTAGCGTGTGGGTTCCGATTCGTGTCATCAGGTTCTTCTTCTTCCTTCTCCGAGGGCCAAACCTCAGTGTTTCCAGGATAGTCGTCTATCCTCATGATTTGTTGTTCCTCTTGACGACAGTGGATGGCGCCCATGGACAAGTAGGTTGATCGCTTTACGAAGGCTTAGGCCTACTTCTCCAGGCTACCAGTCATAACGCCCCAAGCAGTATCGCTCCCATACGGTGAGCTCATCTCCGGTGAGGTTGCAGCCAAATCCCAAGCAGTATTGTCCCCATACGGTGGACTCATCTCCGGTGAGGCAGTTTACGGCGTCCAGAGTTTGTTTTTCACAAACGTGGGCCTATGGTGGGGAATACCACGTGTAGTGTTGGGTTCGAGGCAAGGATGTGAAGAGAATTAGACTTGAAGGGTGCCGTGAGGAGTAAGGAGGAGTCTGACTCCTTCTCCTGATCGGCCCGTTCGCTTGCACGAATGGACATCAAGACCACAGCTGATATATTTGTCGGGTTGCGAGATATATCCACGACTGGCAGTTTAAAACGTCATGCGGGACGGTCCGTAGTTTATCGTCGTTTCGGACGATCCGTAGTTTATCGTCTTTGCGGACGTCCTTCATCATCAACATGGAATGCCTGTGGGGAAAGATGTTTCTGCACGCCGGAATTTCCATCGGTTGTGTGCATAGGGCCATAGACCAGACTTTACCCGCTCCAGATTCCACTGAGGCATGATGGACGGTTTATACTATATCAAACCGGATAACTTGTAACGCCTCAATGTTATGAGACCGCTCAGTTTAATGCCGTGAGGTAGGCATCCTCGCAGTTTAATGCCGTGCGATAGGCAGGCTTGCAGTTTAACGCCGTGCGATAGGCGGCTTGCAGTTTAACGCCGTGCGATAGGCGGACTATCGTCTGACTATGTCCCTCGAGTCACGATAGGCTTTTCCTCCGAGGATGAGGGTAGTTTAACGTCATCTCGGACGTTGTCGACACATTCTCGTCAAGGATGATGTCGACCGATGATCCCTGTACTGAAAGGGACGAGTAGTTTAACGTCGTTGCGGACGATTGATGACCCGGGTCTTGGTCAACAATCACAACTCCTGTTCGGTAAGGAGCACGTAGTTTAATGTCATTGCGGACCGATTGACACCATGGCGGTCAATCCACAACTCCTATACGGTAAGGAGCAAATAGTTTTGTGTCATTTGCGGACGATCCACCAGATTGATGAATCACAACTCCCATGCGATCGGGAGCGAGTAGTTTATCGTCATTGCGGACGCATTGGTGTCCAGGGGATTGGACGTCAATGACAACCCCTAGGTCCAGGGGCACTAGTTTAACGTCGTCGCGGACGCATGGTATCTTGTCAAGATCGCCACGCACGATCCCTAGAACGAAGGGACAGTAGTTTTACATCATTCCGGATGCCCGTAGTTTACCGTCGTTGCGGACGTCGATGCCATTGGCCTCGAACAATCCCTATGTGGAAAGGGACAATAGTTTAGCGTCATCGCGGACGTTGTTTCGCCACAAATATTGTGGAAAAACAATGCTTAGTTTAACGTCATCCCGGACGCGACCTAGTTTTACGTCGTCGCGGACGAGACCTAGTTTTACGTCGTCGCGGACGAGACCTAGTTTTACGTCGTCGCGGACGATTGGCGGAATAGACTTCGGATGAGTGGCCCGCTCTTGTCGTTCTTCCGCTATGTGGGCCAGACGAGAGTCGCGTGATCTAGTCCCTTCCTACTAGATCTTTGACTCGAGGCACGTGTCCTAGTTGCCTCCTGACTAGGTCTTGGAGCGGAATTTCTTGTACTTCGACTCCAGGACTAGACTGAGCGCTCCATGAAGAGATGCTTGCTCTTCCATGTCCCCAGACCCCTCGCTTGGATTTGAACCAAGACGACCCGATATTCTTTTACCGAAAAGCGAGTGAATATCGGAAGCGCTTTTGACCTTTTATAGGCAGGGTTCTGTGACGCGAGTCCTTCCGCGCTTCGCCAGAATACAACCACGCTCCTTTGGTCAATGGTAGTTTAACGTCATCTCGGACGATGGGTAGTTTTCCGTCGTTTCGGACGAAGACTAGTTTAACGTCATTGCGGACCCTAGTAGTTTATAGTCGTTGCGGACCAAGCCTTTGGTAGTTTTACATCGTTCCGGATGTAATTTGTGGCCTCGCATCATTTAGGAAGACTTGTGAGGTAGAGGCGGCCCGCTCTCTACATCATCTCATGCGCCAGCTGTAGGATCCCCTAATGCGGAAACGATCCTGTAAAACGGGAGATCCAAAGTGGGACGTCCCAAAACACCAGTCAGACCTTGACTGTGAGGGTTCACGATACGAGTTATGCATCATAATTTCTTGACTCGGACTTGCAACCGGTTATGTATGGGCACTTCGCTGTACCAAGGCGAAGGGCCTGCTTGTCGACACCTACGAGTAGAGTATATGTCATGTAGAGGGTTCCCTAATGCGGAAAAAACCCTGTAAAACTGAGGATCCAAATGGGACGCTCGATGCATCTGTCAGATTAACTCCTTGACAGCGAGGATGTGAAAGGTTCCGCCGTAGGCTGTACGTGGAATTATGCCCGCTGTTGTCCTTGATTCGTACCATCATTTGAACCTAGGACTAATGGTCAGGTACTTCCCCTGCCTTCTTATCTTTTCACAGTTTTAAGACATGCAGGTCCGATAGTTTAGACGTCATTCCGGACGCGCGGTAGTTTAACGTCTCTTTCGGACGAGGTCGTACAGTTTAACGTCTTGGGGGACGATCCTAGTTTTACGTCGTTGCGGACGATTGTAGTTTTACATCGTTTCGGATGTAATTTTTGTCAGGGGAAGGAGTTCCTTAACTTCCTTACCCCCTTTCTTTTCCCTATGCCCTGTTATTAGTCCTTTTAATAATCAAAAGGTCCTTGATAATCCCCGCCGCCTTCGTCAGGTCGGTAGTAGGGGTCCGCCTCGTCGTAATTTCCTGGGTCGTCTAGAGCATCCCATGCGTCGAGCTCGGATCTAGTCCACGAGCTATTTCTTCGAGCCTCCGAATCAATGCGGCGAGTTCTGCGGCTACTTCGGTTATCCTCTCTTTCGTTCGTACGAAATCGAGCACTAGGAGGAGGCGATCTAGGCCGGTGTCGAACACTCCGGCCAGCAGTTGTTCCGCGTCCGAGGGTTGCCTGGCTTCCCCGACCTCGTCTTCCCTCATTTCTTCGATAGACGGGCGGTTCCTCCTCGTCGGTATTTCCTTGGGATAGGGGAAGACCTCGTACCCGGTGAGAGGGGGGAGTCGCGGTATGGCTATGCGCTGTAGGAACCTCTCGTTGTCTCGGTGGAGGGCGCTCCACGACCGTACGCGGAACCCTCCTTGGATTTGGTACAGACGTGGGATGTTCTCCGGGACGTGGTACGTTCCAAGTGACAACTCGGAAGGGGTCGGTTCTACTTGGCTGGACGTTTCCCAGTTCTCCTCCGAAGAGGAGAGCTGGAAGGAGCTCTCGGTTGACGTATTGGGAGAACTCGTCAGGGTGGATGAGGAGGGCTCGGGGTCGCCCGTCGTTGTGGGCGTACCAGGAGGCTGTGTCCGGGTCGGTTTGGAGGGCGAGCGCTCTGATCTGGAGACTGGCACTAGCCAGTCGTCGAGGTACGTCGCTATGTTCATTCCCGGGTTGTCCTGCCGAGAAGTTAGCGAGTCTTTGGAGGGCCATGGCTGTGGCCATTTGTATTACCGCGGAGATGGTGTTCCGCTGGAGGAGCGCGTCCGCGTGTCGCTCCAGTTCTCCGGTGTGAGGATCTGTACGAGGGGTAGGTCCTCCCATGGAGCTGGGAATCGGTCCACTAGTTGGTACTGGCGGAGGTGCAGTTTCTGATAGAACTGGTATTGGTTCAGCTTCTCCATGGCCTGGGAGTTGAGCTGCCGTTCTTGCTCGAAATCCCGAGGGACCTGCAACTCCACTAGGACGCGTGCCTTCACTAGGAGGTGGAACTCCCACTGGTAATGGGCCAGGGCTCGACTGGTTTCGGTCATCAGAACTTTCATGCCGTGGTGTACCTCGTGAGGCCCTCTCCGGTGAGGGTCTTCGGGTTCTTTCCCTTTCTTTGAACTTGGCATAGTCTTCGGCGTCGTCGTCGGAGAAGTTGTTGGTGTGAGGGGTGAGGAGGACCCCGGTAGATCCTGGTTGTTGAGGACTTGTTCCTCTATCAATTCGTCCAACATCTGGTCGGTGAGGACTTGTTCCTCTTTCCACTCGTTCGACATCTGGATTGGCGACCATAAGGACGACATCGGGGGAGGAGTTTCTGGATGGAGACGAAGCATCGTGGTCGTCGTGGAGGAGCATTCGAATGGGGGAAGGTGTTTGAGAGGGAAAGAAGGTGAGAAGATGTTTTGTTGGAGTCCTCTTGTCGCTCCTTTTATGATCTTTCGTCCCTCCTCTCAGGCTGTTCCCGGACGGGGTTTGTCTGGGTATTGGTCATGGAAATCTTTCATGGCTTCTTCCGCCGTTCCCTTTAGGAGAGTGTAGGGCTCCCAGGTGTTGTCTGCTTCGGGATATCCCATCCATTTGACCAAGTATTTGGTTCCCCGTCCTTGCCGTTTTGAATCCACGATCATTTCTACTTCGTAATGTTCTTCATCGTTCAATACCTCCGGTATTGGTCGCGCGAAGTTTTCTCCGTGGGCTTCGGTTTCTCTATATTTGGTGAGCACGGCGGCGTGGAACACCGGGTGGATTTTCCACTGCGGAGGAATTTGGAGTTTGTACGCCAGGGTTCCTACTTTTCCCAGTATCTTGAAGGGGCCATATCGCCTAGGGGCGAGCTTAAACTTAGGATGGGTTGTTCGGATATGGGTTCCTTCTAACCATACTTGGTCTCCTTCCTCCCATTGGGGAAGTTTCCTGTGAAAATCCCGGTTTTTGGCGTAATTGCTGGCTATTTGTAAGCTAGCAGCGGCTTCTTCCTGAACTTCTGTGATCGTCCTAATGCGTTCAGCTACCGCAGGTACCTTTGTCTCCAGTGCCGTGTCAGCTGAATAGGGGGGATTGAAACCGTATAGCACTTCGAAAGGGGATTTCCCGGTGGCCGAGTGTTTCCGTGTGTTGTGTGAGAATTCGGCGAACGGCAAAAGGTCTACCCAATTGTCCTGATGGTAGTTGCAGAACGTTCTCAGGAATTGCTCGATCTCCTGGTTTACTCGTTCCGTCTCTCCATCTGTTTGGGGATGATACGCCGTGCTGAGAGCGGCGGTGATTCCTAGCCGTTTCCAGAGTTCTCGGGTGAATTTGGCCGCAAATTGAGGGCCCCGATCGGACACTATTTTGGTCGGCAGTCCATGTCGATTGAAAACGTTATTTTGGAAAAGCACGGTTGTTTCTTCTGCCGTGATCGTTTTCTTGCATGGGGTGATGACTATGCCTTTTGACAGACCTTGATCCACTACCACGTTAATTGAGTCGAAACCTTTGCTTTCGGGTAGGTCCGTGACGAAATCCGTCGAGATGAATCGCCAGGGAACGTTGGTGGTTTCCAGAGGGTGGATAGGTGGGTGTGTCCTGTGTGTCAAATTCTTCGTAGATTGGCATATGGCGCATCCATCCACGTATTCATGGACGAATTTTGTCATGTTTTGCCACCAGTAGTGTCGTTGCACCATTTCCAATGTTTTTGCTCTACCCGGGTGTCCTACCGCGGGTGCATCATGATGTGTTTTGACGATGAGTCTTCGGATGACGTCATCTTTGGGGACGCATATGTGGCCGTTGCGTCTGGTGATTCCGTCCTCATATGTCCAATGTCCCAATAATCCTCTCATCCCTTGTGGTCCTACTCGTAAGAGTTTTGCAAGAGCTACTCTTGTTAAGGCGTCGTGTTCCGATTTCGAGTGTCGGATGAGGGAGATGAGGTTTGAAGAGGCAATTTCCGTGGATTTTATATGCCGTGTCGGGGACGGTTCTACCAATGTTTCGTCGGATTTGTTGAAAAGCTTGGCCGGGAGTAAAATTTGAGATTTGTTGTCAGATTCTACCCCCTCACTTAGATCTGGACGCCTGGACAGAGCATCAGAGTGATTTGTCGATCCTGCTTTATAGCTGAGTATAAAGTCGAATCTGCTCAAATAAAGGCTCCAACGGGCGTGTCGTCGTGATAGGTCTCGCGCCGTTTGGAAGTGTTCCAGGTTTTTATGATCTGTCCAAATCTCGAAGGGGTGTCGTGCGCCTTCGAGGTAGTGATTCCAATGTTCCAACGCTTTGATTATAGCCAAGAGTTCCCGGTCGTGAACGTCGTAATTTCGCTCTGCTGGTGAAAACGATCCAGAGAGGAAAGCGACTGGGTGCCAGTCACCATCTTTTCCTTCTTGTAGAAGGGTAGCCCCATAGGCGATTAGTGATGCGTCAGTTACTAGTCGATATGGGTGCATGGGATCTGGATAGTTCAAGACAGGTTTACTGATAAAAGCTTTCTTTAATCGGTCGAAAGCTTCTTGGCATTTTGTAGTCCAGTTCCATTTCTCGTCCTTTTTGGTGAGGTCGTGTAGGGGGCGCGCGATGAGTGAGAACTTGTCAATAAAGCGCCTGTAAAAATTCCCTAGACCCAGGAAGGAGCGAATGTCACGGACTGTTCGTGGGATTGGCCAATCTTTTATTGCGTCCACC